CTTCAGCCAGTCGAGACCCGTCTCGTTATCTGTCTAGCCATTTGCGGTCGTGGCGATAGCCCAAGTGCCCGGGAGGTTGCTGTCTTGGTACCAGTTGGCAAGGTGATATTGGCCTGCAACCACTATGTATGGATCGATCGCTCGGCCTTCTGCATTGATCGCTTGAATCACAGTAACCTATTCACGGTTTCCAGGCTGAACTGACTTTGGGTTTCCACGCCTTTCCGAGCTGGTGATGACTATACCGCTTGATATGACGCCCATCATAAAGCCAGTCTCGTCAAAGTTCCAGATATTATCTGATCTAATACCATACTTTGCGATTGTGTTCTCTACTAGCCTGAACCAGTTGCGAATAGTGGTTGGATCTTCGCATTGAGCTCTCCGATAGTCATATTTACGAAAAGAACGCGTCTTGAGCTGTGGTTGCCGTTTAATAAAATTGATAGCCCAGCGCTTGCCAACTGGTGATGCGTCGCGTTCAGTAAGCANCTCGTCAAAGTTCCAGATATTATCTAATCTGATACTATACTTTGCGATTGTGTTCTCTACTAGCCTGAACCAGTTGCGAATAGTGGTTGGATCTTCGCATTGAGCTCTCCGATAGTTATATTTACGAAAAGAACGCGTCTTGAGCTGTGGTTGCCGTTTAATAAAATTGATAGCCCAGCGCTTGCCAACTGGTGATGCGTCGCGTTCAGTAAGCAGTCGATTCGCCATTTCTTCAACGTCGCGATGCCGAGAGGGAAATCCTCGCGAATCTAGATTCAGAATATACTCGACTATAATCTGTTCCTCCTGATCAGATAGTTTCCGACCATTAGGAATACAATCGACGCGAGCCTGACGACCCTGAGATCGGTAGTGGAGGGTCTGGAAGGGGACATTATAGAGAAATGCAGCTCGTCGCAGACTTAGTTTTGGGTCTCCCTGATAGGCCTGAAGTGCAAGAATAATATGAGCCTCAATAGTAGATTGTGACATGTTATTTGGTTGAGAATTAATTGATCTGATAGTATTAATGTAAGGTGAGGGATTTTTGTCCCGCTCGCTTGTCTGTCCCGCTCGCTTATCGCGTACGTTATACTAACAACCAACAGCCAGGGTAATAAAATTTCCTGACGACCAACGAATCGGTTGCCGATCTGCAGCGGCTGATGAGACCAACGCCTCAGTCCAAGGATTCAACGAAAAGCGCAGCATGATGTTCGATATCATATGCAATGAGATCGCTAGAAAGTTTTTGGTCGCTCAATTTAAGAAACTGATAGAGTTTAATCAAAGGTGCGGCTGAAAAACGGGTCATGAGTTGACCACTCGATGGTCCTGTCAGCACAGCCTCAAATCAGGCTAGGCCAAGCTGCCTCTTGATGCCGCCCATTCTTCAATCTTTTCATCTTCAATCAACAATGGCCGATCCTCTCAGTGTCGCCGCTTCAATCGCTGGACTTATCTCCATCACCGTCGAGGCTGCCAAGTTCCTTAGGCCATACGTCTCCGCCGCGAGAGAGACCCCACCTGTGGCCGCTCACGTCTACTCAGAAGTGCAGAGCATTGAAATTATCCTAAGTGGACTTCAAAACGTGACCAACAATCTGTCTTCTGTGCATGCCCGAAATGCCGCATTGATTGGTGTCAATCAAGTCATCACCGTTCTTACAGATGGTGTCCTTCTTTTTTCCGACCTCCAAGCAGAGCTGCGGTCGCTGTCGCCCAAAAATGAAAATGAGGGGATACCAATTCGGACCCGGTTACGATGGGTGCGCAAAGAAAGCACTTTCACTGCACTTCTCACCAGGTTGCAAGGCTTTAAAAGCTCAATGACGCTTGTTTTGATGATTCTAAAAAGGTCTTACTCGCCCACATCTCATTCATTTCAATTTACCGAGTCTTACTAACTTACTTTTTCAGCGACTCTGATCGATCCGCAACTCAGCACCATGAGCAACTCTCATCTAATATCAACCTTCTCCTAGAAAGTAACCATTCTTTATCCCGTCGGTTACTGAACCTTGGAGAATCATTTGATGCCCAAACCATTGCTTCTAGACGAATGAGCTTCTTATCGTTTACTGATGTCACCCCACAAAACATCGGGTCTGAGAAATCACAGCCATCAATTGCTGAAACGGACTCGACCATTGACATATCAAAATTCGATTTTGAAGATGATTTGGAGGCTTCACGAGCATATCGTCGCGCACAGCGAGATACTATGGACTTTTCGTTTCGAAGCTCAGTTGCACCATCTAACTCCTGGTCGGTATTCTCAGGCATGAGCCTCGGTGACATTTCCATCATGTCAGTTATTGCACTGCCCGTATATCAAGAGGATCTCACCAATGCCCAACATTACGACTTTGGAAATGACACACTTGTTGTTCCTGAAGAACCTCAACCCGCAACCGAGAGACCTTTATTGGTCGAGTGTCTGGAAATCTTACAGCAGATTCGTCAACTCCCAGGAATTGACGAATATTTCAATGAAGCCAATGGTTATGAGGACACATTTCATGCTTTATGGGCTATTTTACGTCAAGGCTACCCACTAATTATCCTACTACAATCATTGGATTCACGAATAGACATTGAGCCAGATAAAACCATCAACTTTCCCATGCCGTTGGCCCGATGGAATTATAACAACTATTCTTCCGCTTCGAAAGCTGCCATAGCCTGGTTTGTGCAATACTGTCATAAGGTTCTGGAAATAGAAACTAGCCGCTTATTTACGGTTGCAGACCTCGCAGGAAACAGCCCTCATCAATTCTCAAAGGTCTGTCGAATCGCACTTACCGCCTGAAAAGTGACTGATTGGTTGCCAGGTTATATCTGTCGTATCTTTGATTGTCGAAAAAATTGTAGCTGCCGGTGTCATTAGTAACAGCCATAGCCATACAAGTTACAAACGCTTTCAGCTACATGGTGATTCAACAGAGGCTGTGGAGGAGTTCCTCTCAGAGCAGCACCATTTTGTTCGTCAGATGATGGAGCTCGCCAACATAAAAATCCAGCTCGACGGCTACGGCTTCCCTCATGATGATGTGGCCGATATTTTCGGCCGAGTCGAAAGTCTGGTCGACCTGCACATTACCATGTTGGTGAAAATGGAAAGAAACCTTTTTGTACCTCAAGAAGAGAATACGTGGCATCCGGTGTTTGGACTATATTTTACAAATGTCCAAGTAGAGGCATTGTTTATCGCTAATGAGGTGTCGGCCAGGACCAAGATACGTTCCTGGCTTGAAGAAAAGCCTTTCAATGGCGGTGAAGAGTCGATGAATCTATTGACACAGTGTTTGAAAATTATACCACTTCCGGGTCAAAGGGTACCGAAATACCTTTCATTCTTAGAGGTAACGTATAGACAAATGGCTTAACGATTATTCATTTGTTTGCTAACGGATGGTAGTACCTTGGAAGTCAAGATTCTATAAATATTTCACAGACGAAAGACATTATGATGGCCAAGGGATCCCTCCATCAAGCTGGTGCAGCTATAGCAGAGGCTCTTAAGAATGAAGAGAATCGAGAGGTTCTGACAGACTTGGACAATCGTATCGAAGATTGGAAAGGACACAGACGCGACCAATTTGGCAACTTGCTTCTTTTCGATTTACTCAGCATCACGAAGGGCAAAGTAACTAACCCTGTAAGTTCTTTTCTTGAGATATGGGAGATGGTTGACTGAGATCGTGACAGTACCGCGCTTATCTTTTCCAAGGGATTTTCCTCCTCTGTAAAGAAGTGAAACCCAGTGTAGGTTCACGAACAGGTTTCCTTTTCAGGAAGAAAAAGGTCGTTCCCACAAATCAACAGACGAAACTGCAACTCAAAGGACGAATCTTTTCATTAAACATCACTGATATCGTAACTGCATCAGTATCTGGTATGATTAACTCCGTATTATTTTATACCTATCTTTTTATTGACACTTTAGGGTCCTATACGTGTAGAGTGGTGTGGAGAGGGTCGGATGATGATGACGGCTTTAATAGTTTCACGATCAATTTCACAAAGGAGTCTCAAATGTTACTATGGTCTTTGAAACTTGATGAAATTAGGCAAAGAACAATTAAAACGGATACGGATGCGGCATGGATCTAAGATGAAATTGGTAACTCTCCATGTTTCTGCTGATATAAACTCGATGGTGACTAGTTAGTTTATCATCATGCAATTACCACCAGTACGATTTAGATCAAGATTCGAACTCTATAGGTTTAGACAACTCCCAATCTAAACTCTGAGGCCAAAGGTGACCTGGCGCTCAGTCATCAAAACGAACATTTGTGACTCCGGCCTATGTGTTCCAACATAGTCGACCGTGTTGCCATATTCCAACGCTAATCAAGAGGTCAGCACATCGCCAAATTCTAAATGCGGAAAAAAAGATAAAATTGAGTAAAGGAATACTCACATGAAGCATTGCGTTGACGTTTGTTGTACCACTTGTAGATGATGTAGCCAGTCGGAGGAATAGCAACAACCACAGCCACAATGCCTATAATGGCTTCAATGTTCATGACACTCTTTGACGTCTGGAGGTTCTCAGGTACGAGTTGAACGCTGACTGCTGCCTGTGTCTGTGTTAGGGCTGTGAGTGTAACAGGTAGGCAGTTATGTATAATATTTTAATAGATGCTTGTGGTAATAGGTATTTGTGTCTTGTATTATCTTCTGGTAATCAGGGTACTTAACAGAGATGTCGAACTGAGAATTTTAAAGAGGTGGAATGGACCGAGAAGTTATAGTCCGATACTGTCCAGGATGCTTGACATCCACCATTGTCAGATGCCTGAGTGGTTCCCTTCATTTTGAATTTTGCATCAGCCAATAATCCATCACCAGAGTATTGTTTTTGTATGCATGGGTGGTGGCGGAGCTCATATTTTGGAAAAGGCCAATGAACAAGGTAACCAGAGTAGAGAAATGCGGTGGCACATTTTGGTGGATGCTGATTTGTAGCTGACAATATTGAGACCTCAGTGGGGACTTTTGGTTTGAAGCTGACCAATTGTATTTCATATGTACGGTGTGTCTCTATTACCTGCTGTCCTGTACTCGGCCAAGCTGACAAGCTGTGGTGGCTTCATTCAGCATTGACATTTGATTTTTGATAAAGACGAATCAACAGCCAGGAAGTTACGTCACCAGCTAAAGCTTATGGCACTTGTACCTTCGCTTCCAAGCCTCTTTGGCAAGCCACCCCAGATTTTGGTAAAGACCAATCATATCAGACAGCCCAGAGCCTGGTCGACTGATCGCATACAAATATGCAGACGCACCCAACATATTATCCATTTCTCCACTGAGCTTTATATGTTTTGAAGTGGACCAATCCGAAGTCACCACAGCTTGGGCGGAGTTGTTTCCAAGCTCAATTCTAGCAAGATCCAATAAGCACACTCTCTACCACAGCCTCAATAAAGTTCTCCGAATCAAGCAACGTTCCGGTTACACAACACAAAGTTTATGAAATTTGGACAGCCAAATCTCAAAGCTACGTTATGAATCGGGTAGCTAAGAGAAGGACGAATATTCGGTCAGGTGACTGGAAAATCATTGGTCGTTATCTGAGCAAGCGCAAAGACCGGCAGTCTACCGTCTATCTCAATGGGAATGCCCTCTCAACCGAGAAGGTAGAGCGAGCAATATATCGGAACTTTCCCGCTACTCTTGAGCGTTTACAGGAAGGTAAGATTGACCTCCTCATAAGCCTGACCAAAGACTAAGAACAGCCCAGAGCCTTGCCCGCCCTTGCCAGAGGGCGTCACCATCAGCACGCCACCACAGTCACCAACCCAACCGCATGATGGGCTGTACTCTCTTCCAAGTGGTTTGCCGTCTTTCCTTTTTAGGATTCCCTATGATAGTCTGGCATTAAGCAAAGCGGCCAAAAATCTTGACTCCATGACATCCTCTAGTGCTTTGGATTTTGTCCGCTCAATACTTCCTTCACAGGAGAGAGAAGACTTTATGTCACAGGAATACATCCAGGCAGTCTGCAACGAGCTTCGAAATACAGTGCCAGAGCGATTCGAAGGCGAGCTTGAACTGATAGTGAACCGATTGCTGGAGCCTAGCCCGGAGCAAATCGTCAGATTCGCGGCTGAACGATTCATCAATGACCGACTCACGCCCGAGGAGGTGCAACGCCTGTTCAGATTAGTACAGACTTCCGGATATGATGATTGCTTGCTTTCATGTCTCAAAGTGGAAGCAAAAGCGACGAAATGTCTAGCGACAGCTATTCTTGGAGCGGCAATGTTAAACAACAACGAACATTTTGTACGCGTAGCTCTTGATCATGGAGCAGATCCAAATTGTAGTATTCCCATCAGGTACCAGACGCCTTTAAGTCTTGCTACTCAAGACCCAGCAAAGTCCAAACTAATCCCCATGCTTCTTGACGCAGGGGCTAAACCCGATGATCGGGATATTTACCGAGTTGCTAAGCGTAGGGACATCGACTTAGTGGAGCGTCTCGTTCCTAGGGCTACCTTTCCCGATATCGGAAGGTTGGTCATACTTGCTGCACGTCGCGGAGACGTAGAGCTTTTCCGCTCCCTCATAATCCTTGGGGCAACCCATAACGAATGGTCACGGGGCCCTAAGGAGGCCCACCCACTACATCTCGCGCTTCTAGGACACCATTTCGAACTTGCACAGCTTCTTATCGACCTCGAACCGCCCGATGATAATCGGATTGCATATCTCAAGCTAGTGGTAGAACGTGGGGACAGGTTAGCAGCAGAGTTCCTGATTCAGCATGGGACAGATGTGAATGCTCGTATGCCTTATGGAACAGAAACAGCTTTATCATTGAGCATCAGGCAAGGCAATCAAGACATAATCCAGCTTCTCCTACGCCACGGAGCCGACCCTTGCGTTGATGGACCAGGCTTCCTACCACAGCGCCGGGTAATAGGAACTAATAGTGACTCTATTCAAACTGCCCTCGAAGATGCAGTGCGCAGTGGGTCCATCGAAAAGACCCAGCTCTTACTATCAATGGGGGCAAAAGCCAAGGAATCGGATACCACTTCGTTTCTGCTTGGTTTGGCCGTGAAGAAGTCCCCTCATTTGATTCCTGTTCTCCTTCGAGCTGGTGCAGATATATCCAACATGTTCGAATGGACTTCATTAACCTCGGAAACCAGTCGTGCAACAATGCTTGAGGTAGCTGTTGAATCTGCTACAGCAAGTGGCAGTCTTGATGTTGTGGAGATCGTTTTGCGTTTAGGCGCCCCGGTGAACAGGGTCATACCAGACCCCGATATGCCTTCTGCTCTTCAGATAGCAGTGACTCAAAATATGAATCACAAACCTCTGAGCGAAGTCCTTACGGTGGACCTGGTTCGGCTCCTTCTGGAATGGGGTGCGGATATTGACGTTCTCGAATTCTTGAGTCTCTTCTGGGATGAGAATGAAGATAGTGAGGCTGTTAAAATGACGCTTGTGCAGTCCGCAGCGGCACAGGGACGTACAGCTCTTGTCAGGCTTCTCGTTAGTGCTGGTGCAGATTGCAATTCGCCAGCAGGAAAGCACGGCTTCACGGCAATCCAAGCGGCCGCCCGGTTTGGGGACGCGGAGATGGTAGAATACCTTATACAATCAGGTGCTGATGTGAATACTCCACCAGGCCCAAACTATGGTTTGCCTGCACTGGTCGCGGCGGTGGCAAGAAACGACTTGAAATCAGTTTCATCTCTACTTCAGGCTGGGGCAGACCCAAATACTCCCGGAATCGTCTCGGTCGATTCCGTTAGACAGAAGATGACGGCATTACAAACGGCATCATGTCAGCCTGGAGGTTATTGCTCCTCAAAGGATAGTCCAAAGCTTAGGCTGAAGATGCTGAAGCTCCTACTAAACGCAGGGGCCAGCCCACAGACACCTCGATTCACGGATGCCAGGAAAGATAGGTCCTCACTAGCCTGGGCCGTGTATTGGGACGACATTGATGCCATAAAACTCCTGCTTGACTTTGGGGCCCATGCAGACGTTGCCGAGGCATTGCAGACCGCTCAGGACTATGAGAGTCCACTAGAGATCTTGTATCTGCTGGGAGCTACTTGTTGCGAAGATGCAAGACGATCTCGAGACACCCTGAGTTGCAGGTGCGGCAACTTTCAAAGCCAATTGGAACCTGGTCGAGATCCTTGCGTCTTCCCTGTACCCCTTGCAGAAAACGAGGTCAGCATGCACCAGCTGCTTGAAGTTGGCCAAGACGGGTTTCCTTGCTGCCTTCACTCAGCCACTTTGCAAGGCAACTTCGCCAAGGTGAATCATTTGTTAGAACACGGCGCAGATGTCAATTTAAAGGGCGGCAATACCTGTATGCGACCATTGCAGATAGCGGCAGAGAAAGGCTACGTTACTATAGCCCACAGACTGATTCAAGCAGGTGCAGATACGGCAACAGCAGTCAGTGAAGCGAAGTGCCATCGTGGGCTTGATATATGCTATCTATTGCAGGTCGATAATTCTGGTCAGAGTTAGGTAGCTGCAATTGATATAATATTTATATAAATAATGATAAATATCTAGGAAATGTACATATACGCAGGCTATGTAAAGATTATGCGTTATATTACTAACCTAGGATATTAAAGAGTTGTAAGAAAGTCATATTCAGGGAACAGCAAACTTCAACTAACTCCCCCAAAATCTTACAATGAGACAATTATTGAAAAAGTGTTGACAATGATTTGTGCTGAACGATTTAATAAAGCATGAGCAATTTCCATAGCAAGAAGAATTAAAATGTATTCGATGGCACCATCAATCCTTTCGACAAACAATTTGTTATGTCTACTCATAGACTGTGTGCACTTTGGAAGACTGCAACCTTTATCTTATCCCAACTTCAAACGGTGAGCATGGTCACAAGATATATCCGTACATGGGGTAACGACATAGGGTAGGTATGGGTCTGCTCATGGCAGGGTGCCTGAACCACCCCTGCACTTTATGGAGACCTCTCTAAAGAGACATGATTATGATTGGGAAAGATCCTTGTAGTCTAATGTGGTAAATTGCGAAGATGGTCGGAATCTGACATAAAGTTTTGTCAAACCAATGTTAAAAACTTTGTTATCTTAATAGGAAAAGGGAGTTCCATGAGGCGCTAATGGCTAGTTCTTACTTTATAGACCTTGCTCAGTTTGAAAGCTGTTAGGCACGCTCTGGGGATGGATTTATCATCATTGAGAAGCCGTGGATAGAATTGGTTAGTTTATCATACCGAATCTTACCAATATTACAGGGGTAGATGATATGAACCAGGGACTAGGACAGCAGAACTACAAGGCAATGGGTCGCCTGGCCATGGCGATGACAGAAAAAAACGCCCGACGTTCTTTCTCGCTAGCTATACCCACCGACCCCGTTTGTCCCTCCCTGTCATCCTTCACATCTCTTGACTGAACTTGTTCGCTCTTACGATAAAAGCGTCAATTCAATCGACTCGTATTTATCGTCAAGCGTGACGGCTAACGATATCAATTCCACGGGAGAAGGATGGGAATGAGTTCGATCTACTTTGCGATCTACAGCTTCTGTCTCATCTCTACATATCTTTTGGGTTTCGCCAGAGCTGCCAGTTTGCTGGAAGATGGAGATGACTTTAGCAATAATTTGGTGTCTGACCTTGCGCCATTGCTGGCCTTATTTGGCGAACGGGTCACGACTCAATTCATGAGCCAGTCCACCGGTTGGGCAGACTGCATTGCTCTTGCTATGGCTCCAATGGGTGTCATCACCATTATTGTCAGCGCGATTCGTGTAACCGGACCTCGTTGGCTCAAAGCAGTTGTTGGAAGAGCCAGAGAAAACGTTGCCGCTGCCGAGCTCGAAGTCATGTCTTCAACGTCATCTGAAGCCTGTGAGCTATGGAATGGTAAGACAAGGGCTGTCGTGCGTTGCCCTGGGGCGACTGACAATTGCGAATTCATTTGCATCTATCCCACGTCTATGCTGGACAAGAGACACAAGGGAAACACCCTCAAACGCGTGCAGATCATGGATATCAAGAATGCTAAGAACCGCGACAAAATCGGGGACTCCAATCACCAAGAGACAAGAACAGGGACGCCTCCCCCCGATCAAAAACGAAACAGCTTGATATCGCCTGCATCTGACGACACGATTATCATAACCCGCAATACAGCACATCTTGCGCCAAACATGACTCTTAATTGTAGCGCAGACGGAGAGCGTTGGCAGATGTGGGCTTGTGCAGTGGTGGGCATTATCATTCAATCAGGCGTGTTAGTCTTCTTCGGCTTCTTGACCAAGTACAAGACACTAAGATTTGAGAAGGATGGTAGCCCGGTGGAAACGTATGCCATGCCTATGGCGGTCGTGGGCACCCTGATCTTGAATCTTGGTATACTTGTCTGTGCACATGCTGTAGACGAAAGCAGCAAGGAAGAGGTTTTCGAGGTCACTGACAGTTCAGCTGCAGTAGCTATGGTTTGGCTCCAGAAGAAAACTAAAGTCAGTGAACAGGACTTCGATTCGGCAGCAATATACCCAACAATGAAACGCTCTAGGGCTTATACATCCGAACGAACGATTGACGATGATGGAAGTCAAAAGGCTAAGACGCAGGACAAAGGCTGGTGGTTGAAGTTCATGTCAACTATGGGGGCTGCCACAAGTCTTTTGGGCTTTTTTGTTCAGTTTATCGGCCTGAGGGGAATGCATTGGCTGGCTACAATCGCACAACTAGGAGCGATCATTATCATGACAATCCTCAGAGCAGTGGTCCGTCGACATCTCGCTTTAGGGCTAATGAGCCATGATTTATGTGACTCTACAGGCTTCGAGTTGGAGTGGTTCGTCTCGTCCTTTTTAAACAAAGGCGGCATCTCTTGGATTCCTCAAGAACACCCACAGACACAAAACGCCGACACCGACGGAAAACGAACAAAAGCGTCCAAGTTTACTTTCGAGATACAAACGAATGATACAGAGGTTGTGCAGTCCTCAAACTCTAGTTTCAGACAAAGAGATGCCACTCAATCGTTCCTAAAGGTCTCCACACTACAACACCCACAAGGAATTCTTGACTTGCGACGCCACCTGGGCGAACTAAGCAAGTGGAAGGGTCCAGCCTCGACAGAAGCAATAGCTGTCGCAAACGCCATTGAGAAAACCATGAATTTCGTTATGCCGTTATTGAGTCAGAAAAAGGTTGAAAGAGAATTCGTTTGGACAATTAGAGTAAACTACAATTGGGGACAATCCGAAAACAGCAACGACAGGACTCCCAAGAACATCGGGATGAATCTCAGGTATTCTCTAAATAATGGGTGGATAGCGCCTGTGGATGAGATAGAAGCTGCACTTTCACTTTGGCTTCATTCTATGAAAGAGGTCCAGGCTCCTGATAAAACACAGCATGACTTTCCTTCTGGCAACGATCATTGGATACGTGGTAGCCCAGCTCAACAACAACGGTGTCTACAAGTACTCGGGCCATCAGAGGATGTCTTGTTACGGGATCTTACGTGGTGGATGCCTAAAGGTCTTGATGGAATTCTAGCAGCCCGAGTGAAAGATTCTGATGTGATGGACGATAAAAAGTTCCCCTACACAGTCAAAAGGGAGCGAGTGGGATACAGCGGTCGAAGGTGCCCCACAGTCAAAAGGAACGAGAAGTCATGGACTAAGGATCTTTCTTATTGGGATTGGAAACCAGCAGCTGATCTCCATCGTGATACTGATGAGATTATGCAAGAGAGAGGTAATATTGTGGTTCAAAGTCAACAGAAGAGCCCAGACAGCCAAGAGCAACCTACACCCGATGTGTTTCAATGGTTAGTGATAGAATCCCAAGATCCTTTGAAGAGGTTTTATGCAAAGGAACTATTCTCAGCCTTCATTTGGGCTCTGGCGACACACCTGGGAGAATCGACCATCAGCCGACAGCTGCAGGCAAACATAAAGCCCGACAACGCCACAGGAACCGACGCCTGGAAGAGTTTCTCTTTGGAGAACCATGAGCTCTCCCGTTTCATACAAAGTCTAACAGAACTCAATCTGTGGACGGAGCAAGAAGCGTGGCGTAGTATCATTCCGCCTCTTAGCGCTACAGACAACCTACCAGGCCTCAACGCTGTTATCGAAATGGCACAGAACAAAGCAACTACGCTTGAGAGGGATCTCGCTTGGGGCCAGGCAGGATCAGTGTATCGATGGCTTTTCGATATCAGCATGCCATCCTCCCCGACAAGCCACATTTATGTCAAGTCTACCGCTATCATGTTGAGATTTCATCAAAGGCTGTCGAGCTCCGATAGTCCCCACAGTGACAAGACGTATAGCGAGAAAGGGGACGAACTGGAAGAAGAATTGGCTAAAGTGAAAGGATGCTTGAGACGTCAGGAAGAACAAAACCATGCGGTTCAAGGCGACCTGAGTCTCTTTTTCGATATTCACCAAGAGCTACAGAGACTCGTAGAGAATCCTGACATCCATGGATTAGTCGAACATCACTTCGATGGAATGTCTTATCTCAGCAGGCCAGAGCGACGCGTCTATGGGACATTTCAGAGACCAGGCGATATTTTTGATAGAACACGATTACACCACGCGATGAGAAGCAAATTCATAGACTACGAGGAACTGCCAGGTGAGGAGATGAAATCGCAATGGGGAGGTTTCGACTACTGGCGGGAACATTCGCCACGGATGCACCAGGAGTATATCAAATGTATGGAGCCAGTGGCGACAGAACTCGAAAGTCTTAGCCTTTACCCATTCTGGTTGGTAAAAGGCATCGCTTCAGCCATATTGTATCCATTTCAAACTCTGGAATATCTGCTGGATAACGGAGCAGATCCTAATGCCCGAGATTTGGACCATTGGACTCCCCTTTACTATGCCTGCCAACCTATTACTTTGGATGGTAAAACCTATACAAGTAGGGATTGCTTCAGAGTCAACACTCTTATCGCAAACAAGGCGAATGTCAATGCGAAAGGCCTCGATGGCAATACCCCTTTGCATTGTGCAGCCATTTCGGGTCGGTCCCATTTGGTCAGGTTGCTTATCGACAGCGGAGGTAATGTCAAAGCGGCCAACCTTGAGGGCCGGACGCCCCTTCATCTGGCTGCAATGGCGAATGATCCAACGATGGTCTCTTTACTAGTCAAAAACGACTGTGATATCAATATAAAGGACCAAGCTGGGCAGACACCACTCCACTTAGCTGCTATCTCAGGGCAGCTGGCTTGTATTACGAAGCTCATTGAAAATGGAGCAAGACTCGATGTCGTTGACAATTCTCAAGCAACGCCACTTTACCTAGCCGCGATGGACGATTCTCCAGAGGCCTTTAAGGCTCTTTTGAATACTGATACCCTGCGTCTTTCGATGACAAAGGCCATAGACGAAGAGAACTTGGATCTTATTTCTCTTCTTATGGATGAGACCGATCCAGATGCATGGCCTCTAGCGGATAAACATGGCCAAACACCGTTCCATGAAGCAGCCTCTAACTCGAAGTTGAAATCTCTTGACAAGATATTTGAAAAAGCAAGAGAACTACAGTTCGATCTAGAGGTTGTTCTCAAGAAAAATATTCTCGGTCAAACCGTCATTCACGTCTATCGGCCAGATTCGGTGGCCATCATAGTCAAACACTTGAAGCCATCACCTGAGCTTTTAAGAAGGTTAATAGAAACGCAAGATGATGAGGGTTGCACTTCACTTTTGCAAGCCATAAAAGCGGGACAGAAAGAAGTTGTCTCTATTCTCATCGACGAAGGAGCAAATTCCCGAACGAGTTCCAATGACAAGAAAAACATACTACACGCGTCCTTGATGTTGCCTCCGAATCACCTACAGCATGTCATACAGAAGATCAAAGAGAGAGAGGGTTGGGCTCAAACTCTATCTTCGATGCTTGAAGAGGAGGATGGCAATGGAAAGACACCACTAGATTTAGCAAGAATGTTTCCGATCAGGGAAAATGAGGAACTGTTGGAAAAGGTGTTGGAGGAATGCAAACGAGAACTCAGGTTGCAAGGTATATAGAGCGTAGGTTTTACACGAGCACAATCGTTTTGGCTAGGCTAATGGAACGCATACAAAAACTAATTTGAAGACATAGCACTTTACCTCAATAATTAATAGGCGATAGTATTTGGCATGTTTTCGATTGACAGTATTGTTTGGGCTTTACTGTCAAGCCGCTGACGCATGCTTACGCCCGGCTTCAGCTGAACGTGATACCAGATGCAGATCGAAGCGCCCTAACATACTGAGCGGTGTGAAATAATGTCTCTGATGTGGTAGGTGTGGATAAGTGCTTGTCCTATCAGAAGTGTTCACCATGTCAACGAGTACCAAATCGGTATGTTGGAGTTGGTTCCATTTTCAAGCCCCATGGCCGGTTGCCTCTTTTCTTGTGGGTACTTTCCGCTTCAATACTGAGAAAGCTGAAGTAAAAACATAAGGAAACTGGGGAGAAGGATGAATTAAACATCTATAACAGGATCATACCTATCGAAATAAAAAACAGTTTTTCAACAACGATCTATTTGTAACCACTAACCCATATTTAATAGTTATTTCGCGAGAACGGTCTCTTTCGTTGTTTTCGTACTTACCATCCATATTCAATTCTCTCACAACTTATCATGTCGTCAATTGGGAAAATCAATGGTGCCCTAAACTCCTTCACGGTTGAGAACACTGCCGCACTTGTCAACGTCAATCTTGATCTCACGCTGTTTCGGTGCGAGCCATCGGCTGAGTTCAAGCCTGTGGGTTCTGCGTTAACCATAAGAAGAAAAAAAGAGGCCGAGACTGGACAAACCCATAAAACAGCCTGCAAGCTGGGGTTTCTTCTGAATGATATCATTCCAGACACACCATTGTTGCGCAAGGCCTACGGCAACCGTGTGAGCGAGATTCTATCTAGACCAGATATTAACCCCCGCGGGACCGATAACGATGGTCCATTTCAACCTTTCATAGGCGCTGATTGCACAAGCATTTGGGCCGCTGCAACATCAGGAGACGCTGCAATCGGTGTTCTCCTTCTTACCTGTATGCTGGCTCATGCCTTTGACGCGAAGAAAGCAGTCTCTATCTGGTCTGAACTTATAGACCAACGCAAACGCAATATCCAGCTCCTTCTCGAGACTGGGAAGATGTTGAACCCAAACACAGTCGTCGCATCCAACCAGGACATTACCAGGGCTGAAATCAGGACGTGGGATGCGAGTGCCCGGTCCTGGCTACGCAGAGCTGACCTTGCAATGACCTCGCAAAAGACAAGGTTCACCCTTATTGCGGAGAACATAGCAATCCCTTACCCTGGGGGAAGTTCGATGTTCGAAAAAGTCACGACAACCTGGATAAGGGCTATGGAGGTATTTGAGAAACTACTTGCCAATAGCCCCCAGCAAGCTTGTGATCGGTCAATCATTTCCGGAATCTACGCTTGGCATCTGTATCCGGACCTTCTGGTCTTTCAAAAAGAAGCCAAGAAAGTTCCTTTCAACGATACCCTTATTCCGAACTCTGCAGTTTTAAGTTTGGGACTTGAGTACAAAGGCACACCGTCCGATAGCTTTATCCGCTGGTCTTTAGCGTTGTCTCACCTGAGGTACTATGGTGATCCTGTCCAGGTCAAGAGCAATGATGCATTCACCCGGATACGTATGCCAGATATGTGGCTTCTTGCGCTAGGGTCATTACTTGGTAGTTGGGCCGTGCCGTACACAAGCCTGAGTGTCGGAATGGCATGGTTTGAACAACTTGGGCATAGGTTGCGTGAGACTACTCAGTCCAATCGGATCGAACTGACCTGGCTGTTGCGAATCTGTGACGCCGTCACTGACCTATCTCCTGAGCAACGCGATACTGCTGAGAGACTTGTCAAGTACGGTTGCAGACGAGGCGGTAGTCTGTTGGGTATTGAGGGGTCAGTGCCTACTCAGATAGCCTTCTTTGGTCTATGCAGTCCAGCATTCTTATGTGCTATGAGCCAGGAGGACGAAATCGAGGTTGGAATAGAATGGCTTCGAAACGTCTCCGTTCAAGCGGGTATCGAAGTCCAAGACGTGGTAATTTCGCACTCAAAGAGGATTGGGTCATATGACTATACCGAATGGATTACGACTCAACCTGTCCACCTTCAGCTAGGGGGAAATGAGACCAGCCAAGACATGAAGAACAATGGACAAGTCAGCTATATGAGGTGGGTTCATTGCCCAGTTGACGGTAACGACCATGCGACACGTTCAATGCTGGAAGAAAGGATTAGAGCCATCAGGGAACGGGGAGAAGCCTGCGAGCTTATTACTCACTATAGGGGCTTTCTCCACAGTCACCCTTACCATGAGAATTTTGTACGCACTTGGCATGAGCCACCGCAAATCTTCAAGTTATATGATTCTCAAGAAGCGGAAGAGCAGGAAGACTTCATAGATTATCTCGGTGGGCACAACAGAGGCTACGGTGGGTTTAACCTCCGAATCAGAACCAAGAGGAAAGGTGGGCGTCAGTGGTTTAGTATCCTTCGAGAAGCTATTAGACGCCACTATGACATACAAAGAGGGTTGCAATGGATATCGGATTCGACAAGGTCAGACAAAGTCGTAAGATATCTACTCTCCTATCTCTGTGTAAGTTTAATAACAGCGATGTTATTGTATCCTCGCTGATCTATCTAAACAGAATCAGGCTGCGTCAGGTCCAGAACGAAGGCTCAAGCGTAAACGAAAAGGGACGAACTCATCAGAGGTACAACTACGACATAACCGATTCCAGAGCTATTTCGATGTTATGACCAATCTCCTCCCAAAATCATCCGAGATGGTAGTTGGGATGCGAACCTTGGAAGTCGCCCACAAACTATACGAAACGCTTCCAGGAGCCACTGTCTCTTTGCGCGTCATCGAACAAAACCTACTCAAGGCACACTGGCTCCCATCTTCCATCAAAACGATATTGGGCCTGATGTCGACTAACTCACGAATGGATGGGTACGAAAAGATAGTTTCCACTCCAGTTGAAGAGCATATGAAAGATATGACCCGCCAGGACTCATTCGCATGCGTTGCCATGTTCGAATCAGGCCACCTCAATATCGACCCGGCGCGCTTAACAGAAGTCATCGCCCTGTGCTATGAAAACTCAATATTCGTTGCCGAGATATTACTTCGCGATCCCAGTGTGGATACATCGTCACTCGGTCTCGCTCACATGGTTGGTAATGTAGGAAATGCTGGTATGGTATTTATGGTCTCGCCCATCGAACCTCGAGTGCGTCCAGCCCAACATGACCCGTCACTGATCGATCACCTCAAGTACGACAACAGTGTCGTGGACATGCTCAGAGGAACTTCTCTTCACCTATCATTCACAACATGGAAGATGCCGCTTGACTGGGAAACGACAGGCGAGATAGACCAAGAGGTCTTCCTGCTCGAGTCAGTCGTATCGGTACAGGATAAGGGAGCATGGGTGGCAGATATCGATGTTCTGGAGAGGGAAAGAGAAGGCATTGATATTCTCACGTTCACATGTGGCTGTTCAGATCCCCATTTCCCTGCTGATGCCGATGCTGTTTCGCTTGACACATGGGAGGAGCTTCTTGATCCTCCTCCTTGTGTGGGAATATTCAGAGCCAAAGACAACTGGGCGGCTCGTCTTGCAGCGGTCTCTATCTTGATCCAACAAGGACGACAACACGTTGCAGCCATCGTTGACGGTGATAGAGTCTGTTGGCGTTGTTTGAAAGAAACGTATGCTGAACCGGAACCGCATTTTCCTCAAGTTTTGATTTATTGAGCTATTTTAATTTTTCGAAATCACCTTGGACGACTTAAACATTGCAGGCTTTCCAAAGAGATAACACGGTCGTTTTAGCTACGCCGCAAATTGAAACCGCCCTTCAACATTCTAGTTATAGCGTATGATCTTTTTTCACAGATGAAATCTTCAATGCCATCTAAACATGGCTCGGATATTATTTGTGAATAGAGCTAATCAACCAAGGGTAGTTTACTTCTCAGCTAGCTCAAATGCCTTCTTCAACGCCGTGTCGACTGGGACTCTGTACTCTTGAAATTTCGCTTTGCTAAAAGCCTCCTTTAACTCTTATAAGGAAAATGCCTTATACTTGACTTTCAAGATAGTAAGCCCTATAGCCTTCTATACGTACCGATAAAGATTAGTGGGGATTGAGTATAATGGAGCTACGTCAAATACCTTGCCTTGGAAAACACTAGTGAGAGAAGACAGTTATTACTGTTTTCCATGGACAATGCACCAAGCTGAGCTTTACAACGTAATCTGCGAGGAGTAGCATGTAGACTGATCTGTCTCGGACTCATTATGTAGCGGGCAGAACTTGTCCATCATTTACTTAAGAGGTTTTCTAAACTAATGGTATTTACGATTTCATATCAATTCTTGTAAAAGCTTCCAGCCTTCAGCATACTTATGATGTGGGACTGCAATGTTGGTCTAACCGTGTACATCAGTCACTATACACCTTCATAATATTCTACAGGTCGTCTCTTAGACTTTGGATCCTCGTTGTCAAGCTTTTCCGTAGCATCGTGACAAGGCGCTTTCCAGTCTGTAAGGTGCGAACTTTGTTAGTATATACACATCAAAAACAAACCCAACGAGTAATTCAAAGTACTTACTCCTAGTATGCCGAGCTGGAATCCCCTCTTCAAACATTAGATCAATCTCCTCGAGAGTGCGACCCTTGAGCTCAGGGTAGTAAAAGAAAGCCCAGATACAAGCAACAAATGCGAAACTGCCATAGATGAAGCCAACTTTAGCTCCGAGGTTGGCGTACTCAGGGTTCATAAGATAGGGGAGCGTGAAGGTGGTGATGAAATTGGTTAGATTCTGGACGGTGAAAGAAGCCATGGCGGTTTTGTCTCTCAGTCGTGGAGCAGGTATTTCGGCAGGAATAAGCGTTCCGCTAATGGACATGGTTAGCACAGCACAAAGTAATTATGACCATTCAGCTCACAGTGGAACAAAGGATCCGAGTAGAAAGTACCCATATAAGGGGAACATCGAGGCGATGACAAGTTTGGATGAGTCGCTTGGATTCCGGACGGTACCGATACCGCCAACCACCATCATGCAGATCGAGGCGAGAGGGGCGAGGGTGAAATAAAATCCTCTTCTACCGACATGGTCGACGAGGGCAAGGAATGTCAAGGCGCCGGCGATGCCTCCAACTTTGATGATGATAGTGAAGACGTATGGATTGTATACGTTGAGGCTTTTGATGAAAATGGTACCGTATGTATTGGCGAATGCTTGACCGGATGCGAGAGCAAAGAAGTTGGAAATCATGGCTACGTTTGTACGCCTCTAAAAATCCGTATTAGCTGACGTAAATAACGTTTCGCGGGTGAAGAACTTGCCAAGTTTGTGCCCTTAAAGAGGTCTATCCAGCCACTCGCTTCCATGTTCCTTTCAAGTGACATCTTCATCCGCGCTATGTCCTCCCCGACGTTGTATTCAGGGTAGCCATCGTTGAGATACTTCAGACTGGCGATAGCCTTGTCTTCTCTGCCCATTCTGATGAGCCATCTGGGAGATTCGGGGACCAACCAACTGAGAAGAAGAGCAAGAGAAGGTGCAGAGAACAAAACGGCCACGGGAATCTTCCAAGAGTCATCGCCAGGGATGGGAGCTGTGGCGTAGGCGACGATACCAATGAGGAGAGAACCGATGAGGCGTCCAAAGACGTACATGGTAACCATTGCTCCGCGAACGCGAGATGGGACCAGCTCAGCGGTGAACATGGGAATGAGCCAACCTTCCATGCCTGTGTAAATGTTGACAATGCAGCGGCCAGCGAGGATCTGACCATACGACTTGGCTGTGTAGCTGACGGCGATGCCGGCCAGGCAGATAATGTTCATGATAACGTAGACAGTACGACGGCCGAACCTTTCGCCAATTTGTGAAGCCATGAAAAGAGCTGCAGCATAGGCGATGTATGGAATGGAGTTGAGGAGAGAGAGATTCGTGGTACTGATGTGACATACGCCGTTCGGGGCACACTCGTCGCCAAATGTGTGCTGGAAGGCTATTACCATGCATTGTCAGCTTCATAACACTCAATTACATCCTCAGACCAGGACCTACTATCCATTGCTTGAATTGTATTATAGATCGCAACGTCAAAGCCATTGCTAAGAACATTGAGTGCAACAACTAGACAAAATGCACCCACAGGCAAGGTGAAATTGTGGATGAAAGGCAGATCACTGAGAGCCTTCCACACCGAAGTGTTTCTGATACCCATCTCGAGGGCAGTAAATGGCGATGGAAAGTATGAGGGATATCCTCTTGGAGGACCAGGAGATAAGACTGTGAGTCCTGTGTGACTCTTTGTAGCAAGGATATTTTGGAAAGAAATAGGTCCGATTAAGGTTGGGAGCGGACGACTTTGCATTCTTTGCTTTTACCCTTTCCTAGAGTCAAAGCGTTGAACTAGAGAACGGCCTACTGAGATCTTCAGACTAGTTACCCCGTGGGGAACAACGGTAGTGCAAAAGGAGTGGAATTTGTCACTGAATGTTTATGAGGGAGCCCGGAAAAGCCGATCAAGGTGTCTCTACCCGAATTCTATCCGAATATCACCAGTAGCGCAGTTTGACGCCAGGTTCCCCCTCCCTTTTCGGCTATTCGGAGCAGGGGTGTATACTGGGCCAACTAGTCGGATGCGAATGATGACTTACTGTGGGCTTCTCCATCCTTGCAACGCAACATCGATTGTAACAGAGTGTCGGCAACCAGATATGGACCTACGTACCTCTGTCCCTTATGTTGGGGGCCTTCGGGTTTGGGTACTTTGGCCCAGTGGTCCGTCGCGACACAAGTCGATGCCTTGTCGTGGAACTGGCAGCCTCAACTCGACGGAGTAGTAGCACTATAACGAAAGCTTAAGTGACATTGATCATACGTGATAATATTTACCAATAATAGTACAGTGAACTTAAAATAGTGGAATTGTTTCACCAAGTCCAAGAATTGTAAGTATCAAAGTCATTCGCATGTCCTCATTCTACATAGCGGTTATACTATTATCTCCGAAATCTATCTCAACCATGCCCGTTTCGGAGAAATACTGCTCCCAATCGTCCAACAATGCTCTCAGTATCTCGGGCTTCTCGTTCGCCAAGTTGTTCACTTCGCCTGGATCCGTCGTCAAATTGTAAAGTTCCCACTCGCCACTGCCTTCTGGCGGTGGCAGAAACAGTGCCTTGTATTCACCTCTACGGATCGCTCTCTTGTCAAACAACTCCCACCCAGTGACATCCTGCTTTGTGTCGTATACAAAAGGTGACTTACCCGAGAGCATAGGCATCCATGATTTGCCGCGTACAGAGGCAACCTCACGACCGCGGAACATGGGCGCTGGGTGCTGAACCTGAGCAAGGTCTAGAAGTGTGGGTAAAATATCCATGACATTGGTAAACTCATGACTGATGCTACCGTTGGACAGTGAGGCAGTTGGATAGCGAACTATGCAAGGGCAGCGGATGCCACCTTCAGCTGCCGTACCCTTGAAGCCCCGACTAGGTGCAGTGGCTGCAAGGGCCCAGCGCGGGCCGTACCAGACAAAAGAGTCGTAATTTCCAATGTTGTCTAACGAGTTGTTGTAAAAGCGACGCATTGTTTCAGCAACGCCGAGGCTGGACATGACGGGCAACGATTCGAGTAGATTTCCTTCAGCACCGTTGTCGGACATGAATAAGACAAACGTATTGTCTAGCTCCCCTGTCTTCTCTAGGTAGTCAAGAACGCGCCCCACGTTCTCGTCCATCTGGTCCACCATGGCGGCATAAGTCTCCATCTTTCTCGCTGACGCGCGTCTCTCATCCTCACTCATTTCTTGCCATTCTTTTGTGACAGCGACAACTGGGGCAGGGACTATGCCTTCAGGGACAAGCCCCAGCTTCTGCAGCTGAGCTAGTCGGCGGAGCCGCAGAGCATCAGGCCCATCATCATAGAAACCTTTGTACTTATCAATGATGACCCGAGGGGCTTGCAATGGCCAATGAGGAGCAGTGAAGGTAAGATATCCGAAGAAAGGTTTGTCCTTCTCGTCCTCGGTGCGCTTCTCCAGAAATTCAAGCAGACGGGTGGTGAAGAAGTCGCTGGAGTAAAAGTGCTTGGGAAGATCATTCGTACGGTCGATGAAACGATGGTTTTCCATCCAGAAGCCATCGCTCTTCATGAATGGTGGCAACCGAACATCTAGCTGTGGTTCATAATTGTAGTGATTACCTGCACCCGGAAGATAAGCCAAAGACTTGTCAAATCCACGTTGCGACGGCGACGTTTCAGCAGTCATACCCAGATGCCATTTTCCAGAAGCTACAGTGAAGTAACCGGCATCTTGTAAAATCTCTGGCAGTGCAGCAACGCGAAAGTTGAGGTATCCCTCGTAGCCAGGCTTGCCTTTGCAATTGACCTTGGCGTTCATCATAAACTCGGCCATTTGACCGAGACCTGCAATGTGGTTGTCTGTACCTGACAGCAGCATTGAGCGAGTTGGTGAGCAGGCGGCAGCCGTGTGGAAATTTGTCATACGAAGACCATCCTTAGCCATGCGGTCGAGATTGGGTGTTGAGATTTCAGAGCCATATGGAGATGTGTCGCTGAAGCCCAGGTCGTCAGCGACCATAATTAAAAAGTTGGGTCGCCGAGACGAAGCCATTTTGAAGAGAGTGAACTTGACTAGTTGTGCGTGTTTGGTGGAATAATTTATTCAAAAAGACTAGGAGTATCACTAAACAGATATAATGACTTATGGCGAGTTCAAGGGATACAAATGCCAAACTGTATCTTATTGGACAAGTTCCAAGCACGACATCCGATCCGAGGATGACGATGTATAAATGTGGGCGGTGTATATCCGATCCAGATAAAACGCAAACGGGAATTCCGATTATTCGGTCTAGCCGGACTCTGTTTTCCACGGCTAAAATAGCCCTCAGTTAAGCATCGTTGAACTATTGGCACTAAACTTGGACCAACATAGCACAACCGCCAGGATATAATACCCTTTCGTGGAACTTTGGAGGCTAGCTTCGTAGATCCTACACAAGACGGTGAGGAATAAGGAAGAATAAGGAGGTGGCTAAGAAGGTCTATCACCGTCGGTAGAACCTGGGGTAACACTATATGGATCACTGGTAGCGTATCTTGGCATCTGGGGAAATAACGTAGTACTGCTAAATGCCAAGAAGAAGACATAGGTATATATGAGGTGTTGGTACGTTTGTGTCTAGCCATCCCATCTTCTTGACTTTTGCATCAGACCATTACTTGCACCAATCCACTGCCATGAAGCTATCTTCAGTCCTTCTTTTATCAACTGCATCAGTCGCAGCGACTGGCGCGGGACCAAAGCCTAAGCCTCTACGCAGGCCCAACTTCGTTCTCATCATGTCAGATGATCAAGACAAGCATCTAGACTCTCTTGATTTTCAACCCGCGATACAGAAACAAATTGCCAATCATGGTACTATGTTTGAGAGCCACTACTGCACAATGGCACAGTGTTGTCCGTCCCGCGTCAGTTTTTTCACGGGTAGGCATGGCCACAACACTAACATTACGGATGTTGCACCACCATATGGTAAGTATATCAACCCTGCAGAACCAATGTACACGTACAATAATGAACAGGATTGACAACCTTTGTTAGGGGGTTATCCCATGTTCATTGAACAAGGTTTCAACAAACAGTACTTGCCTGTGTGGCTGCAACATGCGGGCTACAACACGTATTACGTTGGAAAGCTTGTGAACTCCCATAGTGATAAGAACTACAATAAACCATACCCAGCGGGCTTCAATGGAACAGATTGTAAGCCTCGACCTTCACTACGATAATACTTTTGTACTAATCAATAACATATTAGTTCTTATCCAGCCAAACATTTACAACTACAGAAACGCCTCCTTCCAGCGCAATCATGATGAGCCAAAGTATTATCTAGGCTAGTACAACACTGATGTGGTTAAAAATAAGTCACTCAGCTTTCTTGACGACGCGGCTGATAATGTCGACATGCGGCCTTTTTTCCTGCTCGCCATGCCAATCGGACCTCATTCAGAGGTAGTTCCTACGGGTAACGGTGTCATGTTTACACCACCAGTACCTGCAGATCGTCATTCACGTCTGTACCCAAACGTAACAATCCCTCGCACAAAGAGCTTCAATCCAGCATCACCCAAGGATATCAGCTTTCTCAGAGACTTGCCACTGTTGAACTCGACCGTTGTTGATTCCTTGGATGAGTTCTACCGGCTGAGGCTGCGTGCCTTGGCTTCAGTGGACGACATGGTCGATGAAATATTTGCGAAACTTGAAAAGCGCCGACTTCTTGAGAACACGCATGTCATCTATACCACAGACAATGGATTTCATATGGATCAACACCGACTCCAAGCCGGAAAGACTACTTGCTACGAAGAAGATGTCAACATTCCTTTTATGATTCGGTGACCAGGCGTCTCCAAAGGGGCTCTGATGAATCACCCTACGAATCATGTCGACCTTGCTCCTACAATCTTCGATCTAGCGGGTATTCCCTTACGTGATGATTTTGATGGGGCACCAATGCCCATCAAAGACAAAGATCAGAAGAAGCCCCAAACGTACGAGAGTATCAATGTCGAGTTCTGGGGGATTAATAGTGTTGAAGAGGGTCATTACGGTGCCAATTGTGAGGTTCCTGAATATTCCTTAGTAGGTTTTGATCTTCGTTGTATGTTAATTTGTCTCTTTTCGTCTCTGGCAGCTTATATCATGAATAACACGTACAAATCTGTGCGCCTTATTGGTTCAGGATACAATATCATGTACAGTGCCTGGTGTACAAACGAACATGAGCTCTACAATATGCATGTAAGTTCCGATTCCATCACTTTTTCTGCTTTATTTGGTATCTAATCTGATTGTGAACATAGGCGGACCCTTACCAGATGAACAATATTTACCAATCCAAGGGCTACCCCCTTGGGAACTCAATTGAAAAAGTAGTATCCCGCCTCAACGGTCTCATGATGGTTCTCAGGCGTTGCCAGGGCCAGCAATGCGTCTGCCCATGGAAGACGCTTCATCCAAAGGGTAACGTGAAGAGTCATCCTGATGTACTCCAGTCAAAATATAATAGCTTCTATGAGAAGCAAATGCCACAAGTATCGTTCGATGAGTGTTTGCAGGGATTTATTATCTCAATTGAAGGCCCTCAGGTCCCGGCAATGTTGGCAAGACGAAGGAGGACGCAGATTATGACTTCTTGAAAGGATCCCATATGGCGGACTGAGCATAATGCCAAGATTCATATGAATAGTTAAAACAGATCATACGAGCAGACAACATTTCTGATGTTATACTTCCGCAGTCAAGAGAACAATATTAAGTGAATAAATTCATTCTTGCTTTGACGAAAAATTGTTCTTTTGTTGTCGATGTAACCGTAGTGGCTTCCACCCATCTTTACCCCTGTCTACTCCTTCGAGGAATGCAACATGTAACATCAGCAGCCCATTTTTATTTACAGTTGGATGGAAAATGGAGTCTTTTAAAATGAAAACTTCTAAGGCTCCTCGACTCCTACCGCCAGGAACCGGATTCCCATTCAGTTGTCCATTACTATTTCAAGACCAGATTGATGAAATTGTTGAGACCAGCGTACGTAGTGTGTGATATAATGTGGTGACAACCAGAAAGAAAATGTGTAAATGCTGACTATCTAGAGTACCTAACATATATTCCGTCTTGAAACCGTATTAAATTGTCAAAATCCTTTGCCTAAATCTGAATCGTCTGCTAACATCATTTCCCTCTTAAAACCACACGATGAACGTATGAGAACATTCGTGACACCCAGTTCCGTGAAGTAAGAGCTGGAGTAGGTTGTGCGATGACTTCGAAACGAGTAAATGAATTCTCTCCCAGAGCTTTCTGCACTTCCTCGTATGCATCGTAGCCGTATAGCCATGGCTGGACTTGGGGACAGGTCCAACGACTAGGAAAGGGTGCCTTGAGTTCTTTATTTCCCAGCTGAGATAAGAATATTTCGTCTCGTTTCTGTTGCTCCGGTCCGTCGAGCATGTGGAATGACTCTCGCTGGAAGGATTGTTAGCATTTTGCCTTCTACGGTCGAAATGCAACGGAAGAAAATTGCGCACCTGCTTGAACGTTTCTCTGACAATCGCCTCACCACGAGTCTTGCGCAGCTTCTCATACAGTTTGAGAGCCTCGGGGATTTGGTTACGGGACTCAACTGCGCCTAGTAGAAGTCCCAACACAGCGCCATCCTCAATCGCTGAGTTGGCGCCTTGGGCCAAGTAAGGAAGCATAGGATGGCATGCATCTCCACTACGATTAAATAAGCTATTTGCATTCCCAAGGCTCAGTGGATGAGGGATGACTTACATGAAGACAAAGTTAGATTGATTGTTGATCCAATGTTCCATCTCACCGCCTGTTGACAGTTAGTCTAAGTTAGATAAAGGATCCAGCACTTGACTCACGATGCATTAACTTCCATTTATCAACCTCGGTAACGAGATCAAGAAAGCGAACCAAGATTGGATCCCAGCCTTCGAACAGGGCCTTCATCTGGTCAACCGATCCAGGAAGCCTGCTGGCACCTGGAGGAAGATCGTCTGGAACAAGTAGAACAATGTTGTACATATTGCCGCCTCGGAGAGAATAACCCACGGCATGGGCCCCAGGTCCAATCCAGAAGTGACATGAAGGTTTTTGAACCCAATCAATCAACTCGGGATCTTTGATGTCGTCCAAGTTGAGAACAACTCGATATGCCAGATCACCCGTCGGTTTGGGTGGTTGTTTAGTACCAAGGAAGGCATCACGACATCGCGACCGCAAACCATCGGCAGCGATAATTAGATCAGCTCTCGTCTGTGTTCCATCCTGTGTGATAATCTTTGGGGTATTAAAATCGATGTCTACGACCTTTTGCGATAACTTAAGCGTGGCTCCGAGTTGCTGTGCTCGTTCTAGTAAGGATAATTGGAGATCGACTCGATGGACGTCAACAAAGGGGGCGCTGTATTTTTCCCGGATCTTCTTATCGAAATCCTCTTCTAGAGCTAAAAGTTGACCCGAATAGCGATGGACGGCGAGGTATGTGGGCTCGGCGACGGAGTCCCAGAATCTTTGAGGTAACTCCCACTGACGGAGCAGACGAGACGCGTTGGGTGTGACTTGTAATCCGGCACCGACCTTAGGCAAAAAGGGTTAGTTTATATTGAGAAAATAATTAGTTGACAGTTCCTAGCCTACCTCTTGAAGTGCAGTTGCAGACTCAAAAATGGTGACTCTGTGGCCTGATAATGAACACGAAACCGCTGCAGCAAGACCGCTCAGGCCAGCCCCTACAATGATGATGTCCAGCGGGAGGGGGCTCTTCGGGTGGATAATATCAGCCTGTTGATGGTCGCTCATTTCGAACAGCTGTGATAGAAAGCTTTGTATGGAGCAATTGATGAGTGTATGTACCGGAGAATGTCTTGATGTCAAGGCAGGGCAGCTTGGTAAATGTATATCGTGAAGAGTTCTGGATCTTATCTCAAACAAGGCAGATAATTTGTTTGGCATTCCAGGATAACGGCCCAGGCCATCACTGCCAAATTCCAGCACACTGTGTGGCATACGCCAAGGGTGATCATGCTGCCGAACCTCGATGATGGGTCCGGGGTGGTTCCGATAGCCTGGTCCCGAACTTGCTCGGGACATCCGAGCTTTTATTCATGGACCCACCATGTTCCGAGATGAACTCATTCTGGAGACCCTGACCTCGGCTATACCAATCGGATCTTGACTTGTTTGGAAATGGTCAAGCGTGGATGATTCTCAATGACCAGACAGACTTTAAAGAGAATGTAAAGGGGAAGAAACCAAAGTCCTGCAGTCATCTGTAATCACAATAATCAGCATACCCCATTCTTCTATTATCCATCATATCTCACAATGAGTCCCAAAGGTCCCTATCGTCTCATGACTGTCAATACAGCACCAGATCGAGCCAAACGTGTCATTGGTGCCATGGTCGAGAACCTCAAAGACACCTACACAATTGATTATGTCGTCAACTCTGAACGTAAGTAGTTCACGTCATTCCTTCTTGAGAATTGAAGTTGATTGTTTGTGTTCAGGAATTGAAGATGTGCGCGCTCTAATCGAGGAATACCGTCCTGATGTCTTGGTACGTTGATAGCTTATACAAGCAGACAATCTTGAGTACTTACAAGTTGCAGTTTACCGCTTCTATGTGGACGGAAGAGCAGAGCAAGGAGGTAGAGCAAACCGCAAGAACAATTGTTCCTGGTATTAAGTTTCATGCGATCCCATACGGTCTTCAAGTGGCCAAGGGTCCCGAAGCCATTGTTGAATATCTCACTGAGAAAGTGCCAACACTATTGGAAAGTTGAAGAAGCAGATTCAAGATCCAGGTGAGAATAGCAGGTGTATATAAATAAATACTTGGTATTATTGGAGATATCTATCAATATCAACATCATATTACATGACCATAAGATAAGTCCTATTTGGATGAAAGATACATGTACTCACAATGGCGTTTCCACCATCAGCTTATATGTCTTATACATCTAAGGTCGGGGTGAAATAAGGCCATGGTACTAGAAGTCATCGGGTGCCTTTCCGTTAAACTCTTGTTATCTAGAAATGGCGAGCTTAACGAGTTTTCATGGATAGATATATTATGTTGCAAAATGTATAAAGCATTCAGGTAAGATACGATTTTTTCTTCTTGATTTATGTCTATCAAACCAATCATCCTACTGTCTCTTTATACTAAGCTGCGTTCTTAAAGGTGTTAACCAAAGTACCGATATGTGGCAGAATCTCCACGGAAAACTCATCTCCATCACTAATTGTAACCTTGGGTTTACGGCCAATACCCACACCGGCAGGTGTACCGGTAAGAATAACTGTACCTGGCAGGAGTGTTGTACCTTGGGACAGAAAGCTCACCAAGGTGGGAATGTCGAAGATGAGGTCACTATTCCGAGAATGTTAAATGTAATCACTTTCGGGAAGGCTTGGTTGGTACTTACTCGGTGCCACAGTCCTGCAAGACTTCATCCTTCTTCAACCCACGGATATGGAATATCGAAGGATCAGGTACAAGATCCTTGGAAACTAGAGCAGGGCCTAGTGGACAAGAGCCGTCAAACCCTTTAGAAAAGCACCATTGCGACTGACCAAATTGGCTGGTGCGACTTGAGATGTCGTTGGCTGCTGTGTAGCCCAAAACATACTCCATCGCTTCCTCTTTCGTAACGTTTTTTGCTGCCTTTCCGACTACCACAGCCAGTTCGGCCTCGTAGTCCCCGCAGTCATCAACCTGCGTCAACTTGGGTAGTGGTGTGACGGATGGCCAAGGGTCTCCTATGGAGGTGCTGGGCTTTCTATCAAGACCGGTTAGGATGATATCCGTGTTACAGTCCCAGTCGGGTTGACTCACAGGAAGAGCGTAGGTACTGTTGGGATGTCCAAACCAACTTCAGCAGCGTGACTCTTGTACTATAGAATGTCAGTCTCAAGACACTATTGGAAGAGGCTTGGTTCAGTATCTTACGTTTAGTCCAATACATCTGATGGTGCCAACCTCGCTGGCATCTAATGGCGACATGATACGGCTCACGACAGCTATTTCTCCCGTTTTTTGACCTGGATCCAAAACAGAGCTGCCGGAGAAGACATGGATCTTAACCTCACGTCTTTGACGAAGTGCAACACCAATGTCAATATCATCTTTCTCTGGTTGACCAATAAGAACCTTTGCAGGTTCTGTGGTCGAAACAAACCGGACGAGGCCTATGAGTTATGTCAGATTTTCTGGGTCAGAGAAAATGAGCGAAGTGGCTGGTTCATACGTGAGAACTGTCGTAGTGCCATAGTTACAAGAGACAGGTTTGATGTGAGACAAGTATGAAAGGTAAATAACGATTTATATATTTTCTTGATGGTCGAGACTAAATTCTCTTGCCTCGGGCTTTTATTTACTCGCATATTCTGATTAGAATAGAAACCTCTTATCATGATTAGTATTGTCTAAGACTGCATTTGGGAAACTTTTTGTTCCGACTTCGGCTTCTCCCGCAAACTCGGAAGCGGATTATGGGGCGTCGCCCGCCATTGCCGAAGTCCCGTCCGACAATTCTTGCCATACCACATTTGCCGCCGAAGTGGAGTGTTTTTTTTGGGTCGCCGAAGACTACGATATCAACGGGGATGAGTCAATAGATAATCAGTACAAGTTTAAAACTAGTATACATATCAATCCTCAGTTTGAGAAATTGTGTCAATACTACCAAAGCCACACTTTTCATCCCCATCGTTCCGTCTTACCATCATCTATCTATCGCAAATCAGGTTAATAATTGCAGTCATGGCATCAGTGAACGGGACTGAACCCGCGGCTTATCGCCGATTCCTCCCAGATCTCTCGACGCCGAGATTCACTACCATGAAGAAACAAGATGCCCACGAATACGCCGAAGCTTTCAAGACTGGAGGAAACCCACCTTGGCTTCATAGCTTATATAAGCACTGGATAGGTTTACTTGAGGACCCTTTCAAGGGAATTACCAGCGACGGTGTGTTGCATCACAACAAAACCAATGTTTGAGCAGGTATTCTGACAAAAGAAAACCATAGGCCATGTTCGACTAGGACTCTTTAATCTGCAAGATGAAGGGATTCCGATTGATGACATTACCAACGCTGCTACTGCCGTCATCGAGGCATGTACCAAAGACCAGCTTCACCGAGTGATGTATCATATTGATTCATCTGAATGGCGTACTTGGTCAAATCCAGAATTCCTCCTCAGCGACAAGGGCATTAGGTTAGACGAGATCAACAGTACCCTTCGCGATCGAGTCATGAAAGTTCTACAAGCGACGTTATCAACAAAGGGATATGAGAAAGCTGTCGCTGCCATGAGAATCAACGGTTTCCTTGGAGACTTGGTCGAGGCACCAGCGGTTATGAACGAATTCTCTTACAACTTTGTCCTCTTCGGTAAACCATCAACAGACCGACCCTGGGGCTTCTCCTTCTATGGCCATCACCTTTGTCTCAACATTTTCCTCCACAAGGCCCAAATTGTCATCTCACCTTGGTTTACAGGTGCTGAACCGAACTTGATCGACGGGGATGGCCCGTACAAGGGCACGAGAATTTTATATGTTGAAGAAAAGTTAGGTTTGGAGTTGATGCAAAGTCTCGACGCGACAAAACAAAGGCAAGCCCAGATCTACAAAGACATGCATGATACAGAGATGCCACACGGTCGATGGAATCATGACGATCAAAGGCATCTCTGTGGTGCATATCGCGATAATCGCATCGTGCCTTATGAAGGAACTTTGGTTTCTGATATGGACGATGCCCAAAAGGCCATTGTGGAACAGATATTTGAGCAGTACCTCCTCTACCTCCCCGACAAGGCCCGCGCGATGCGCCTCGACAACATCCGTCAATGGTTCCACGAAACGTACTTTTGCTGGATTGGAGGCCTTGGTGATCAAGATCCCTTCTATTATCGACTGCAGAGTCCGGTCGTTATAGTCGAGTTTGATCATCATTCTGGGGTTTTCTTGACCAACAGTGAACCCGCCAAGTTCCACATCCATACTCTTCTGCGCACGCCAAACGGGGGTGACTATGGAATGGCACTGCGGCCACTGATTCCTGGGAAGGAGCAAGGATTTCTGTGGCAGGAAAAAGCTTGATTATTTGGTGATATGGAAGGTTTATCTGGACGACGAGGACACGCGGTAGAAAAGAACAGACATGACCACCTATTTTGTCAGCCATAATGTATCAACTTCTCCAATGATGGAGGAGACCATGAGAGGTTGGAGTTGCTGGATAAGTGGACAAAACCCTGTCGGATATATGCATAGATGAAGATTAGAGCCGCAGATCCGACTCGGGATCGGATGGTGCCCAGCGAGGTTAAAATCATAAGCAATAATTGCAATTGCGTCATTCGGTCCATACTTCGGAGTCAGTCAATATCAAATTGCAAACTTGGGAAACGTTTTAAATAGATATGTTGGATGATATCAATCTGCTTTGACCGCCAGAGATCTTTGCCTATGTCGTCGAGAACCCTGAGACAATAAAGCGGGCCACTCACTACAATACATACCAATTAGGATCACTTGAGGCGATGGACATAGACTCTTGGGCCGCTTTCTTGAAGAGACTAGTGAGGTCCGTTCTGCCAACCACCGTTCATTTGTAAACACGACTAACCTATAACAGCTCGAGATCGATATGCTACAATGTATCCAAGCACCTAGTATCGCAGATCATTCGAGTGAGCCTATACCTGACCCGTTAACTTGCATTGAGCTGAACAATTAATCATCTCAACTCGGTAAGGCCGGTCTTACATCTACAGCTGAGCTGCAGAGACATGACGTGTCGCCATGGTGAATGATGAAATGAGGAGGGGTAAACAGGCTAACAGGTCAACGACGTCGGCGGCTCATTATTCATTCAACGAATTCGCTCACAACCGAAGTTCCCAGGTCTATAAGTCAGTAACCGTCCCATTATACTCGTCTCAATCTTCACTTCTTCTCATCAACTTATCATTTTTATCACACACCGCACACAATTATCAATTACTACAACCTCCCCATCTACAACAATGGAAAATTTCCCTCAGGTCGCTCAAGCCCTGCAGACTCTCAACGGCTCTGTGGCAGGTCTGAACGCAGCGATACAAGGTGGAACACAATCAGATGCTGGACAGGTATGCCCTCCTGTTTCAATTTTTACCATGCAAATGAGTTGACAATACCTTGAAGGTGCGTGTACAGATGGCGGCGGATCAAGTCAAGCAATCCTTGAAGTATCTGAACAACTGTAAATCATCAATTGAAGAGCATCCGGACGAGTATCAAGACGATGCTAAAAAAAACGCTTCTGGGCCTTGCTCTGGTCAGGTAAGTCTCAAGCTTCTCAGAAAGCAGTATTGGCCGCTACTAACGTGTAAATGTCGCAGATCGTAGCCAGTCTATCTGCATTGGCGCAAGGTATCGAGAACGCACATGAATCATTCCCCGATAACGTTGCATCAGAACTCAAATCTGTTTTGGAAGAGTTTGAGAAAGTTCAATCAGTAAGCCATCATCCCTTGGATTGAAGTTTGCCTGAATACCTAGCTAACAGAAATAAATAGTCTTGGGAGCAGCTGGCCCAGGACAATGGTGCCAGTGCTGATAATCATTATCCTGGCCTCCTTCCTCGCCTACCCCAGCATCTGGACGGTGCCTTTGAAAAGCTTGGTGGACGCTAGAAGCGGCACCTTTGGTGCGCATGATAGATTAGTCATGTGTCAAGCAGCGATAAGAGGACTCGTTTAGCTCAGTTCAAAGCGCCATTCGCCAAGGGAAATGGGCGAGAAAAGAAACATAAAGTATCTAGATCCATGTCGTAGTTACTCTTACATAAATTGTATCAAACTACAAAACATCGTTTGCAACTGCTCACTCTGGCTGAACGCTGTGATCAAGGCTCTTGTGTAGTTCGTCAAAAACAGTTATCATCTCGCCTAGTGGAAAGTCCAAGAATTCAAAGCCTGTCAGCTCGAACTGTCATTTGTGATTAGTAGAAAGTCAAACGCGATATATCAAGTCAGGTAGTCACTTACGTCTAAAGACGTCCACGGACCGGGTGTAGGAGCCTGTTGCACCACATTAATGGTGTCTTGCACGGGGTTATCAGATGTTCCGTTGGGCACAGAATTGAGCTCTCGCAAAAAGTGTTTGATGACCTCTGCCGCACTCCGCGCCACTACCGACTCGTCCATCGCTTCTAGAATTTCCATTGCGGTTTCTATCAGAGCGATATTGTTTGTGGTCGGGCGTTCTTTCGTCCGAGACTCGTACAGGAGCAGAACTGAAGCTGCAATCGTGATGTATGTCGTGTTGTACCACCTGTCGTTCTTGCATAAGTGGATGTGTAACTGCGATAGATCAGGATTCTACTTACCATGTCCGGAAGTAAGTATGGACTTTATAAGTCTCGTACATAATTTCGATGGTCCTTTGAGCCGATGAAACACACTTGTTGACAGCCCCTACCAACTCATTTGATGGTTGCTGGTTGGGCTCTCTCGTGCAACGAGTAACAAACGGTCTGAACAGAAGCATCATGACGTTGTGATATCCTATAATCGATGAGTCAAGCGTAAATCCAAAGACTATCGCCGATAATACGTACTAAGTTCCAAGACAATTCTTTGTTTCCGTCGCCAATCTGGATCTCGTAAAGAAATATTCCTTCGTTGAGGTAGGCCATCAAGCCAACTATCCATCTCACGCTCTATCTCACATGCCAAACCAATGGTCTCGATTATTGGTTGTTGAGAGTGATAGATGCCAATAGAAACCTTGCGTATGATCCAACCAAACTCAACCATTGATGAGATGATGGCATATTCTGAATCGTCGATTGGTGGCATTGCCCGATTGTGATATTGGTCTTGACCAAGTGTGTCGGGTCGGCCGAGAAGAAAACTCATTTCACTGATAATCTAATTAGTCCACGGAATAACAGATTGTCCAAGGAGGAGTGAGATACGAACATTTCTAACGAGTAGATACCCCTGGTTCAGTCATCGTGTCAGTCAAAGTGAAAGTTTTACTAAGGATGCTGTAGCGTTGACTTACCACCATGTCCTTGACATCGTGAGAACGCTTTTTTCATTCGGACTGCTTGTTTCACGATTCATCCCCGCAGCCAGACAAGAACGTATTGCCCAGCCTAGATACATGTAGGAAACTATTTTGATGTTAGTATAAACCCCAGGTGTATCTTCACAATTTGTTCAAAGGTACTCACGATTCGGATTAAGTTCATTTTGGCATACCTTTGCCTGTACACGGCACACAAATCAGCCCTTGAAACTCTCACGCTAGACATCGACATACCATGACGTAGAAACACTGTATCGTCTCCATTTGGCTGCTGAACTGTATATCGTCCAGAAGCGTCTGGGCTTCAGCAAAAAGCTTCCTACTCCATTGAAAGCGACTGAGTCCATCAAGTGTATCCTCATTCCAAGTCCTAGTTAAGGCACCCAAAGATAAAACACTCAAGTATAGAGCGATAAAGTGCACATCGCTACGATTGGTGCCTCGCCAAAGTCCATCAGCTCGTGCCAGAAAGTCCTCCTTGTCGATTATCGGGTGGACATAATGTATACCCCCAAAGTAGCCCTCAATGAAGGTATTAGCTCGCTTTGAATAGAATCCATTGGCAGCGAGGGAACTGGTCAAATCCGAGGCATAACTTTTCCTTGACACAAAACTCGGGTTGTGTAGTACTGATACTAGTGAAAATGATTTGTGCTCGGCTGGCGCAGGTCTTTGCTCTCGCAGTCTTTGAAGATTATCCAAAAAGGACATGGAAGACGTGTTGCCGTGGTACTCAATGCCGTTGGTGTGCCGGTTGACTTCGGCTATTTCGCTCTCCTCGCTAGGCGAGATTGCTGGGGCTTGGGTCTGGACCCGGACCAGTGATGGATCGATGCTGGATATAGGCGGAAGCCTGGCCCTGGCTGATACTGGTGATTGAAGCCACTCGGCATTCTGTTGTTGAGCTTGGTTCCCAAAGAGCTGTGTGCCAGGACCAGGGCTAGGTTCTTGGGCCACAGGGTTGACCTGGCCTGCATCATTACTGACATCGCTTTAATGATTCAGGAAACGTTCATACAATATGTATCCATCAGTTACATACCTTGTGAGAGACGTTCGATCGGTCATGTCTCGATAAACTCTCTCATACTTGCATTCCACGCCACGTCCTACAACGCGTCTCGTGTCAGTTTCAGATGCGGTTCAATACAGGTCCAGCCCAACGTACGTTTGCAGTGGGTACATGGTTGGGCTTCTGAGCACTTGTACTTTTTCAGTCGACACCGTTCACAGGCGACGACTGCACGTGGAAAGCGACGCCTTTTGGGCGCTGGTGCAGACGCGTCATTTCCTGTTGCTGATTGTGCTTCCATCTCAACTGAGGGCGATCAATGGTGAAACTATGTGTTGTCGCGTCAATACTGACAATATTTTGGTTCTACAATTGTAGACTAATCGAGACGAGATCGGAGGTTGGGGCTGTGATGGTTGGGGCGAAAGGAATATCAAGACACCCCCAGACGGTTGGAGCAGTTTTAGAATAGGCTACTTCCTACAGCCTTCCAACGTGGGGATTCATATTACACACTGTGGGGGGTGGCGAACGGAAACCATTCCAACGGCAGAAGCCACGGCAATTCACTTGTCATTGAATCGTTGTGGTAGTTTACTACATTCGCCTAGTTGCTGAACATTTCTTCAAGTTCATAAAGATACATATTTTGACAATACTGGGCTTTTGGTCCAAGTCAAATAAATAAATTGAATGACAGGTGCGACTTACTCTACCCTGTAGCAGTTTCATCGACTTCGCCCACAATCGACAATTTATATAACTTGTTGTTCTCAAAGACTGGTATTTGACAAGGCTCAATCAATATCTTGAACTTTTATCTATTCATATCGAATCATCCTCGCTTAGCGCCCAGCTTCTGAACTATATCATCAAGCTTGGACTGATCCAGAGCAGTAGCTTCATCGGGAAGCACAAAGCTCTGATAAGATTCACCAGCCTGTTGGATCAACTCCTCAATACCCGGTCCATCCGTAAAAGACCAAAACCGAACATATCTCGAGCCAAACTCAAGCTTAAAAGACTGGCCTGCGGCAATCATGACTGTCTCGCCTTCGTGAAGAGTCACCCACTCCTCATCGCCTTTGAGAATAACACGAAGAGCGCCTTCCAGGATACACAAACAGTGATCGACATTAGGAAAGGCCAAGTAATCCGAAAACACAGACGACTTGTATGAACCAGATGATTCAATACTTGAAATAGCGAACTTCCCTCCGCTCTCTTTTGTAGTGATAAATGGGCGAGACATGACACCACCAGCCACCCAGCGAGGTCCAGTGTTGGCTCGAAGGAAGTATGGCTTCAAATCGCCAGGGAGGACGTTTTCGGTTTCCTCCCATTCTCCTACGGCTGGAGGCTGATAGTCTCGAACGAAATGAACATCAAAGTCTTTAGGAGCTGACATGACTTTGGGTATCACATGCGATTTCAGATCGCGATTGTCATGCTCTGGCACGATATTACCCTCGAATGGTTCCCCGATGTAGCGGAAAAAATCGATCCAGTCACCTGGCACGACTAGACCTAGTGTTTCCGTATGGGGTCCCATCAATTCGGGGTTGTGAATAATGTTCTAGATAAGCCATCGTTAGATAAATCATCAACTGACACGAATGAACTTACTGGAGGCACATAGGCAAAGTCGCCAGGACCCATTATACGGCACTTGTCGCCGTTCCAAAGCTTCATGAAACCCTTTGTTACCAGAAACACATCGTGGGCTTCTTTATGGTAGTGGAACCCAGGTGCATCAGATAGGACAGCACCACTCTGGAACACCGACATCTGGCCATCGGTTTGTTTAGTGGAGGCCAGGATACGGAATGTGCCTTTGCTGCCAGGTATAGAGAGACGCTCTCCCTCGAGCTGCTGAATGATGTAGCTCGTCCTTGACGGCGGCGGGGTTGTGTGAATAGGAATAGGCATCTTGACGGTTACAGATAAAGTAGATAGTTGTAGACGTGTGAATTTTGGTATGACGCTAGATGGTGTCGACACGTTGAGAGATGAAGTTATATATTAGCAAGTAAGTTTTCATGGAGTCAGAGGCTTGCAATATGACAGGGATTCCACTAGACGATCTACGGAAGAATCGGAGAAGTCCGTCGGGTAGGAAAAAAGAGGAGAATTCGGGAATTCCGAGGGTGCGGGGTAGCTCGGAACGAAGTGATCGTCATCCGGGTCCAGTTACCAAGTTACTACGCGCCAACAAGGATCATAAGCTCATATGGACAACCCCTTTCAGCAGCGCATCAAGGAGAACAGAACTTCAATCAGAAAATAAAGCGAATCAAAAATGACTACTCCGGAGAAGATTACGGTGGTTTACAAATCTATACAGGGGAGTGGCATTGATGCGACTGTATTCATTCCTTCCAATCCCAAAGCGTCATGCCCAGTCAGTAAGTACTTCGATATTCTAGTTCATCAATCTTTTAGCCAAGTCTAACACCATGTGCTATCAGTAATCAACATTCATGGGGGGGCTTTCATGCTGGGTGCATCTGAGATGGTCAACCAGGACCAAATCCAGGATTGCTTAAACCGAGGCTGGATTATAGTCGTTCCAAACCATCGACTCTGTCCACAGGTTGACCTATTCGAGGGCCCAATGCAAGATTGTAGAGATCTCCTTGCATGGATATATAATGGTGAACTGGAACGATCCATCCACGAAAACTCGCATACACATATTTCATGTGACCTTGAACACATTTTTGCCTTTGGAACGTCATCCGGAGGCCATTTGTCTCTTTGTCTGGTAATTTAATCGAGTAAATTGCTGAATATTTCTATGATACTAACAGTATAACAAGGGTTTTGGAGTACCTCGTCCAGTTGCTGGAATCCTCGACTTTTACGGACCTTGCCGCTTCGATGATCCGTTCTGGACCACAAGCCTTCCACATATTGCTGCAAAACTACCTCCGAATTTGAGTCAAGAATTTCTCAGCCAGGTGTTTGCAGAGAGACCAGTCCCCATTCGCGGTGGAGTTTCTCTCGAAGGTCAAGCAGTTCCAGCAGGTCCCAATTTCAATGATTCTCGACAAGCCTTTGCCTTTACGCAAATAGCTAACGGAAGAGTTATGGATACATGCTTTCCCTCCAGAGATTGGCAAAAGGTTGATCCAATTCTCAACATCCATCGTCAGTTTCCCCCAACGTGCATCGTTCATGGGATGGCAGACACGATGGTACCTATTTCTTTGAGTAAGGCTTTACTAAAGGAGATGGAAAATCAGGGTGTGCAATGTCAAATGGTAGAGATTCCAGATGAAGAGCATACTTTTGCTGCCAAGATGAAAGTGGGCTCGCAAACATGGAACTTACAAAGACAAGGCTTTGACTTTCTTGAGAGCTTGATTAGGAAGTGATGTAGATAATCGGAATTGATGAGAATAACTTTACCCATGGATGATTGTTAGATATTTGATACTGTAACGTTTTATTAATAGTGTACCTTGAGGCTGGCATATGACAGAAATGAACAGTCGCCCCGATCCTTTGCCTCTGAGGAACCTTATGTCCTGCAAACCATATAGTCAAGCTATCAGGCAAAATGGCATATCACACCGGAAGACAAATGCAACGAAAAGAATCACTCAGCAGTTATATAACAGGCATAGGCTGAGTTTGCATAGTTGCTAATCCTATTATATCCTAGTCTTATACCGTGTTCAAGCTCTAGGAGTAACTCTAACAACAAATCCCTTTGGCTTTACGAACCAAAAATTGGAAGTTTGCCAACGATCTTTCCCCTGTACTTTGTCCTCGTCAAAGGTAATGTCAAAGTCCCTTACAATGTGCGGGACAAGTTTGGAGATTTCCAACATGGAGATATGCCGCCCAATGCAAGTTCGAGACCCAAGACCAAACTATGCAGTGTTAGCTTCTTTGCATCATAGTACTGGTCTGATAGGAAGTGTTTTTTTTTTACCGGCATCCAGTTTTGGTTCATAACTGTGACATCTTCTTTCTCAGTGAACCATCGTTCTGGCTTGAATACGTCGACATCTGGACCAAAGACGCTCTCATCCCTGTGTCGAACCCAAGCGTTTATTCCGACAATTGTCTAGGAGGTGCATCAGAATACGAGGTTCATGAAGCTTCGAGTGGAAAACACTCACACCGGCAGGGAAGTAGTGTCCGTTAATTTTCGCTCCGCCTGCAGGAACCTCACGTTCCAGGGGGAGTCCTACTGCCGGGTGAAGACGCAATCCTTCTTTGATGATCGCCTGGAGGTAAGGCATCTGCTGAGTTCCATGGAATGTTGGATGTTCAGATAACCTTCCTTCACGTGTGAATGCGTCAATCTCTTCCCTTAATTTCCGCAAGCTGTCTGGCGTTTTGAGGAGGTAGTAAAGGATTGCAGAAAGGGTTATGCCTGTTGTATCAGACCCAGCCACCATATTAGCAACGCAACCCATGGTGACATGTCGACGTGTAAATCTCTCTGGTTGTTCTTGGCTGCTAGTTATAAACTTGGCCATGAAGGGCTCTGCAGTCATGATATCCTTTTCATCCACCGTCTCGAATCTTGCCAGTTGCTCGGCAAGTCGATCCTGGGTAAATGAAATCACGTACGCCCGACCCGAGCCTTTTGAGCCAGCGAAGAAATTTTTCACAGGAAATAGGACTGAGTGGAACTTGCTGTAGATTCCCACGGGGGCCGCATATGAGAGAAAGTCTTCCAGAGCCTTCATGACGCCGCCAACATCGACACCTTGGTACAAGAACCCCAGCCGCTTGCCATATGTGATCATACCGATCACATCGAAAGCGTAGCACTGGAACCAATGTCCCATATCGATGGGGGAATTCTGACGGGATAACTCTTTGAGCTTTTCTGTGAATATGTCGGCGCATGTATCGACAAAAGGCTCATATGATATGAGCGATGTCATTGAGTACGTGTTCTGGAACAGCTTCCGGTTGTTTAAATGACGCTTCGCATGCCGATCTGCAAAAAGGCTGACTTCTCCTGGGGCGACCCACGAATCGTACCAGGACGACTTTGGAAATGAGGTGCCACCCAAAGAATAGATGACCTTTGCTGCTGCTGGGTCATTGAAGCTATACCGATTCAGTCCGTAACGAACAATAGGTCCTATGTGGATTAGTACTTACTCTAAGAATAAACCATCGAAAAGAAAATTACTAACCATATTTCTTATGCAACGTTTGATTGTCTTGCTCAAAGTGTCCCTGTTGCATCCGCCAGACATACCATGAGTCAGAGAAGCGGGCGAGTGTCGGGCCAGGAATAGATCTGAGTGGAGAGATAAAGTTTTTCGCAATAGAGAAAAGCTTGATCAAAAACAAAACTGCGATGATAGTCGCTAAAACCAATTCTGATGCCATTATTCCTACGGCTAGGTAGGTGGTATTGCGTTTTCCTCAACACCAAAAAGGCAAAAAACATACAACAGCGGGGATTCGCTGGTCGTCACCGACCCAACTACTAATCCGCCCCTTACCAGCTNTATCTATGGGAGAGCGGACGGGATCCCGAGTTCTCTGATAGGTATGGTCGTATGTGCTTTAACGACTACTAACATCAGTATATATTGAAAGAAACAGAGACGTGTGAGAGCAAGTCTTAGATGATGTTGACATTGACATTGACGGGCCACGCTCGGCTTTTGATCTGCAGTTTCTACCCCGCCTTTGCCCCATAAATGCGTTCTTGGGTTTCCTGATTCTTTATATACCTTATGATTTACTATTTATTCTAAAATTCCGCGGCGTTTATTCTCGGGCTTTCGGGGATCGGGTAACCTTAAACGCGACGCGAGTAAACCGTAGCTTTTTTCGGCGTCGCGGATAGAACATCTCGTAGAGAGGGTTATACCTATTGTATCAGAACCAACCGACGTGTTACAATTACTAATCCGCCCAGGGCTTGTCATTCTCGTCTTAGCAGCCACATTCAGTTAACGGGCTGTTAGTTGTCAAACCCCCCGTTTTCGGTAGCATTACGATACACAAGACTTACACTAGACCACTCTGCATATATTGCGTAACATGGAGTGGCAATTGATTGTTTTTTAGTGCTATCTCTAACTCCTGGAGCGTCATCCGCATCTGCTACTACATATGCCTCAGTACTCAAGGTGTCCCAGTTGTAGTAGAGGCTGAAACAAGAGACCCTCGTTTATGCCTAATCCATCATCGCGCAAATCACTATCAATTTAGGCTGACATGTGAAGGATTGTGATTTGATATATTGCAACCATCCTTTCACATCAGGGTCTGAGTTGCACCACCTTCGACCTCTGCGGCTGAGCGGTACGGCGAATTGGGATTCCACCCTCACCACACCCGTTCTTATCAAAATGTCATTGAAAGCACACTATTCGCTAATTAACTTTGTAATTTAGGATTCGCGGCCTAATACCTCCGACTTAACAACATGTTGACTAATGAGGCTGTCGCAAAGATAGGCAACGGCGTTAGAATGAGGCTCTCTGACGTCCTGGACTGATGTAATGTTACATCATTGAGGGTGAATGCGGATGGGCTGGGCGAACATTGCTCATAAAAGGTAGCATATGAATATGCTGTTGGAACCCAATCACCAGTTATAAAGATTGCTATGGCCATTAGGTCGTTCGCCTTGTTTTCAGAGACTCAACATACACATCTGAACCATCGACCAACTAGACAAGAGCCAAGGCAACATGAGTGATACCGTTTCTGTCGAGGAAGTTGACGACGCGGAACTTCTAGGTTCCTTACAACGACTTGACAATACTCAACTGGACGGCACTTTTGAAGGTCTTGGTAGCGAACATATCCCTCGTGTCTTACTTGCAATTAAGAGCATGAATGCGATAAGGGGGTGGATAAAATCATCATCAGCCCCTTCAAGATGGAGCAACACGGTGTCCTCTGGTCACATGTTGAGGGTGCACCGAATCAGTATATGTGTCGCGCATGCGTAAACGACAAGCCTGGAAGTTTCAATACGTATGATTTGGATGACTTTCATGCTCACATTTCTAACAAACATGTTGTCGATCCCTACAACCTGGATGATTCTATCAATAGTTCGTATGGGCAGTATTTGGGGAGGCTATAGCTATTACCTTTGAGCTTATGTATGCAGTGGTAGCTGTAATAGTTATGTAGTTTCTAATAAGCTGCATAGTGCGGTGATGGGAAGGTTTCGTACAGCGTATCTTACTTATATCATTCATTACGATTAACTTGCTGTCTTGAAAGAATGCGACTTCCCAACCACAGGTTGATCGAAAAGACGGCATACCTCGGGTGATGAGAAATCAGCTGGCCTAGCATACAGATCTTATGTGATACACATATTTCTTTTGTGTCTTCAGCCTACGTGACCCGTCTGGAAGTCGGTGCCCATCATACGTATGACAGCAACTTGTATCCGACACGAACAACCACATCGAATCTACTTACGTTCTAGGTTCCCTCGCCATATCTCCGAGACAACAATGTTCCTTCCACCCTGCCATTGCCACATAGATTCTCTCTCGTGTTTTCCTAAGCGTCTAGTGATACGTGATGATTCGACACAGCTTCGGAAACTGTCCTCGATGTTCTTACGGTATGTACTACCGTTATGCTGTTGTCACCGTTATCGACTGTAGCTTCATTCATCAGAAACAGTTTCAGTTGCAATGACAGTGATGAATCCACCTTGGCTTTACATTCACGCCCCCTCCTTTCACATGACTCTGGGTTCAGCTCACTCACTAGGCTACACTAGGGATGGCATGAGACAATCGGAATAAAGTCGCAGCCGGGCAAAAAGCGTCACTTGCCGAAATTGAACTGACACATTCCAGCGACAGAAAGTTAATCACCTTGTCTCAAGTTCATATCGGAGCTATTGCATCTGCCGACATTCGTAAGAACAAGAATTTTCGTTTCTACGCGGCTGCGCCAGTTGTAGCTTATGCCCTACCATGTCTCTTAGCAATGCTCCCGAGTGGACATGTTTTTCACTTGACTGACGTTGTGTGAGAAACTTACTTTATCTTGCCAGGGTAGTAGTTTGTCTCAGGGGTGTCTGGTTTTATTGGAATAATTCCTGTCGATATCGTTTGCAATCTCTTGATGTTTGTCTCAATCAAGTGATTAAGTCGGTCGTGTCAGATTCTCATGTTTGGATCTCTAATTGTGAACGATGCAAGGACTGATTGGAATGTCTTGTCTTTCTCTATTTAATCAATGACACAGACTCCATGTCCACCTATTGCTATGAGTGGAACTACTCTGTTCCGTGTGATGACGATATGTCCTCCCTTGATGGACGTCGTTGCTTCTTTTGTCTTGCGCGCAGAAACTGAGACAAGGTTGACTTTCTGGCAAAAAGTACAGCTTACGTAGCCTGATTCGAACCCTTGTAACTTTTGATAGCTGTTTCTTCGTCACATACTTTCTATTTGGTTGTGTTTAGATCAACAGACACCTTGATGATCTTGTCGTCATCTCAGCGAATTGGAGTGGCTGAAACACCCTCTTAGTTCAGCTGAGATGCATCCTGATCAAGTTATGCCAAGCTCACTCACAATACCATCTGGATAAGTTTAGAGCCTTGAATTGTGGGCTCTCCAAGCATATCCGGTCTGAAACTGGTAGGTGATAATAGTCAATTGACTCTTCGGCTCTTTCAAGTTCCGGTATTCTTACAATTCTTCGGTCTATCTGTGGCGTGGTAGGATCCATGAATTGTTTCTCTCCCCTTTGAAATGGTGTTGTTAGCCTTGACTCAAAAGGTTACATTCTTTCAGCCCGTGTGTTATAATTCATTTGATGTTCCTTTGTATGACGCAAACGGTAATCGAGCCGCAGTTAGGCGGCCTCCGAGGCCCCGGCATGAGATCTTTCTGTCTTGGGTTAATTACTAACTTTGATATGATTGAGTTCGTAGAGAAAGAGTTGGTCCTTTTCCCTGTTAACAGTCTACCTAAGGACAGTCAACAAACGGGCCGCATATGTTAGAGCCGTACGTTATATAACAGCTCTACTTGTGCCCATCGATTGGATGCTTTACAGTTGCTACGTGGCCCATAACCGTGACGAATACGGACTTTGCATACTCGTACAGCTAGTTCCCAACTAAAATTGTCTGCGGTATCTGCAGCGGCCTCTTTTACCTTCACTATGGCTTGGCCGGTCCGACTCTGCTTAATCCTGAGAGCCCTCACGTGGGTGGCACAGGCTCAAGAATGCCCCGGGGCTAGCTCCGATATGGTGTATGGTTCACCTCTCTTGTCATCTTAGATATCGTATAGCTGACTTCAACCAGATCCCGTATCAAGTTCAAATTGTACCCTAATTCTCAAACCTTCCCCCAACCCGGAGACGGTGAAATCGACTTTCTGAACAACATCTCGACCTTACAGGACTGCGCCAACCACTGTGCTGTCAATGAAAACTGTAAGGCGTCGGTATGGAACGACATAACCCACGACTGTCGACTCATTCGTGACACGGATGGTTGTCAAGATGAAGAACCCTCCCAGCACTCTCTTTGGAGGGTTGGCTTCATCGACGACACGGGCAATAACATCGGATGTTCTCAACAAGAAATCGACAAGAAATGTTCTGATAGAGAAACGGCTGCGCGTTTGGAGGCTGAGAAAGAATGCACTATACGCAGCAACGACCTCCGCGACGAAGTAGCACGCCTTAAAGCCGAAAACGCAGCCCTTCGCGCCGCCAGGAATCAGGCAGAGCGAGACTTGGCTGATATAAAAACAGCCAGAGACGAGGACCAGAAACGTCTCAACAGGCAGTGTCAAGATAAACTCAATGACGAAATTGAGAAGCGAAGGAAGGCCGTCAAGGACGCGCGGGAGGACGCTGAGCGCAACTGCAGGTCAAAACAAGACATTGATCTCCGGAAACAACTTGATGAACTCAGAACACAATGTACAGAGGATCGGAACCGTTGTGCCGATGATTATGACAGGCTCACTCAGAAATGCGCTGATGATCTGTCCAGAGCCAATCAGCAGCAGAAGGATTGCGACAAGTGCAATGAAGCCATCCGACAAAAGGAAGACCAAATTCAACAATGCACTGATAACCTAAAGACTGTCAAAGACCAACAGAAACAGTCAGAGAAACAATGCCAGGCGGAGAAGGCCAACCTTCAGAAAGATTGTGACACTATCCGCAACACTGACAAGACACTATCAGAGGCCACATGCCAAGCTGAAAAGGAGATTATCAAAAAACAATGCACTCATGATGTTGACGCTGCTAAAAGCCAGCTGAAGCAGCAACTGGAGTCCAAGTGTCAGGATGAAAAGGATATCATCAACAGGCAATGCACTTATGATCTTGATGCTGCCAAGAACCTGCAGAAGCAACTGGAGTCCAAGTGTCAGGCTGAAAAAGATGTCATCAAGAAACAATGCACTTATGATCTTGATGCTGCTAAGAGCCAGCAGGAGCAGCAATTGGAGTCCAAGTGCCAGAAGGAGAAAGAAGAGCTCAACAACCAATGCAATGAAAGAGTGGTTAAGGAGCAGAAGACTTCGGATGAAACATGCCAAAGACAAAAAGACGAGCTTCAAAAGGATTGTGATGACCGATCCAAGGCCCAAGCGCGGGGCAAGGACGATATCTGCTACAACCCAGGCTTTGGCGCCTGGCCTGATACAATTCCACCCTTTGACATTGACGATACTAATTATGTGCTGAAGCGCAACACTAATCTCAGGCCAGGATATTCCCGAGAAGAAACGGCTAACTCACCCGCTAGCTGTGCTAGGGACTTCTGCAACAACGTGAGCGACTGCGTTGCCATCCGCTGGGACGTCAATAAGGTAAGACAAAAACGTCATTGTTTTTTTGAGTTTGGTTTCTTCATTCATTGCTAACATTATTTAATAGTTGAACACTTGTCATGTCTTTATCGACTCGCCGTACAGCCCATTCGAGAAGAATCGCTTGAGGGACTACCCCAACTCCTACATTATCGTCAAGACTGACAGGATGCGGTAATTGTTATCTTGGGAAGCTGGTTAGCCCAACAAGGTGCTTTGGCCAACTTGTAGGGCATCTTTGCGTCTATTACTGCGCAACGAGTTAGTCAATGGATCTAGTTTGAAGTACAAGTAAGGACGGGAAATTTAGTTTGAAGTAGGAGTAGGGATGGGATAGTAAGGACGGGTCAAGTAAGCCCATGGTCGGATGGGAAGCAGATAGCAATCAACCTTTTCCTTTATAGAAGAAAAACCCTCTTTGAGTGGGATAGCAAAGCTAAAATAAAAGGTGCTGTTGCATGGTCTATGTTTGTTGCTGGGAATGCCTCAGCACAAAAACTTTCTGTCACGCCTGTGCCCTTTTAGCATTGAAGTTGAGCATTGCGAGGGTCGTTTTGGACTTGGAAGATCATTGAAAAAAAAGAAGAAGAAGAAAACATTCAAGCCGGCTGTTTGACTTGGCACATTTCTCTCTATGTAGCGAACTATTCCAAATGGGAAGTATCGGTTACCATGAACTTGAGATATGCCATGGAGCCAGCCAAATAAAGCCTCCTCTCTAAGAGCCCCGTCGCCTATATAAATGAATTGTCACGGTAGGCTTATGTTGTTTTGACATTTTATTTTCTAGTGTAATTGTTTGTATTGGAATCTGACACGCAGTCTCAAAGGCAGTGGCAATAACAAAATCAATTTCAATAATACAAGCAGTTACAAAAAGAAATAACTTCCTAGCAAAACTGAGATACCCCCTAACTGCCCACCTGCTATCCACCATTCAACCACTAGAGCACATTCTGATCCCAACGATTACTGCCAGGATGACGAGCAAAGACTGCCCTTAAGGGCCAAACAGAACGGAGTCAATCTATAAGTGGTGGATATTAGCCATGATTTAATGTAACAAGGTAAATTATACTGACCCAATACTGAAGCGTGGCTTTGTTGTTTCTCAGCTCTTGGAATTTGGCGTCCAGTTTGTCTGGAATAGGATTAGCAACGCGCAATATTCTCTGACCCATTATGATATGCTCACCTGCTGAGACACGGAGCACGCCGTCAAATTCCGGCCGTTTGCTTACTGCCATTAAGTCGCTCAGGAATTGGGCGGCTTGGGGAGCATTGCCGATCTGGTTGGCTGAAAAGAGAACAGCTGTGATAGTTTAGTATCTTACACTGGATCATAAACAAAAATGGGGATATCGACTTACCATCGCGGGGATGATTGGCAGCTTGTAACCTCTGCTGGCAGGCAATGATGGCGTTCTGTAAGGTGTCTACAGGCTCTTCTGTAGGCCACCCGTCAGTGATGATGATGACAAGGATTGGGCGCTCAAAAGCGTCTCCTGCATTGGTCTTGCTGTAGATGAACGGCTCAAGAATCTTGCTGTTCAGGTTAGTCCCAATCTTGGTGCTGCCGTCAGGAACAAAGTTCATTTGAGCTTTGAGAGGCTCTCCCTTCAGGTTGTCCAAACCAGCGCTAGATTTGTTGATGAAGCGGACATGAGCTCCCTTCTCATTTGTCGAGAACAATGACATTGTAGTCGCAATTTCGCTGACGATATCGGCTTGCGATGGCCATCGGTTTTCCTCTTTCATAGAGCCGCTGTCATCTGCAGAACATGTAGTTTAGCAATGTCCGTAATAATAGCTGCTTGACATTTGAAAGGGTACTGACCGCAATAGATGATAGGCTGATATAAGGCCATATGAAACTGTGAACTCACGACTTGAGAAGTAAGAAGCAGGTTGAGACTTGGATCATTCACGACCGTATAAGCCTGGAGGAGAATGCTCTGAAGGACCGGACTGTTTGGTCCAAAGAAACTCTCTAAGCCATAAGTTGCCACGACATCGTCTAAGATGTCTTTCAATTCTGCCTTCGTTTTTGGGTATTTGGATACCTGCGAGGACGAAAGTTCTGTTAATTCTGTTCGCTTATTGTTCTCAGAGTAGCTTACCGGTGCCTGCATGCGAGGCACAACAATTTGATCATAGATCATCTTGAAGGCTGCGATGACACTGTCTTGCAATGGCTTTCGGGGAGTGAGGTAATCAAGCAAGAGGAATGCTGACGAAACGAGGAACCGTGTAAGCGAGGTCCCGGTTGGGTTTTGAGGGTCTGGGTCAATAAGAGCCTCTTTGACTTTGACGTTTAGAAGGCGATCTGCCAGATCCAGCGCCGTCTCACCCTTGCTGTTTGGGGTTGTGACGGAAGCCCCGCGGTCCTTGAGAGCTTTGATGATCACAGGATCCGGGTTGTTCTTCAACGCCCGCATAAGAGGGGTGTCATGGGGATAGGAATCGTCTTCTTCGTCCACATTGATGTCTGGGCTCTCAAGAAGGATCTTGACGACCCGGGCTGCATTCTCCTTGGCATCAACTGCCATATGGAGCACAGAAAGACCATTGGGGGACTTTCTTTTGACGCTGGCCTTGTGATTGATGAGAAGGCGGGTTGCGTAAGCATCGCCATTCAATACGGCATAACCAAGGGGCGTATTGCCATCCACTGGGTTGTTGATATCATCACCATTGGTCAAGTTCTTGAAATCATCTCGAGTAAGGGTTCTGTCTCTGACCCTGTCTGCGATGATGGATGACATTGTGATGGGACGAAGCTGTATGCAAAAATTGGACAGAAAACGAAGCTGGATTAACCTGTGAGTAAAAAGCTCAGGTTGATGTTAGTAACGAAGGGACGAGAATCCTAAAGGCCAAGCAGTAAATAATATCGGATTTATACGTGTCAATACGTGTCTCAGATACCGCTCGGATTGCCGTGTTCTCAGATTCGTATGCAATAATCTGACCGACGGAGGTAAGCGGCCCGGCTCCGTGAGACAGTGTTTCACTCTTGCATTCCTCTTCTCAATCTTCCAGAAGGGAGCTACAAGAGCGACACGGGATTCACCGCTTGACGATGGGCACGCCAGGGACGGACCGTGGCGTTCGTGGATCGACATGTCTCCGAGACATTCAGTCTAGTGCTGAATTCATCGGTTCGTTATTGATAGGGTTGATATGCTTGGATGTGAAAGAAACGTATCTCTTCTCATTTCATCTCTTTTGAAAGGACCAAGATTACAACCACATTGCGTTTTCTTTACCTTTGACTCAAACATAAGCTCTAATGTATCGGGGCAGAACATAATCGATCTAAAGTGCCATAAATTGGTCGTGATTGTATGTGTATGACGTAGTTTAGAAAATACGATAGACCTGTGCATTCCATCCCTTGCCGGGTAAGCTATTTCTTCCCTTCTCACTCCTTGCAGCGGCTTATTTCCTCGAGGTCCTATTGGATCAATCCCAATCCCACCCCTCCATTTCTAAGGTATCAGTCTCAAATGAATATGAGCCTTGATTCATGTCCTGTATATCAGCTCTTCACCCTAACAATGAATCAAGTCTCATACATTTCTTTCTCGCATTACATTGAGCTATAAGACAGGGGTCACGAGTCTGATTGCCTCATTCCACTACACAAGACAAATCCACTACGACGACACTAACATACCTACTCAGGAACAAGTCTCGGAGAAAGTAACAAAACAACGCTACATACTCCTTCTGACACATTACCATCTCGGCATGTACGCATCTAAATCTGATACCCGTCATTTCTCAAGCTTAGACACTACAGACCAAGACAAAGATGATTCGGGGCCTCAAACAGTTTCTCAAACACTTATCCAATAGCATTCCAAAGAACCAGAACTACTACTACATGTACCCTCCCATACCGTGATCCCAGATATCTCGTTAAACCACTAATTAGAAAGAAGTTTCTGACCAATATTAGTCTCAAGTATATGACCAGGGTAAAGGGACGGTTGGAAATACCAAAGCCGGAATCAGCCAAACAGTGTGCGGCTTAGCAGAGACAGATTGTAGATCATCTAGCTATGACGGGATGCAAAGATCCCCTAGATCAAAACGTAGAGCGCCTGTCTTTCCAAGATGGAGAAGATACAGCCATCTATGTCATCAGAAAAGAACATTGGCAAGACATACAACGCAGAGCTCAATGAGTAGTTAGAAGTAAACTCAGTCTCAATACTCACAAATATCTCAAACAACATACCCCCTTGTGGTGGGCTTTTGTGATGGTTTATTTGTGAAAAAGGTCTTGGCGAATGTCCTGAAGTAACAGAGACTTATTACATACCCCAAGAAACTGAAGGGTTATTGAGGAGTCCTGTTGTGAACTTTGTGTTGATGTTGAGAGACTTGGCGTGTTTGAGGCATCGGTCACTCAGAGCGTATTTGAACTTTTTTTTGTTGTAACATTAACCTGTCTTGAGGGCAAAAATGTCATACGGTTCAACGTAATAACATACTCCGATGTCCACTGCTAATACTTGCACAATCTTCATTATACTCAACTCAATAAAGAAAGGCTACGAATCAAACTAAAAGCGTCAATTTCCAAGAACTTCCTAGACATATAACAAACTTGCCCTGGACACACGTGACAGTACCGTAGACTTTGGAGAGAAACTACGACAAGCTCGAACTGCCCTACTAGTCCTGACGCTGAGATACAAGGTCACCTCGTTGAGCTTACATGCCGATGATGGCGTTTCACCGGAAGGGGAGATGGATGCTTACATAATGCATCCCGAGTGGCTCAGATTAGATGTCTTGGATCAACCTACGATCAGTTCCGTAGATTCCTTGCTTGAAGAATGACACTGCTTTCCCGGAGCGGCCCATTCTTGTCTATGATGTCTTGTTAATGAGTCAAAATCCGAATCTTGAGCTCCCTTGAATTCTTCGCCCCGCCAAAGCTCTACAACATTGAGGACGTGTCTCCACCATTACAACCGACACAATTCCACGGATACCAGCCACGTAAAGAGGGGGTTCCGGATGTCGCTAGGTATGATCCTGGATCTATCAATGTCTGGTTGCATCTGGAGGCTTATGTGGTGTCCGCGTTGAACAGCTAGCTTACCAAATGATCACCAAGTACTTATATCTCATGACAGCACGCCATCCCAGAGCCACAGGATTCAACCAACAGACACACAACAAGCACGAACCACTATCTTCTTCTCTTACACACAAAAACACTTTTTTTTCCCCATACAAACCCTGTTCGGCGTTGTCGCGATGACGCGCCTGAGAGACGTCGCTGTCTTATTTGCCGGCTCTGTTGTCTGGGCGCAGGATCCCCAGCAAATCCTTAATGGAGGCTCTGGGCTGTTGACAACGCCATTGGGCACTCAAGCTAGCACACTGGGCTCATGTTTGATCGGCTCGGCGTGCCAGAGAGTGGGCAAGAAAATCACCATCGACGATATTGTCATCTCCACCGACGGTAATGGAAACACAAAGTGTTGTCCCCTGGGCACCACCTTCAACGGGTCCAGCTGTGTCTATCCCAAATCCACTGTCTGTCCTCCTGACATGCACTTTGCAAATGGTGTTTGTGTCCTCACCTCTGGACCTGTCTGCGAGGACAAAAACTTGGTGCCGACTAAGGACGGCTGTGCCTCAAAGGTACCGCCCATCTGTCCTCCAGATACTATACTGGAGAACGACCAGTGTGTGATGAAGAAGGAACCAACTTGCCCAGGTGGAAAGAAGATTGTGAACGGACTCTGTACTGTCGACCAAGTACCTAAATGCCCTCAAAAAGGGTTCCATGCCCAGGGTAATCTCTGTGTCTCGGAAGAAGGCCCAACATGTCACCAAGACTGGCTGAAGGTGGTCGATGGCAAGTGTGTGCATACCAAACAGCCCAGCTGTCCATCGGGTACCAAACCAAGCGGGTCAGGCCGGTGTATCTCTGAGCAACCCCCATCCTGTCCAGCTGGGTTCACTGTTTCCGGCGACACATGTTTGCACCTTACCGGGCCGTCTTGCCCTTCCGGGTCTGCGTTCCGGAACGGCGTATGCGAATACAGCAGGACGCCTTCCTGTAATCAAGGAACCCTAAACAATGGCGAATGTGTGGCCGACAGTCAGCCCGAATGCCCGCAGGGTTTCAAACTCGATCAAGTCACAGCTCGTTGCCTGAGACGGGTTCAACTCAACTGCCAGGCCGGATTTGTGAACAGATGGGACCGCATCAATGACAAGATAGCGTGCTGCCCCAAAGACTTTGGAGAATTCGATGGCACTTTTTGCACCAAGGACAACACAGGCTCGGTTACATGCCCCTCCAACTCGGAACTTCGTGACGGTAAGTGCGTCACGAGCCCGGGAAGCCAGCCAGATTGTGACGGTGGTAAGGGCTTCGTTGAGAAGGGCGTCTGCTACAAGAAGGAGGAAGCCTTCTGCCCGAGCCCTCTCAAAGCCTTCAAGGATAAGTGCGTCTACGAAACGGATCCCTACTGCGCCGATGGCAAGCTATCTCCCAGTCGCATGGAGTGCATTGTTGAAGGCCCCAACTGTCCAGATGGCTCAATTGTTATCGATGACGAGTGCGTCTCCAACGTTCACATACCCGAATGCCCTAGCAATCTCAAGCCCAAAGACGGCGCTTGTGTGGGCGAGCCCACTCTCAGCTGTCCACCTGGAACCATCAGGAACGGTGAATACTGTATCTACGAGCATGTGCAGCCTGGCTGCAAGGATGGCCTCTTACTATTGGGCTCTCAGTGTGTTACTCGTACAACTGCCAAATGTCCGGATGATACGATGCCGGAAGGGGAGTACTGTGTCTCTATGAAGAACCCGATCTGCCCGGAGCCCGATTACATCTTCTCACTTCAGAGACGTGCTTGTATCCACAAGTACAGACCATCTTGTCTCCCTCCTTTTTACCTAAAGAACGGACGGTGTGTTATCGACAACCAGCCAACTTGTCCGCCGGATACAGTTCGTAGTGGAGACACTTGTATCAAGAGGGCCAACTGTTCCGGGGACTACACCCTAGTCGGAGATCGGTGCGTTTCCAACAAGGGCCCAGAATGCTCAGACCCCTCCACCGAGTTCGATGAGAAGACGGGCCAGTGTGTCTCCCGTGTCGAAACCCCTTCCTGTGCGGATGGAAGCGTCCTCTCCAACGGCAAGTGCACTTTACGAGCCGATTGCCCTCCCAACACCACCCCAATGGGTGATTACTGTGTTTCATACCAAAAGCCGGCCTGTCGGGATGGTTTTACCCTCGAAAACGGCGAGTGTGTCCTCAAGAAGGGGCCATCCTGCCCACCTGGCTTTGTCGCCCGGGGCACGGACTGCTTCTCGTCCAAGAAACCTATCTGTCCCCCAGACAGTATCATGGATGGTGATCGCTGTATTATTGGGGTTAACCCAGACTGCATCATTCTGGGCACCTGCCCTGAAATCGCTTAGTTGTGATCTGGAGCGTATCGTCAAAGCAGCTTGGAGATTGAAGCAATTCCCTGGCGAACCATCACCTTTTGCCTCTCTTTTTTTTTTGTTGCCGAATGTGTTTACTGTTTTGTTAGTCTGTTGATGGGGTACTGGGTCAGAAAGCCCTTTGAAAGCCTTCGAAGCCAACTGCCCCAGGATTGTCTTGTGCATTATCTTGGCACACATTTCCTTTTTTTTTAAATCCACTCGCTTAATCTTACTACTATGTCAAGTTAGTTTCACAAATAATAAAGGTCTATGTTTCGGTATTACGGAAGATTCCAAGTGAGGTTTGTCTAAAGAACATCAAACCAGTTCTTCCACGTCTTAAGTATTTATATGCGTTCTAAAAGTCCTACCCGTATGCATGTTATATTATACCTTAAATACTTCAGACAATTTGTTTTTACCGGTTTCCGAAACGTCTATGTATCATACTTTACCAGTCTCATTCTAAATTCCGAGGCGTTTTTTCTCGGGCTTTCGGGAACTAGGTAACTTTATATGCGATGCGAGCATACCCCAGCATTTATCGGCTTCGCGGACTATGAAACACCTCCATTCCTAACCAGAAATAATACTCAGGTATGAGCTTAATGACCTAATAACTTAATTTCTTGTTTATTTTATTGAAACTATGTAATCTGGGGGAAGATATACATCGACTCCCACAATGAGAAGAGCTCCGAGGCTGGACCCAAGTTAGATAGGGTGTCCAAGTCACCAAGTCCCTCGGCTACTAGACTTTCATCTAATGGGTCTCCCATCAGATCTCCGGATTGAAATCCCATGTCAGTAGCACCACTTTCAGCCCCTGTCTCTTCTCTTCCACCACCACCCGGACTACTGGCCAAGGTCGGTACGACTGTATGTACCATGATACCGAGGAACTTGGCATATCGGATTGCCATATGCGAATCGTCCGGTGAACCACCATGAATTGCGTTTATGGCACGACGTAAGAGTTGGATATTCGGATGTGTATGATTGACATGTTGGTTTTTCATCAAGGTTGACTAGTCGATCATATCCATCAGAATCATGCCCTTTGATACCAACTCTACATCATGGAGCTCTTGCAACATACCCTGAGTAAATATAAGCAAGCAGAAACGATAAAGAGCCAGCATCGGACTGGTCAAAACTTGGTGAGCCCTGAAGGCTTCAATTCATCAACCACAATACATAAGAGTGCGTTGCTGGCCTGTGTCGCTTGATCTTCAAACTCATGCAGAGCATGGAGAAAACTGTCTGGTATCGTCTGCGAACTCGACTGTATGGCTTGAGACGCTGGTGCGAAACAGAATATGCTAACATAATAGTACTCAATGCGTAAACAGGCATTCAATAACAGGTTAGTATCTAGGATTTATTAGCTAGCATCATTCTCTTTCTTATTGATCGATTGAATTACCCCTACCATGATAATATAGCCGCCTCCAGCGAGCCAATGATCGACGTAAATTGTTTAAATAATGAACTAGATTAGACTCGGAATGTAATGCACCCTCGGATCTAAGAGAGTGCAAGAGCTCTCTTCCTTTCCGAGCTTCTGTTGAGAGCTCAAAATAGCTTTCCCAAAGAGTGTTGTCGGGTAGTAAATCGGCAAACGTCAATGCGAACCGCTCTTTGATGACATTTCTCGACTTCTCAGGTAGTAGTGACTCCAAACCTAGACGTGTCGCGAGACCTTCGTCTGCTAGGTATATAAACACACACACAAGGCGGTTCCAATCTTGTTTTATGGAGTCTGGTTTGGAGGAGGATGAATTAATTGATGAGTTAGAAGATTCAACCTGGAAGCAACAGCTCTCGTGGGACTAAGCAATGGCGTTGGAGAGAAGCATCCTATAGTACCAGGTATATCAGCCCATGATGTCTTCGTCGTCATGCTGTATACGTACCATGACATTCTGTTGCTTCAATATGCTGGAGACACAATATTTAGCTTCTCCATTATCGACATCATCCAATATCGTCGCTGTCCTGTTAACAAGCCTCCATTATCAGAGACATCCTTAGAATCAGGCGCCCAAGCCTCATCCTCCCCTTCTGTGAAATCGACTAAATTGTTGATCGCTTTGACATGCTAGTCGATCAGAAGAAGCATGGATGATATCGCTCCCAAAAATCTTGCCGTGGCGGATCACCACATGACCGATTGAAGTGACTTTTGAAGAATGCCCCATACTTGCCAATGTATACGCTGAGACCGGATCTCACCATGAGACCCAGATAGTGGAGAGTACCTTGACGAAAGCACCACGATGTACAAAACTAAGAGAGGTTCCTTGCCGATGAGTTGTGTGTGAGTCCGATTTCGGAAGAAACGCCTGTCAAATATTTTCGGATATAGATCGCCATCAAGTTTAAGTCTGGGTTCAGATAACTCTGAGGTTATATTTATTTAATCCTACCCATATCTAGTCATGGTTCTCCAGTTTGAACTCAAGCTATCACCCTTCTCCAGATCTGGTCTTCCTTTACCTAACAGACATACAGTAATTCATTTCTTTTCGTCCCTATATATGTTAGAGATATATATTCAAACTATTCACTTAGAATATTACTATAATTATCTAACCCTTATACTATATCGTTAGCTATCATTAGCAGGGAGGAAAGTATAACCCGTTACTGGAGGCCAGATAGTAGCAGTCGCCTCCTTAAACTTGGTGATTTTTGGAGACTTCAAAGCTGGGAGTGGGTATGCGACCCTGTCAATCGTAACGTAGCCGTCGTCGTTTATAGTATATCGCTTGCTCGACATAATAACGCTTCCCTCATATTCAGTCAATGCCCCAATAAAATCCTCAAATGGGTCCTGTATGCCATCGTCATTGTCGCCCAGACTTTCGTTCCACGGATCGACTGTGATGAGTGGGCAGGATGCACCGGTTGTTGTTGTAGCGGTTGCGGTGAGGAAGCAACCGGTGATCACCTCGGTGGCGGTAGTTGTGCAGTAGGAGGATTTGCATGACACCCAGTAGTCGGTGACCTTTGAGGTTGTGCAGTCACAGCCGAGATAGGTGTTGCAGACTGGCGCAAGGCTTTGTCGTATATACCTGGTGACATGCCGTATTGGTCTCGGTGGCGCAGTCCTCCTCATCTTCGTCTTTGTCATCATCCTTCTCATCATCCTTGTCGTTGTTACTGTTGCACCCGATACCAACACAACTTCCTCCTGGCCCAGGACATCCGCCACCGATGCAGCCACTTGATCCACCTCCGCTTCCTCCTCCACTGCCGCCGGGCGTGCAGCCGAATACACAGGGCTTGCCGCAGCCTGCCTTGCAAATAGGTCCTGGAGGCCCAGGCGCAATAATGATGCCAGGAGCAATGCCTGGGGGAGGCAAAATGACCAGATCATCGTCCTCGTCGTCTTCATCACCGTTTTCCGATTCATCCTCATTGTCGGGGTCATCGTCATCGTCATCATCGTCATCATCGTTATCATCCCCTGGCTTGTTATTGCTAGTTGGAAACGGCCCAGGCTTGTAAGTGTAGGTGACGCCGTGAGTTGGTTCGGTCAAGGTGATGGGTGGCGGAATAACGCTCCCACGCACAATGATCGATTGGGAGGTGGTTTCGGTGATTATGATATTGGAAACCTCAATCTCGGACATCGTGAGAGGGGGTATCGTGATGCGTACAGTGATTGTGGTTGTACGATACTTGACAACACCGTCCGTGGTTTCCGGCCACGTCTCCTTGATCGTCTCCGTAATAACTGGGAAGTTGATGGTAGTCTTGGACGAGAGCGGCCACGGTGGAAGGACGAGGGTGCACGGTGGTTGGCAGCTGGCGGTCGGGTTCTTCGAGCTCCAAATAACTGGATCGATATATACAATATCATCGTCATCACCATCACCACCACCGCCGTCACCACCGTTGCCTCCATTACCACCGTTGCCTCCATTACCACCACCGTCTCCGGGGTTGTCGGTCAACTTAGGAATCCAGTTATTGATATTAATGTATGCGTTGACGACACCCCCGTCAAGAACAGAAACGTAGTCATCTTTCCCGTCACCGTTGATATCGGCGTAATACACAGACCCCTGAGGTTTAACACCAATAGCAACCGTGCCCAGGTCAGTCCACTTCCGCCCCTCGCCGTTGGGAATTCTGCCGTTGTTGCGATACGCCAAAGCCGCACCACCGTCATACTGCACAATATATTCGGCCTTCCCGTCCCCTGTCAGGTCTGCGAACTGCACTTTGCTGCCAGGCTCACCGACGCCAGTCGCCACGATAATGCCCTCCTTCCACATGCGACCGCCGTTGACGAGCGGTATGTTCCTGTTGTTCTGCCAGTACTCAACTGCTCCCCCGTCATGGAGGACCAGGAAGTCTGCGTACCCGTCTCCGTCGAGGTCTGCAAACCTGATCTTGCTTCCCGGCTCACCAACGCCTGGGGCGATGATAATACTATCCTGCCAGATCCGGCGATCACCGGGGCTGGGGAGATTACCCTGGTTCAGGTACGCCTTGACAGAACCACCACCGTAGATGACCAGATAATCGGCGCGCTTGTCGCCGTTGACATCGACAAACTCAATGCGCGAATCTGAGAGATCTTCATTAAGGCCCGGTGCGATCTCGCCGATTGACTCCCACTTGTCACTGCCCTTATTGAGCCAGGCACGAGCCCGACCCTTAGCGTCGACCGAGATCAGGTCGTCAAAGCCGTTGCCGGTCAAGTCGGCAAAGCGAATGCTCGTCCCCTTGGTCCCGGCGATGCCGAGGTTCTTCCACATGCGAATGCTTCCATCATCGTCGACGGCAAGAAAGTCGGCGAGACCATCACCGTCCATGTCCGCGAAGCGAATCATATCACCTATAATGCCCGAGGTGCCCGGAGCAATAGTGCCAAGATCTTCCCAGTTGCGCCCACCTTGTTTGATGGTGTTGCGGAAGGCGTTGACTGCACCTCCATCGTATACAACGAGGTAATCTGTCGACTGGTCAGTTCCGTACGACTATTTGAGTCCGGTCAGTGCAGGCTCTAAACTTACCAGCCTTCCCATCGCCGTCAATATCTCTGATCCTTGTCGACCCTGCAGGAATGCCCTCAGAACCGGGGGCGATTGTAGCCACAGTCTCCCAATTCTTCTTGCTGCTGTCCTTGCCGTTGTTGCGAGTATTGCGCGCCCATTTGACTGAACCCCCTTCATAGATAATGGCATAGTCCGCATATCCATCACCGTCAATGTCTTCGAAGTGGATCTTATCCCTTGATCCAAGGCCAGTTGCCCACTGAGAATCTAGAGGCTCGAACTTCTTTCCATTGTCGACGTTCTTCCATACTTTGGCTGCCCCCTCTTTGTACAACACTATCAAGTCGGCCTTGCCGTCGTTATCAACGTCGGCAAGACGGACCATGTTCCCCTTGATAGACTTCCAATCCGGATTGATTTTGCCGATGCTCGTCCAGTCGTTGGGACCGCCTTGGTTGATCCAGCCTCGTATTGTACCATCGTTGTCGGCCAGAACGTAGTCCGCCTTGCCGTCGCCGTTAAGGTCGGCAAGGATCACTTTGGCCCGGCTTCCGTTTTCAAGAGGTCCGCGTATAGTACCGACAGATTCCCAAGTTCGGATTCCGTCGAACACGGTGCCCTGCTTCTTCCATATCTGACCTTCGATCTCCTGACCGGTGCCGCCTGATGCGCCGCCCACACCGAGACCTACACCTGGTAGTCCCTTGGCGTCCCTGCCAACTGGGTCCTCGAGCCAACCACGTTTATCGGCTTCTAGGATAGCCTTCAACCAAGCGTTGGCCATCTTTTCGTAACTGCTATCGTTGGGGTGCTTCTGGTCCCAGAGGTCGGCCACTGTGATCTCTATGGGGACCTCGAGCACGTGCTTTCCAGCCTTCTGCCTCTCCTCGATGATAGAAATGACCTTAGGGTTGAATCTATCAGTGTTTTGTTGCATCCTAGGCTTGTTAGCCCAGATGACCGGAGCAACGAGAATGGTTGCGTCAGGAGCGTTGGCGAGAAGGCCATCGATGATGGAAGCAAGCATTGCAGGCGAGCCTTCGAGGTCCTCTTCGAGGTCCATGTTGTTAGTTCCAGCATGTACGAGAACAACGTTGGGACGTGCCGCGATGGAACGTTTCCAATGCTCGTTGATCTGAGCAAGGACGTGACCGCTATGACCTTCATGATCGTTGTCAGGCATGCCGGTGGCGGGGTGCTTCTGACTGCCGATCATGTCAACAGAAGTGCCTTGGCCGATTAGTTTCTGACGAAGGCGGTTGCGGTAGCCCTTCTGGTCTTTAGATCCATTGCCCTTGGTGATGGAGTCTCCGAGCGGCATGATTCGGAGAGTTGGAAACGCTGAAGTGAGCGGCGTTGCGAACGCTATTAGTACCATCACAAAGGCAATGGTACTATGAAGCGTGAGATACACCATGGTGAGTTGACTTGAATCGATAAATAATGTGTATGTATTATGGTTATATGAGAGGGGTGATAGAAAGGGAAAGGGAATTTGATTAATGACATTCAAGTAAGTTCCAGGATATCCATCACAGTTTATATGGCTAGACGCTCTATCAGACGGCCGGCGGGCGAGGTATCTCAAGTCACCCAACACTATCACCCCCATTCGTCGTGGCTCCCCCACGTGTACTCTTCACGTTGACGCCTTCCTTGCCCTCATAGTTTTGTTGCATTGATGTTGGTTCTGAACAACATGTTGTTACCAACATGTTTCTGGGCCCTGCACTCTAGTAGCGTGCGATCCAACATCTTCCCGGAATCATTATGCAATCCTTTAGGTGCTGCTTGTAAGGATTAGAGGTGATGCATTTTACTGTATATCGAATTTCCATTATCTCGATGATTGCTCATGACCAATATCTGCCTTCCTATGTGTATTGACTGTTGCATAGCCTTTGTTGGTTGTGTTTTAATGTAAACGAGAATCCTTGCAATAATAGTACTACCGCGCGGGAAGAACCAGGCGGTGTTACCCGATTAGGTAAACCCCGAGACTGTTGGTTGGGGAGATTTTAGCTTTTAGGCTTTCTATGCAGATCCTATCTATATTCGATGGTAAATACCTCGTTCGCTTAGACAGTGAGGTTTTATTCCTACCGTTCACATATATTATTAATATCCTGTTGGTTCTTCCTGTTCGCTTGTTGGTTCAGGCATCTTCTCTTTCCGTAGGCCCTCGAATAGTTAACTACCTGATAATTGTAATTGCCGACGTTTGGAACCCCATGGTAGGTCTTCTTGGCGGCGCGTACATTAACCCATAACCCTTATCTGATATGCATGTTGGTTGCGACGGAACAACATGAGGGGGAATTGAGGTCTGTTGTTGGTGGTCTCAGTAAACGCACCGAAAATAGGCAGTGCCTTGTATGGGTCGCAGACTTACAGTAGACAGATACGCAGGACTAATCTCCTCCCTATAACTATTAATACCATAAATATCATAGAATGGTTACTGATATGTATATTAAACCTGCCCCTTCTTCTCTACAATTCTTCATCAATACACGATTGTTTAATATCTCTTTCTACGACTTTGCTACGCTGCAGTGCACTATGGCAACAAAGCCTACTTCTCCGTGGAGGCCACTCTTCGTGTATCCTTTCACCATCTTTGCCACGTTTATCTGCATCGTCTTATATGCAACGTCGTGGAGAGATTCGGGCTTGAACTCATACTCGGGTATTATCGAGGGCCGCAATCTTCACGATAATGCATCATCTAACTTTACCAAAAGGTCTGCTGCATATGATAAGGCACTTACCAGGGGACGCAAACTACATTGTCTTATGGGTTTAACCCAGGAGGAAGCTAAGCAGGCCAACGGTGGGACTTCGCTCGAAAGCCCCGAATATCTTCAGCTCTATCCTGGCATAGAGGAGACTGAGGGCTGGAACGTTAACTACGAAGACCCGGACGGGAACGCTCCCTGGTTTCGGAACTGTCTAGATGACGCATTTCGAGGTCTCGGAATTGAGAAGAATATCCATCACGAAGCTTGATGCGACGAAGGGGGTGGACATATCTTTGAGAATCCCCTCGATCCTGACATCGATGAGTACGAAGATCACTGGGTGAGTGTTTCTGCTTCTGTAAATGGATAAGGCTGATTTAGTTTCTACCCTGTAGAGTTCTGGGGCGTTTTACTTCACTTCTTATATCATCGATGCTGGTGTTGTAATTGGATACAACGCACAATCAGTCAAGCATTCCTTCTACAAGATGTTCCCCAACCTGGAGGCGTATTACACCAAGCATATGACCCACCTCCAACAAGTGAGTTGATTACCTAGGCTAGTCCCGAGCCAAAACAAGGCTGACAGGTTTCCTTCCAGTGGAGTGATGTAGCATGGTTACAATGGGTCAGTATATGTTTTAAACTTTCACCTTCCTTGTTAAGTGCTGACCTCTTTTACCAATGCAGTTGAAGGCCTGTATGGAGGAATCAGGCGATGTAAGCAACATCAACTATATCTTCCAGTCTCGAATCACAAACGTCGACACCCTTGAAATCCTTTTCGAGGCATTGCTGAAATGGGCTGGTGGAGAAATCACTATAGGGAAATGGGAACGCCGACTCACGCTTGATGTAAGGAAGGATGAAGACAAGGAAGCATTCTATGCGTTCTTGGGCAGTCCCCACGGGTCAATGTCATCATATCTTCTCTTGAATCACAAGGAGAATCTTGGTATCAAGACAATCAACAAGGTGGATATATTCGTGCCTTCTGTCCCCTGGACGATTCTTGCGGAAGGTGTAAGTGACCTTGCCCGAGCAGCAAAGGTTTCCTGCGTATTTCATGTCACGACTGTTTAGTTATACCTGTATACAGAGTTATTACCTCACAGTATCCTGATAAGGTTTATTGTTGTTTTCATAATCTCTTAAGTTTTCGCCCAGGCCGCCTTCTCAATTTCCTCTATGTTTTCAATAAACGTTAATCTGTCTACGCAAACCAAATTTTCAACAAATCTCCAAAAAAGAAAAAAGGCGATATATAACTAACATATTAGAATTAAAGGAAAGATTTTCAAGTTAATACTGTTTGAATATTATAAAATTATACGTATATATATCACGTGGTAATTAAATTGGAAGAGATTTACATCATAGAAACAGAACCAACAAGGACAGGGATACAGAGAAAGCTTCAAAAAGTCGCGCATTCCCACATTCAACATCTGCAATCCTCTTGTCTAAATAATTTCCAACAGCCACAAATTTCATTAACATGGGCAATAAGAGGCAGCATAACATGGTCTCCCTGGATAACCTACCGCCCGAGATTCTACTTCCAGTAATTACCAGCCTTCCGGATCTTAATTCACTTTGGAAACTACTACAAGCTTCTCCACATGTATGGCATCTCTTTGAGGATGGATCGACGTCTCTTGTCATCACGGAAGGCATACTGTCAGGACCACATTCCACCATCCCACCAAAGATCAGACAGCTTATACGAGGCGTGATACTTGTTCGCTCAGGCACACTTCCTTTCGAGAACCTAGATGAATTTGGGTCTCAATTCATGAAGGCTATGATTCCATGCCTTGTTCCGGATGAAGCAACAGTCAAGACTCTGGGCCCAGAGTCACTGTCTCACAGGTCTAGTTCGGCAGTACTTAGGTCCGTTGTTGCAACGTCTTATCATCTGTCAGCTCTATCACAGTCATACCTGGCGTCTTGCTTGGAAAGGCTGCGAGATCCAAGTTTCCGGCCATTACATGCCTATAACCCGTCGCCATATTACACCCATGATTATAAAGATGCTGAAGGGTATGTCCCTGCCTGGGATCGCCAATTCGTTGGCACACCCGTCCATGTTGTTGACATGGGACAGCCAACATGGGTAGAGGAGATGCGTGCGGTGCGAGTAATGTGGATCATGCAGCTCGTAGGCGAGATGCAGCTTCTTCTTGACAGCAAGACCAGCATTGGATGGTCCAAAGACGATGTATCCCGTCTGCTTGAGATGGGCCCTGTCGATCTATTCCATCAACCGGATAGTCCAATCTCCGATACAGAGCCAATCAAATCGGCGATGGATTATCTTGCAACACTTAGAAGCCCGGCTAAAGATCGTTTTTATCGACTTCCTGCAGCGCCTGCGCCGTCACTCAACAATCGATGGACAACGGCACTCCCGAATCACAACGAAGTGTTTATGCAAGTCAAAGCCTACCGCCTAAATGGTAAATTCCACTGGTTAAGAAAAGGGTCCCAAGTGCCAGAGGGAGCAACTCCAGTGGAAACACCAACAGTTACCGATGAGAAGCTGTGGGAACAGACAGCAAAGGCTTTCGACTTTCGGCCGTACGGTGTCAATTTCTGGCAACGACTAAAGGATGATGGCCATTCTGGCGAGTCGCCTTTACCTGATGTTAGCTTCAAGTCTTTCCGTCCGCTAGGTCTTGCTTTTTGGGACAGGAAGAGATTATGGCTTTTGGGCTTAGCCTCTGGTGTAAATAGTAACAAGTATCACTTGGAGGGGTTCTACTTCTTTGTATGGGAGAGTATTTTACCGCCTGAGGAGGTTACCGCTATTAAGGCTAGGGCTCGGGTAACTTTTAAACCTTGGGAAGTAAGATTGCATTAAATTAATTTATTATATTACTATAAACTTACATTGCTACGGATAATGTCACGGTGGCGAAGATCATCAGGCCTGACAAGGCTGCGGATAAAGGCTAGCGAGTAAGTTGGTCATGTGGGAATTACTATAGAGCACCGTCCTTATATTAATAGTAGAATCTAACTTCGTAGCTACGCCAATAAATGTAAATTGATTCTATTTAACGTGCTTGAATTTTTGTCCTTTTGTTATGTAGACTGCTTGAGATAACCCATGTCTGAAGCTGCCTTTAGTAGTAATGCCACGTCCTTCTTCATTCCGTCTTTCAATTGCCAGCCCCACAATGCCGACCTTCCACCCACATCACGGCGTTTATAACAAACTGATTGCCGCGCAATAGGCCGCGTCTTTTTGGTCAAACAGACGCAAAGATCTTCACGGCAATAGTACGTAGACCAAAACTTAATGTAGCTGTAGTGGGATGAATCGGGAACCCAAGTTGTCTTGGCAGAATAAATACCACATTGACCCCATAGACTCTTCCCTATCAATCATTACTCACTGTTTCAAAGTTAGATCAAATGTTGCCAAGAGTTCTGTTCCCTCTTCTCACCGCCTCGGCTGTTGCCGAAGTGCATTTTCTATTTTCTGGCTTCTTTTCTGGATCCATGATTGCTGGTATCGAGTTTGATGATAAAGCCCATTCCTTGAACTTGGTGAAGAATATCTCATCGGCGTCTGATGACGGATCAAAGTGGATAGCACTAGACGTAAGTGCTGCTCAGACATCCTGCCGTCGTTAAATATAAACAGAGGACTTTAGGCTCACAAACAAAATCTATACGTTGGCACCACTGGTTACTTTCAAAGCTACAAGATAACCAAGGATCTCGGTTTAACTTACAAGAGCAATGTCAGCTTGTCTTCGGACTGTAAGTAGCTCTTCCTGATATTGGTCTATTGGATTTTCTTGCTGAACAACTTTACACAGGCAACAACGCAAACTTCATCACGGCATCGTCCAAGTCTCCTTTCGCAGTATTCGGCACCCCCTACGGAGACGGCTGTCCAACAGTCGCCATATCCGTCGATGAGACTGGCAATTTACAGAAGAGTTTCGCAAACGCGACTTACAATACTAAAGGCGGTGTTCACGGAACCGCGCTGAGCCCCAAGAATGACTTCCTGTACTCTGCCGATGACATGGGAAATGCAGTCTGGGTCCACTCTTACGATCGCGAGAGCGGCAAAGTTGAAGAGGTGCAGTATCTTGCTGCCGAGGAAGGATCAAACCCGAGACATTTAACGGTGCATCCGAACGGGGAATGGGTGTATGTTGTGTACGAGGAGGCGAACTCTGTTGCGGCATACCAACGGAACACAAATACGGGAAAACTCGAGTTTCGAAATGAGACGTACAGTTTACTTCCTTCTGGTAAGATTTTGATTCTTTCTCTATCTGTCGATATGAATTAACCATCTCTTTAGGATTCACCAACTCTTCTTCTTACTGGGCTGATGAAGTACTTCTTTCCACGCCTGCCGATGGATCATCCCCCAAATACCTAATCGCTGCCACGAGGTCTCGTAAGACAGGAGTTCCCGGATATGTCTCTGCGTTTAGTCTTGATGCCAAGACTGGAGGTGTCAGAGAGCAGCTGTTTCTGCAGGAAACCACCAATAGTGGAGGATCTGCAAATGCCGTGTCACCAGCTTCGTTCAGTGAGGATTACTTTGCTATCACTGATAGTGGTTCGAATTTTATTGAAGTTTGGAAGATTAAGGACAAGTGTGCAGCGGCAGTGGCCCATCTTGATCTTCAGAATGGACCAGCTAATGCTGTATGGTATAGCTAAGATCCTTGTGCCGAAGCTTATGCTGCACGGCACAACTAAGTGGAACAGGTATATAGCTCGAGTTACGAACATAACTCCTCAAGTTAATCACTAGCTTATTTTGACTCGTTACGTGTAATTCCAAGCTTGATAGCCTGGTAGTTTGCACCAGGATTGATAGCCCCCATTGCCAAGAATATCCCATCCTGCCTCCCAGAGTACGTGTAGAAGTTATCGAATGTCCCCGTGAATGTAGTACAAGTAGTCTCGAAAGTACCAAAGTCCAGAGTGCAGGTCTTCGCAGGGACAGAACAGTGAAGCTCCCGATCGCGCGATTGCTTGCAATGAACCAAGGCAAAGTCTGGTTGGTTAAGCATATTGTCGCTGCACGTACTGAGCAAGTTAGCACCCCCAACATCTCCATATTGAATACATAAGCTATTTCCGTTTATGTCTGTAACGCGGTTGGTCGTGGAGTCAATGGAAAACGTCAAGCGGTCTTTCGTGGATGAGTATTGCCATCCAACAAAGAAGCCAGCTGATTGGTATCCTAGCAGATATTGACTATCTACTTGAGCGCCTTTTCCAAGAACATCGAAGGTAGGAATTGGTTCGAAGGCTGCTTCGGTCGTCGTGGCTTCGGTAGCTGTGGTGATAGTGACGGATACTTCGAGGTCTGTAGCCTCTACGAATGAAGTTGTTGCGATAGTGGTTGTTGCTTCTGCTGTGGGGTCACCATTTGAGGTTGTCGTTGCGATGGTGCTCAACAGGTCGGCGGAAGTGGCTGTCGCAGTGCCTGCCACAGTAGTCTGAAGCTCGGTGGTCGTAGCAGACTCAACTGAAGCAGTAGCTGTAAGGGCATGAGTCATGTTCACTCGGTCTTGTCACAAAGGGTTTTACTGACTTGAACGGCTTGAAGAACGAGGCTTACAAACGCTAGCCAATGCAGGGCTTGCTGCCAAAGCGGCTGCACAGAATAGATTGAAACGCATGTTGCCTACAGAAAATGAACGAGTGACGGAGGCCAAAGCTGGTAAGAGATAAAAGACTTGAAAAGAGAAATACCGGGTCTGGAGGGTTTTATTTTTTCGCTGCCAAAGGGGTTCGTGACCCGAGGCAGTGTTGGTGGGAAATTGCATCTGGTAGCCGTCCACTAACTCAGGGACTGGCGGAAACTATCGATTTTGCTAACCGTAACTAGTTGCGCATGTAGAAATGGCCAGGTTTGATTCGCAGAGAATGTTCCCGCTATACATCTTGGTCTGCTCTCTGTATTGCATTCAAAAGGTTCGCCGATTGGGGTAGCTGGTTGTTTGTTGCCTGAATGACACATTTGAAACTATTTGGCAACTTATGTATGACTTCTCTTTTCTATAATACTTGAATACCGTCTAGAGCTTTCCATGTCAACATACTGATTTAGTCTACCTGCGTGCTCGTAACTCTGTCCTTCCGTTATCCCCACCGCTTGATACAACATATGCCTCATTAATACGACCTGCTGCCTTTACCAATTGGGCCACTTCCTTATCCTTCATCCCCTCACCACCCGCAGCTCGAATAACATCGTGTGTCTCTGGAGACACCATTTGAGACACAGCCTGCCAAGCATTGCCTAGGAGAGAAGACGTGGTGCGCTGTGCAAAAAGATACATGGTGGCAGCAGTAATGATAAAATGAACAATGATAATGACCAACACGACAACAAGACCAGTCCACTGCCCTGGAATAAGTACGTCTTTGGCATTTACGGTCGTGACTTGATGCGTTGGCTTGTAGTTGGGAAGCCAGTCGTAGTAAAGCATTTGATAGAAGCGGAATACAAGTGCTTGCATCGCTTGCGCAGGATCGCCTGTCTCTTGAATGATGTTTTGAACCACAGCAGAATGCTCCGGATGGGTTGGCCAGATAAATTGCGACAGGATATTGTTGGTCATGATTCTTCCTGCAAAACTCCAACTTCCCAACAGAGAATATTCCACAAGTGTAGTCCACAGTAGACCGTATGCAGTCCGAACTCTGGCTTCATCATTGGGATCAGCCCACAGCTCTGGGTCGGAATGAACTTCAAGATCCAGTATGTCTCGATCCTTTGTACTTCCAGAAGAAACTCCAACACCCAGCTGTTTTAAGATGCCAGTACCGTTTCCCTGGGTAGATATATCGGACCACTCGTACAAAGACTCGGGCTCACCGTCAATAGCTCGTCCAGATATGGTGACATTGTATCGATGAGGTAGGTTTTGGCTGATATAGCAGACAGTCGCATTGAACGCTTCCAGTCCGTCTGCTGTATGAACCGTTGTCCAAGGCCCATCGCGAACAGACGTCAAGTTCTGAAGATTATCTGGAATCTCAACCTTTGAAGGCTTTCCGGTCGTGTCGTCGTACGTTGGCCCAATTCCGTTCAAGGATGAGCCAGAGTTAACAAGCAGTACCGAATTAAAGCTGTAAGCCCAGCCAGAAAGAGGATTCTTTGTCCCGTTCTTGGTAGAAACGGCATCCGCGGTGGTACTGCACAAAGAGATAGGCAGAGTATTGTGATCCAAGGTGGTGTTCCACTCGTTGTGAACTCTGCAGATTATGTTCTTGGGAGAGGTCGGGGCGCTTCCAAGCAAGTCTACTGCTTGGTTCTCAACAGCAAAGCTAGCATTGAGATACAAGCCACTGGTAACTTCACTATCGCCTTGCTGGTATTTGAGTATTGTCCTCTCAAACTTTGGTGCAAAACAGGCTGTGCGTTGGTTGACAACAACAGCAGGTCCTTCGTAGAACTCCAGACTAGTCCTTTCAGTAGCGTTATCGAATGGAAGCATAGCTCGGTAGATGTCTCCCGTGTCTATCGCGTGATCTGTTCGAAGTTCGGTATCCATCTTGGCCGGGCGAGCCTCTGCGAATCGCCAATGTGCAAGTGGTCTTGATTTCCAATACGAGATACCATTGAAGGGAAAGATTTCTTGGGTGTCGAATCCAACTGCTGTGACACGTGTTTCCATCGGTGCAGAGATCTGATCTTGGCCAAAGTCGAAAAGAATAATCGTAGAGGTCAAAGTTGAGACCAAGGCGATAACAAAGGCTGATGCAAGAATCACCAGATGCAGCAATCCCGAGCCACGACCTGACGAAAAGTGCTGCCAGGCTGTTGGTATCATACTTCCAGGACCAGCGCTGGAACTAGCCGCTCTCTGAATCGACAACATTGCTGTATCGACAAAGCGACTTCCTGAAGTCTCGAGTATCACCGCTGCCATAGCTGCCGCTGCAAACCCGATCTGGAATCCCATAGAAACACGAATAATAGCAGAACAAATGGTGACAAGTCGCGTAGCCCATTCGTTGAAAACAATCAGATCCCAAAACTCAGATCGGGGATCGCGATTTCTCGCTTTGTCTGCGCCTTTGTAGAGGAAGATGAGGAGAGCACCTGAAAGTAGAATGGCTGCAGTGCCGACGCCGAGGATGATGGTACCAATGAGACCGATTCTGCGCCACCATTCTCGAACTCGTGGTTGCCTGGGTGGGACGATGAATGTTGTAGCTGATCTTATCGGAGGTTGGTAGTTGACATTGAGGTTCCATTGTTCTGATTTTTCTCGTGGTGTTCCAGCTTGTCCGCGACGTGAAGATTGCTCCTGCCCATACGCTTGAGCCTCCATATTGTTCACGGCTTGGTAGCCAGCCATATCGTTGACTTGTTGATGATACGACAACAAGAGTGAGATTGTGAGAAGTTGGACAAGCTGGGTATTTTAAGCATTATAGTCTACACCGTACACCGAAGGATTCGGTAGCCACTCCGTCTTGGCATTAAACGAATATCTCGACATGGATATCAAACACTCTCCTGTGTTAGTGCAATACTTTGTTCATAGCCTCTCAGAGGCTCAAGTATAAGTACTCTCTTAGCTATCAAACGACCCACCGGGACAAGGATAAGCGCTGGAGCGTTCCATGGTGGAGTTTTCATTTCCGCACAGAGCACATAATAGGTCAGCTCGCATTACTGAGTCCGAGAGTGGGTAATTGCAGGGCTGATTTTGGGTTGGCTGAGTTGCTGTTTTGGCAATGTCGTTGAGGGTAGCTACTATGTAGTTTAACGTTCCAGCTCGAATCTCTATTATCTCAACGTCTAGACAACTGACTACCGGATTCTTACCAACCCCACCTCACAGAATATGCATCTCGTCAAGACCACCATGTGTCTGCCGTCTTATAAACCCCAACGAAAGTTTTACACAAAATTCAATGTCATATCTCATTCTACGGCAGCGCTTGACATGACCTTCTAATGTTTTGGAAATACTTCAAGCTCGATGTTAGCTTCTCCATCATGTGAGTGCCTATTTATTATCATTAGACACACGACTGTGTTCTGTTCGGAACCTGGGTATTAAGCGTCTAACATCCTTATTTAGAGCGGCACTTGCTTCTTGCAGTATTCCTTCCAATTAGTTGACGGACAGCTACAGTTAAGCGGCTTTTCAACTCGTGTAGCTCTATGTGACACAAAATGTCACCTAATCACAGTAATCAAGAAGCAATACTTGGCCTTGCAAGAACACAACACTGGGAATTTATGATACCAGGAGATGCGACTGAGTGAAAAAACTGATTGGGCATAGTATCCTCCAATCAACCATAAATGTATACTGTGGTGATTCCAATAGGCCGAAGGGGGTAGATTCCCTACGCCTCGTATGCTGCCTTGCTCAGCCGCAATTTGGCGTCTTAAACGGAACCCCGCATATTCTTTTGAATTTTCTTTCGAACCTGTTTTTGTAACTATCGATGTTCTCCAACATCAACGCTCAGTGCCATATCCATTAACTAAGATTGATCGGTCCCATACCGTCATCGTAAAAGCGCACAAGATGTCCGACGCCGAAGCCGCGATAGCCGGAGTGGGCTTTTTGTGTAATGCGATGCAAATTGTCACTTTTGGTTGAGACATCCTCCAAGTCTACTGTCAAGTTCGCGATGGTCGATCTCCCGACCCGAGACTAGAAGGATATCTCGAGAGTGCGGAGGCTTGCTTCAACCAGATGAAGTCCTCAGCAGCCACTCAAACCCACGGGTTAAGCAGCGACCAAGAACAGATCGTCAATGTTGGCCAAATGTTACACGACTCTATGGCAAAGCTACAATCCAAATTTGCCGAGCTCCATCTTAATGATGCATCTAAACGTGGAATCCATGGGAAGTTGCGGGCAGGGAAAAAGGCTGTGGCATCTATGTGGTACTCCAAAGAAATCGAAGGTCTTGAGGAAAATCTCAAAAGATACGAAGGCCTTTTCCGCAGTGCCATGCTTCATCGCGTGTGCAAACAGGTTCAGGCTACAGAAATTCGGTCAAACCAAAACTTCCAACAACTCAACACGGGTCTACAATCATTTATTATAAAGCTAGTTGATGGTTGTACCAAGATATCTGAGCTGTCACTTGCATCACTTGACACAAGATGCCAAATGGCTTAAGAGCATGAAAAAACACGTACAGCCTTGAGCCTTGGCTTTAGTTCCACGCAAGGTACGGTTTCGGATATTCGAGACTCAACCTCTCAACACATTCATGACTCAGCCCAACATGAGCTGCGCAGAGACTTGGAGAGACGCCATGAGAAATTACTCGAGAGCCTCGGGTTCTCTGAAATGAACAGCTGCAAAAGTCAAGTTTCTGAGAATTACCTTAGAACCTTTTCTTGGGTATACCAGAACACGTCCTATTGTAGTCGAAATCGTTCACTTAGCCCAGGACAGAGAGACAACGAAGAGACAAACGACAACATGACAGACAGTGACTCAACGGACAACGAGGACATGGATGATGATATATCTACAGACGATCCATCAGAGTCTATGTTTATCAGAGATTTACCAAGCCCTGACAACTTTCCCGCTTAGCTAGAGTCAAAATCAAAATTGTTCTGGATTAGTGGAAAGCCGGCCTCTGGAAAAAGCTCGCTCATGAAATTTCTTGCAACCAGTTCCCACACGATAGAACATTTGAAGAACTGGCAGCGCAACATACATATCACGGAAAGCAAGCTACATATCATGACCCATTTTTTTCTGGAAGCCGGGCCAATTGTTACAACGGAACACACAATGCATGCTACTTTCTCTTTTATATCAAGTGCTCTATAGGAACCTTTATCTTGCTCAGCGACTGTGCAAAGATCCAGAGAATGTTTTCGACAAACGAGCTTGTGGAGATTGGAGTCTGAAAGAGCTAAGAGACGCTCTCTGTCGCACAATAAAATTTTCAAGCGACGCCTTTTGTATTTCTTTAGATGGTTTAGATGAGGCAAAAAAGTTCGAGACTTTGGCATGGCGTGATAGAGGAGATAAATAAGTCATTCGTGACTTGTTGCGTCTCAGCAATGTCAAACTGTGTGCGTCTAGCAGGGAAGAACATCCTTTCACCTTATTTTTCGAAGGTCATCCCCGGTTGAAAATTCATCTGCTTACTTATGGCGATATTTATCGTTTTGCGAGGAAACGACTCGAAATATCTGGGCTTGATTCTGCCAACCGAGCCAAGATTCTACAAACCGTTGTGGAGAAAGCTAATGGGGTATTTCTCTGGGTCGTCTTAGTCCTCGACAGCCTGAACAGAGCAATACGATCAGGGACAGCAAGTACCGACGAATTGCAGGAGCGACTTGCACATACTCCAGCAGATTTGACTAAACTTTTGATCGACATGTGGGAGCGATCGGGAGACGATGCCAAATTATCAAGCTACAGGAATGGTGCTTCTCGCTACCTTAGCCTTGTCATTACGGCCAGCAAGATTAGAGAGGATCTCCTTTACGCCGATGAACGAAATTCAATGCATTCCTTAATCGTTATGGCTAGTGCTCTGTAGGATGAGCCACTGACATCAATATTGGACACGGGTCGATACATCCAAGTAAATGACCTTCAGGCCAGATGTGCAAGGGTAACAAATAGATTACCATTGATTAGCCGCGGGCTGCTTGAGATAATATCAGTTACATGCCCAGGGGAATCTCGCATGTATGCAGGAAATTCACGCCTACTTCATTACGAAACCAAGAGGATCAAATTCATCCACAGATCTGCTTTCGACTTCATTACTGACACACAAGTCGGTCGCGAATATTTGAGTGCCTGTCACTGGTCCCCGAACGAGTAGGTTCACAGATTACTCACAGGCCATCTGATCAGATCTCGGTTTATGTACGCAATACTAGATTCAATGGTCTTAAGGACAAGCAAGATTTATTATACCACGAGAGAAATATTTTCTATGGAATTGCACAGAGCCCTGGCGATCACTTATGTTTGGAGAGATAGCAGCTTGGATTTCGAAAACAGCATGTTGAGAATAATCAAGGGTTGGCTGAAATCTGGCTTATTCTACTCTACGTCGTATTGGACATATCCACCGGCTTTCCGAGTCTGTTCAAATCCTTTGGATTTGGAATTCCTTGAAAAGATCGCGACCACAGCTCCTCGATTCACTATCATTGCTGATCTACTAGACAACGTTTCGATTGATTATCTCATCGGCTCCATTCCTGTTCTTCTGCACGGGTCGAGAAACATAGATCTGGATGTATGGGTTGAATCAATGTACTTGGAGTTGATCGGATACATCCTAACCCACCTACAAAAGCAAGTAGTGAAAGGTGATAAGGTGTTCCTTCTCAATCCCAAGATAACATAAGGAACGCAACTCCATTGTTGCATTCATGGTTCCTGGTTCAATGCCTTTGGAATACATGTATCCCCAATATCTTCCCTGGCAGAGAGTCAGAGTGAGGGGAGCTCTTTGACTTATTGGATCGATTCAAGGACACTTTGTCCTCAACAGATGATTGGCAATACCCCTTGGTTTTGAGCTTTGGAGAGAACAACTTCCTAGAATTTTCCCCGCAAGGAATCTATCTTTGTTGCATCATGTCAATCCATGCCATCGTGTCTATTGTAAACCTTGCCACCGCCTATGGGATACTCGGCCGGCTTGTGAAGAACCGTTTGCCCCATACGCTATACTCTCAGGCCCCTCAAGAGTCAAGTGAACGATTTGAGGTAGTCCTCATCAGTGGCGAAGGAAAGGGCAGGGACTGCCCTGCTAAGATGTTTTCACCGGCAGCAGAATATCACGATCGTATTGCAGCTAGCTTGGAAATTACCATGCTTAGATCCCATACTAGGAAATATCGGAGCAAAAGAGAAGAAGCATGGCGGGTGTTTGTACAAAGTATAAGTGACGGCTTGACATTAGTGGGTGATGATGGTGTAGGATATTGCAAAAGAGAACTTGGGAAAAGGGGATCGGAGTATTTACATCCTTGGCAAAGTAATTGGACTATAGAAGAAAGGAATGAATTTTCAATGGAGGAATGAGACGAAGACTCACCAGAGGATGCAATGGAATATTGAGTAGGATTCACAATAGGGGATGATTGAGAATTACGAATTGGCCAATTAGCAATTTCATTGGTAAAGGGGACAATTTAATACAAGTAAGATAAAGATTTGGCTTCACATAGCCTACTAATGTGATGGAAATGCTTCATCCATCCTCGACGTACCCTTCACCATTATGTCTCTGCCTATTTCTATCAGTATTGGTTCTTCAGTCGCATCCTTTTAGGTATCGATTGGATGATTAAGATCCAGAACTATAGTGGCTTGGAGGATAAATCTTAATTGGGCTGCATATGGTTTATGTCTTGAAAGTTGGCGTTCGCCATACTGCGGCTGAAAGAGGTGCTGCATCTCATCACATACCCGTGAACAAAATCACAACCACAAAGCAAGGGTATTCAACGCATTCGTGTATGTCTCAAAGCCATCGTAAGAGTTTCCAAACAGTAAATCGAACGATGGCGTTCTGAATATTGTGATAAATTAACATTTTTTGCAACGTCACACACACTGAACAATGTTTGTGGCTGGCTGACAGAACCAAATTGGAACTAGTATGAACTGTTAGAGACAAAGAATACCGAATTCTATTCAGCAAGAAGGTGAAATGCATGCCCTCGAACAAGTTTCGACTTCACATCGATACAGCTATCGTGACCAGCTTTCTGTGGAAGTGAACCTTTTACACGAATGAGGTTTGCGAACGTGGTGGCTGTCTCTGTCTCAAAGCAGTCAGAACATGACAGTATTCTATGAGGTCGAGACTCAAAATATGTCTTTGAGAAAGTGGAACGACATTCTTTTTGTCGATCACGACATACTTTGGCTGATAGAACGCAGCGTGTGACAGTATGTCCATTTGACATATGAATTTCCTCTCGCGATCATCTATAAAAAGGGCGATATCCTCCTGCAAATGAGATACAGCATCAATCCAACAATTCAAGTTTTATTACACACACAGACAAACCAACACTTTCAAACACTTACAATGGCTGCCCTCGTTCCCTTCCCTAAATCTGGCATTTCTGCCACTTATTCCCCATGGACCAAGACCCTGTATCTTGAGGCCAAGGGCAAGGTTCCCGGCTACCTCGCGGGAGCTTTCATCCGACGCGAAGACTGGGACGGCGGTCTTCGTTTTTCTCTCAGAGCCTTTCCTCTGCTCTTCCCCGAGGGCTTTCCTCCTCCATCTCCCAAGCAGATCGATGCCACTCTGAAAGTCCCCATTCAACTTCCCATCTCTTGGCTTAACAGCAAGAGTGTCTTGTTTGAGACCGCGAATGGTGTATACACCATCCCTATCAAATACCTGCTTGCGGGTGTCGGACCTGCTGATGAGCCGAAGAACGGTCTTACTTCGTCTAATGGTCAGACCGATGGTCAGGCCAGTGAGCAGACTGATGAAGGTCGTGTCATTGGTAGTGTCTTGACTCCCATCGAGGTTCCTCTGGGTGCAGAGGCCAACTACCGAATCTCGGCTAGAATCCCTCCTTCTCAGGAGGGCGCGATTGTTCCACTTCCGTCAGTCAAACTCTCCTTCAACAACGAGTTCATCAAGCTTGTTGATGCCAGCTATGAAGGTGGCTCCATCGTGTGGGACATCGCCTGGCAAAAACTCCCGACTGAGGAGGGCACCAACCCCCAGGCTGTCGACGTCACTACTAGCACCCCGCATACCCAGTTTGGAGGTTTGACCACTTGGTCTCGCGTCATCCAGCCCTACACTGTTGAATTTGTTGTCTTTGAAAAGAAGTAGGGTGTTGTCTGTGGAGTGCGTGGGATGGGTGGATGGTCGTCAAGAGTGAAGGGTATCAGCAGTCTTTTTTTTTTTTTTTTCGTTGACCAGATTGAAACACCGTCATCAAACCTGATGTATTTTGTTTTTGTATTTTGAAATGTGTAGGTAGAATAATCCATATGTCTATCTATGACTTGAAAGTCTCTACAGTCTTACACCGTGATATCCGGGCAATCCATGAGTAATAAACCCCAATCAGTGATTGTCAACAGAGACATCTGAACGGAGAGATGCCTCCAACTTGAGTTGTGAGGTGCCCCTGCTAGTGGTAAAGATGTGGGTATTTTCAATGTCAACTGAGAGATGCCATCATGCTATGTGATTGGTCAGATTGGCTTTCTCCGGAGCATCTCTCAGACCATCCTTAGCTAAAGTGACTTCTCCTCTCCACCTTTTCTATCATCTCCCCACACCCTCCACATTTCTCTCATCCTGCAATCGTTATGGCACAAGATCAAACACAAGATGTCACGTCAAAAGCCGTCCTCCAGCCTAATGATGCAGAGTCTAGAGACAAAAACTCGAAAGATGCCTCACTAGTCGATCGATTCTCGTGGGGCAATTTCACATGCACCCAATCTACCGGCGGCGTAGCCCTCATGCTATCAAAGACACCCTACCAATTCCACGGCTTACAGACCATTGGAGTCGTTGTGTTCATACTCAATCTTATCCTATTTATCCTTTTTGTCTCAACTATGACTTATCGTTTCGTACGGAAGCCCTCAAGCTTTCGTGAATCCATCACGAAACCCCCGGAAGCCTACTTCACTGGATCACTGTGGCTCTCAATGGCAACCATCATCATGGGCATGCAGGCTTTTGGCGTTCCTCATACCAGTTCCTGGCTCGTTTATGTTGTCCGAGTTCTCTTCTGGATTTATGGTGCCATCACATTGACTTACAATATTGTCATCTTTGTCGTCATGTTTTCCATCGCTCCATTTGCACCTGGTAGCATGAGCTCTCCGATGTTTTTGATGATCTACAATGCCATGCTCACTGGCACCGTCGCCTCAGTAATCGCAGCCGATCAGCCTCCTCCGCAGCGAATGCCGATCCTTGTTGCTGGCATCGCATTCGAGGGACTTGGATGGATATTATGTCTTCTTTTTCTCCCTCACTTTGTGGGCAACATGCTTGTCAATGGCCTCGGTCCTGTCAATCTTAGACCTGGCCTGTTTATATCTGTTGGCTCGGCAGGTTATACCATCATAGCACTCATCGGATGCGCCAAAGCAATTCCAGATGGCTATGGATATTTTGCAAAGCACCCGACTGCTGCCGAAACACTAAACATCATGGCATTGTGGATCGGTGTATTCCTTTGGATGTTTACCTTTTGGCTCTTCGCAATCGCGGCAGTCGCGCATGTTCCTATATTAGTGTCCAAACTTAGTGGCGATAAATCTCGATCCAAGATGAGCTTTGCTCTTCCATGGTGGGCGATTGTCTTTCCAAACGTCGGGTTTACGATTGCTACGGTGTATATTGGTGAAGAGTTTGAATCAGACGGTATAGCTGGGGTGGCCACGGCCATGACTATACTCGTATTTGCCGCATGGTTGATGGATTTATACTTGCATATGAAATCGATATTTCAGAAGCGAATCATGTAGGGAGAAGCATATGGTATGGTATGATATGGCACTCGGCTTTTGCCGGTTATGTGACACGTCAGAAGTACGGGACCCGGAACGCATACAGACACGACACAATCTAGATGCCGGGTCTATCTCAAAGCTTGCTCCCAGGTTACCCAGTGCTACGTTCCATTCTGCCAGAAACATTATTGTCTTGCATTTGATAACTCGGAAAGATAATGTCAATACGCGCTCGCTATATATTGCTTCAACTCCATCATATCTTGATCCCCCCACAAATATCCTGCAACGCCAATAAATAATTCGTCTAATCCAGGCTTAAGGGCTGGAACATTCAGATTCTGCTCTCTCATCAACCTGTTCAATCCGGCCCGTCTTGACATCATAGACGTACCCAGTAATAGGAACATCCAGAATTAGCGGGCTCTTTCGCAGAAAGGCAACATCATCAATAACACTTTGTCGCAAATCAGAAAAGGGAAGAAAAGCCATATGGTCCACATCTTCATGCATCTCGTGCCGAATCTTGGCTCGGAAATCCGTGTCGGAGAAGCTCTGCATGCCACAGCCGGTCTGGTAGTAAAAGCGTGGGGTCAGCCGGGCCGGTTCAATCTGGTCCGATGATCGAGACCACGTTTCTTTTTTTCTGTCTCTCCCGAGGGGTTGGGTTGTCTTACATGGTGCATAATGATTATCTCACGCGTTCCAAGTAATTGCTGAGAAATCAGGATTGATCGTAGCGCTTCTACCGCGCGACCGCCGGCTGTGACACCCATGTCAGCTTTGCAGCATATATCGAGATTGGAGATAGTCACCATTTCTGATGACGTGCGCGTCACCAATATCTAAGCCGAGTACCTTTTCTACATCCAATCTGCTGTCCATACATGCTACCACTGCCACCTTTCTACTAATTGTTAGCCTGATCCGAGTTGTAATGTCACGCCACTTACCGACGAGGTAGACCAGGCAGATGAGACTGCGTAAACGTCGCGGCAAATTTCTGGTTCGCAGCTTCAAACTCAGAAGTAACGGATGGGTAAAGAACAGGTGACGAGACTGCTGGAGCGCTGAGTGAAGGCATCTTGGGTTTGAAGAAAGTAAAGGGCATGATAGACACGAATGTCGGCTTTGCGCTAGAGTTATACAGATAGGCAATCAAATCTACTAGACAAAGAGCCAAGACCAGATCTTGCAGGGGAAAGATAAATGTTAAAAAGCGGGGTGAAAGCAGCGTCTTATATACAAAAGCCAAGAGCCAAGAAAACGCCAATCCATCCCATTATCAAAAGAAGAATAGAAGCAAACACATGAACAAACCATGTGGCTTCTGTTGTCCTCCCATTCATCCGGCTACGTCGATCGGCGGAGTCCGAATTCCCCGCATGCACAGCCTTTGTTGAGGTATTTTGTCTTAGATGCTGCACTGTTGGCGTTGATGGTGTTGAGAGATCATGTCATGGAAGAAAAAGAAAAAAGAAAGATTACCGGCTGTCAGGTACACTACAAGGATAAGTCGGGACCGGGTGCGGGTGAGTGGTGCAGCCATTAGGAATGGAGCTATTGATCAGTGTGCATATATGGCACCATGTTGCTCGGCGATAGCCTCACTCCGGCTTTGTTCGACCGAGAAGGGAGGTCAGATACGGCAAGGCAAGATTAACAGGTAGACACAATTTCTCGATTCAGCGTTCTCGAACGTCCATCTTGATTCTTTATGCAGTGGTTGGTCAGTGTGTCACATGGGCTACGGCCTTGCAGCCCCGAGGAAGCCGATCATACCAAGTGTAACCGATTCGCAAATGCCATCGTGTTACAATTGAACCTCGATACCGGTTTATCACTTTTCTTTCAGTAGCCATTGAGGTTTATCATCTTTATTTCGTTTATTTTGTTTTCTACGCCGCCACCTAGATTGAACATTTACGCCTTGATGTTACAGAGATGATACAAGACTAGGTATTCTGCCAAAAGACATCAGTTTAATGAACAAAGATTACTACGATCTTGGGGCATCTCAGACCCTTTAAATGCAGTACTCTTAACATACAAATGATAACGGTACCTTGCAAAAATAAAATAAAATCGCACGTAGCTCGACCAGAACTCATACCGTGGATACTTTGCAAACATCCAAGAAAACCAAAGTCATTGAAGAATACGGCATCTCCTAACACCTGTAAGTCTGGCGTGGTAACCTCTTCATATATGCCCGTTATGAAGCCCGCCGCTAATGTTGCCGCTATAGAAGGAGCTACGACGGAATCCGCAACCATGAATACGGCGGGCGCGTAAGGAGGAAATATGGTCGCTGCAAGGCCACATGCGGCAATACCAGCCCAGTAACCCATGTGACCTATCATAAAGCGACCTCCCATTCCCATCACATCAGGCAAGATGCTCACAAACCGAAGTTCGAGTCTCCCAGCCTCTGTACGTTGACGGAGCCCAAACCAAACCAGATCGGTTCCTCGATGTCGAGCTCCAGTGATGATCAATGGGAACAATTCTCTGGCAAACCTGAGTTCGGTATCAATCACAAGTGGCTGGTAAGCTGGAATGACAAGGTGGAACACAGCGGTGCGTCCATATTGAGTCGTTGCATTCATAACTTCTCTGTCGGCTCTCATGCGTAAACAGACTGTAGAGAGATCATAGTGATATCCACCAAAACCAGGCCCCAGAGGGTGCTCCGCCTGCCTCTCCTCAAACGCCGTATGCCAGTCGTTGTCGGAGTGTCAAACATAGAAGTAGTGGTGCGTCTCGTCTTGATCAACCCCAGTGTCATCAAAGGCCAACATCTCGTTCTGAACGAAGCGATGGATATAGCTACCAAAGCCACCTTCACCCCAGCCTTGAATATTCGAAACGTTCGCAATGGCAAGTTCCGATCTTATGGACTCGAGGCTTGCACCAACTGGTCGAATGGCTTGACCTACTTCCAGTATCGCAAGAGGTATCGCACCCAGCGCTGCAACCTGGAAGTAACTTATGAAGTTCGGGGTCGAGTTGAAAGCGCCAGGTACCACGCGGATCTCTTTCGTTCGATGATATTGTGCAAATTCGATGTGAATCGCTGGATCTCCTCCATCGTGTACCTCTGTTGTGTCGCTGCGCTTCCTGATTGCCATTGAACATACATACTGAGCGCCCATTGTGCCACATCTGGTCCATATTTGGTAAGAATGGCCCTGATAGCTTCTGCTAAGAGAGAGGTGATGGGAACAGGAGCAACGGCTACACACATTGTGACAAGGATGAGGAAATGATCGGAGTTACTTTTTGGAAGTTGCTTTGTTTCTTCTCCAAAAATTCACCAATTTCGAGCAAAATATACTTGGAAGGTTTGGCGAAGCGAATATCCTCGTTGAGGGAGAAGAAGGTTATGTTGGGGGAGGGAAACCGTAAGCGCCAGCCTTGTTTCATCGCAACCAACATATCGACGACCAACGATGCAATAATGTGAGCATGTTGGTTACGCATTCCTGCCTGCTGCTTTAATTAGACACATATTTTGTTGTTTTCGGCTGGCCGCATGGATCGAATACAGCTGTAATCCAATAAATCTGCTTCATCTCCAACATCAGGAGTCTCCTGGAGTAGCGTTCTGGTCACGGCAGGCCCAGGCCATTGGAGCCAACAGAACAAAACTTCACAGAGAATGAATTATTTATATGACATGTTATTTATATCGCATGTGCCTCAAAGGGACGCCAGCAACAGATTTGGAACTTCTGTATTTGCCAAGGTACTTGGGCAGAAAGACCTAAACATTTGGCCTCTTGAGTGCAAACTGGATTTTTGGGCAGCTGTTCTGAGGTTCCAGTACTTTTTCTTTCATCAGCTTACATTTCAAAATTTTCACTGCATATACAATAGGTAAATGGCATGTGTATATATAGCATCGATGATGAATGTATATGCCAAGCCTCCCATATCCATTTCTCCTCAATATCATGTCATAAGAATCCCACACAGTTCCGTACATCCTCATCAGTAAGAACCGTTGAGTTCAAGTATATCTTATAATGTTCCAGCCTAAAACTCCCGGGCTCACCCAAGTTTATTCACTTCTCGCTCAGAATAAACTTGACGATGGCGGCGTTACCATCCCCTCCTTCATAATCCACAGTATACGAAGTCGAATTAATACTGCAGGAATAAGAGTTTGACCCATAGTACGGGTTGTCGTATCCCAGATTCACAGTAGGGTCTCCATTACCATCAACCGTCCATTGCATCCAGCCTTCACATCCTGTCTGGAACCCGCATGACCGCAATGCCCATCTCCCCCATTTCCCAGGAGCGATGTCGTCAGGTGCAAGGATGCACCGTTCACCATGATCACATCCAGAGTCAGACCAAGTCACCGTCTGCTGGGTATTGTTGAGGAAAAATACCATGACGCCACGGTTGCCTCGCAAGAGAGCCTCGAGTTCATCTTGGTCCCAGCTGCAGCGCTTGACATGGTCGCGAAAATTATCCACGACGCTCATTGTGATGTTTGCTTTCCAAAGAGAGAGAGATTTGGGTAGATGAATGTGGAAAGATAACGTTAGGTAGGATTGTTTCGAAGTTGAGGACAGGTTCTGTCGATGTTTTGCGAGAAGAAACTGGAGCAAATTGAGGATGAGCTGGTGGTGATGAGATTTGGTAGACGAGGATGGTCAGTTTATATAGAAAAATTAACTAACATATAGTTATCTGATATTATCTGTATAAATAAACTACAGCTCTAATTTCAGACTGCGGAAAGTAATCCGCTGGCAGAGCCGAGGCGGTTATCGCTAGAACTTCAGCTGAAGCCATATATACACATGCAAAGCTAGCCAATCACGGTATCAGATAAGGTTCTGTACTGCAATAGTTTGAGAGCCATAGCGCTATTGACAGGTAAACTGAGCAATAGTTTAAATAAATCAGTTGTTCGACTGCTCTAGACCTAGCACTATGTCTTACCTGAGCTCCCCACTTGCACTGCGCTACGATGCATCGGGTTACTTCTTATCAGAAGAGTCTAGATAGTAGAGACTGGAATAGAAATCCCTTATTTTCGGGACAGCAGACGTCGGTTTCACCGGAAGATAAAAGAAAAGCTGGCCTCCGAAGATTAGGATACAGAAATTAATAGTCTAAAATCCGATGCAAGTGGCATAAGCTGACCCAAGTCCTGTTTTGTGATTCCAGCTACCGATGTTTCTAGTAGAGGGTATCATGTATTTCCATTCCCAAACCAATTTTCATTTCACAGAATAAACAGGCAGATTTGCTGTGACTCAGCGACAGACATTTCTTTCATTCAAGGTTATTGATATCTATATTGCCCGTGGTTTTGTCCTTGTCCTTGTATTTGTCCCGGTGGTGGCATGCCTCCTGGTCCCTGCTGCCAAGCTTGATTCTGCCGTGTCGCATCGTTATTCCAATATTCCTGAACTGTCTGATTCTGCTCTGCCATTCGAGGCCATACCGCTTCTACTGACCGCGGGTCCGTCGGTGATCGACTTCGTTGGCTGCTGGTCTCTGATGGTGGCTCGCTCTTTTCCGTCATTCTCTTTTGAACTCTGGCAGATGCTCGCTTTCGCTTCTTGGATTTTCTTCGTCGATCGCAGAGGATGATTCCCATAATCATGAGTAAAACACCAACTATTATATAAAATTAATTTTTGCAGTTTCGGTGTTCTTTTGATAGACATACCCAACACGCCTAGAGCAATGATAATCTCTAAAGCTCCAAAGATCTTGCCTCCAGGTAACCCTCCGGAGCTGACATCTGATTGACTGGCTTCCTGTGTGACCGTCACGACAGGGATCTCGGTAGTGGCAGTACCATCGGCTTTCGCAGTCGGTTTCGGAATAATCGTTGTAAAGATGGTTGTGGATTCTACTGCAGAAATGATACGGGATAGTTGTAGTTCGATAGCTTTATTATCCATTGGAGCGAGAGAAGAAAGGGTCGTCGGGTGTTTCGAATCCTTTTTTTAGTCGGTTATTGTTGAATTGTAAATGCTACCAGAGCTGAGTGATTGTGTTGTATCGTATAATTACAAATTAAAAATGTAACCAAATAAAAAAAGGATTGTAAGAATAAGAATAAAATAGAATTATCACACCCAGATAAAAGAAATGAAAGTCGCTGCGTGATTCCAGATCAACGTGCAGAAAGAAAGAAAAGAAAGAGAGGGCAAAAAACAGAGATAAGACGGCAGATGTCGCGAAAGATATGGAGACCGAATTCAAGAATTAATTGTTTGTACCTATAGTATGGATGCAACTATTCAGCTGAGATACCGCCAATTCAGACCAGTTTTGAGGCGAAACCGGGTGCTGCTTGAGGTGGCATTGTGAGACGGGAGATCAAACAGATGATCCCTGTAGACAGACAAGCCAGCAACGTCACAGGCTGGGTTGGCGCTACAAGGGGAAAGGGGAGGTTTCGAAAACAAAACACCAAGAGAATTTGTACTGTTGCAGTTTATGTTTTTTCTAGTAATTGTATTGTCCATTATTACATACCAAGCCGGCTGTTGGAGCTTCCGTGCGGAGCTGACTGACAGATTTCCCCAAGTTTCAGATTTTGGTGGTGTAGTTTCTTGGCTGAAATTTCGTATTACGACGACTTACCATCTGGACTCGTGTGAAATATAGGTCATGATATAGACACCGTGACCATCTTTACCATCTAGACTCTCGGTTGATCGGTCCTTGTTGGAGCCAAGGGCCGGACAGACGCAGGTGGTACCGTGACAAATTGTTTCCGATTTCAGATTTTACATGATCAATGCGTTGTTTATCTCGGATGATATTACACTGCCCTACGGCTGTGTTTGGGTTGACAGATGCATAAAGTTGGTGATGTAGAAATGGTCGCGTGTTTTGGTGTTTTGCGCGGACCAACTGTTTGCCGAGCAGCCGAGCTAGGCGCGCCAAGAAGACGGATAATCCATATTCCAGGTCCTGCTCTGAAGTAACGCCAGTGACCTGACAGCTCAACAAGCAGAGGCAACGAATGAAAGAATGTCAAATAAATAATGAATATGAATACATATCAGAGTCATTTGTTTATTTGTGCAATATGGCTGTCAAAACTAAGGTATCGTGAATCTTTGGGTGGTTGCTTCGGGAGTGATAATTTGTCTGAACGTCTATTGAGTTACCCGAATCAATTGATGTTTGTGATGTTCAACGTAACAACTCGCCAAACAAAGGAAGAAGCCTAGGTACACCTAATCGTCTATCGTGAAGAATAATAGAGAATTGGTCAGAATTGAAAGTAACAAGTAAACTGATTAAATGACACAATACCACAGCCCTACATTCATCTCGTCCATGCTGCAGGGTAACTTCCATGCAAGACACACCCGCAAAGACCACTCAGCGGTCTTACCAGCAATCTTATCTTAGCTTGGACTATGGGGAATGTGTCCCAAGAATCTGATTCGTTCAAACTCCGAGATTCCGGCTGACTCCAAATTGAATGCCTGTCATTGGATCCCGGATACCATTTCTTGACGATATTCCCATCTCTCTAGCAAGTTATCCGTAACTGCCGCCCAGATGCGGGGGTGAACTACACTAGCCTCGGTGGTAGAAGTCAAGAATGCGGGCATTTAAGATGACTTCCACAGTACACTATCCTGAAAGACTCGGGGCGTCTTTTGAGTCCTTCCAGAAACACAGAATCACCATCATCCAGTCCACGACGTCATGGCAATCGTCGACCTCCTCTTCACCTGGTGGTCGCTCCCCATCGCCGCAGGTCTCGTGGTCGCTTCATACCTCTACTCATATTTTATAACATACGGCCATCTTCGAAACATCCCTGCGCCTTTCCCCGCGCAATTCTCAAATCTATGGCTTCTCTACGTCTGCAGACGCGGCGAACGATATCGCGTCGTGGACAAGATTCACAAAGAGCTCGGCCCCGTCATTCGTATCCAGCCAAATCATACTTCCATCGCTGACGCGGAAGCCATCGCGACAATTTATGGTCACGGAAATGGGTTCTTAAAGTCGTGAGTTCCCATCTCAATTAACGACGCCCGGATCTAACGGATGACAGTGAATTTTATGACGCGTTCGTCTCCATTCGAAGAGGTCTTTTCAACACCCGCGATCGCGCAGAACACACGCGCAAGCGCAAGCTTATCTCGCATGTGTTTTCCGCAAAGTCCATCAGTCAATTCGAACCATACATCCACGCCAATCTTGAACTTTTTGTTCAACAGCTTGATAAGCTCGTCGCATCGGGTCAAACCAGTGACAAGGATGGCAAGCGACAAGCCCTTATGGATTGTCTCCCATGGTTCAATTACCTCGCCTTTGATGTCATCGGCGACCTCGCATTCGGTGTACCGTTTGGAATGCTCGCCAACGGCGCTGATGTAGCCGAAGTCAGAGATACACCCGACAGCGCGCCAATTTATGCTTCTGCGATTGAGATTCTGAACAGAAGAGGTGAAGTGAGCGCCACCCTGGGATGTTTTCCTCAGTTGAAGCCTTATGCCCAGTGGTTCCCTGATCCATTTTTCAGCAATGGACTCAACGCTGTCAAGAACCTTGCAGGAATTGCCATCGCGCGCGTCAAGAACAGACTCGATAATCCACCATCCATTGAACGAAAAGACCTTCTCGCACGATTGATGGAAGGAAGAGATGAAAAGGGCGAGCCGTTGGGTCGCGAAGAATTGACTGCTGAAGCTTTGACGCAGCTCATCGCTGGCAGTGATACAACATCCAACTCGTCATGCGCTCTACTCTATCACGTCACCCGAACCCCAGGCGTTCTTGAAAAATTGCAATCCGAACTCGACAACGCCATCGCATCAGAAGTGGAAGTGCCCACGTACGACATGGTCCGTGATCTTCCCTACCTAGCCAACGTAATCAACGAAACGCTTCGCTACCATTCAACATCCGGCATTGGCCTCCCACGTCAAATCCCACCCAACTCACCCGGCGTCACCATCAAAGGGTACTATTTCCCACCAGGCAGTGTCCTCAGCGTCCCGACGTACACGCTGCACCATTCCAAAGAGATCTGGGGCTCTGACGCGGACGACTTTAGACCGGAACGCTGGGAGAATCCCACAGAATTACAAAAGACGGCGTTCAATCCGTTCAGTCATGGACCCAGAGCCTGCGTGGGGAGGAATGTGGCTGAGATGGAGATGAAGTTGATCGCGGCGACATGGGCGAGGAGATATGTGCCTGAGTTGAGGCAGGGAGTCATGGAGACGAGAGAGGGATTTTTGAGAAAGCCACTTGGATTGGATATTGCTTTAAAGATGAGGGAGTAGATAGCTGTTCACGAGATGATGAATGAATGAGGTCAGGATATTCCAATGAGATTTCATTATCATTTGTGGCATTGCTGGAAACATCAAGAGATAACTGACAGTGAAGATTCTATTGATTACTCTAATTCTATAGTATTACAAAGACAAACTCAATCTATAAAAACACAATTACCACTCCCATGTTGATGCTCACCTCCCAATCGCCTGCAACTGCTTCCTATACCAAACCTAAAAATCATTAGCCAACCTTCCCATCAAACAACAAAAGAGCAAACTTACAATCTCAGCACCAGATCCAATACTCTTGGGCCCAAATTTCTTCAAAATCCAAGGCGTCTGAATCCTCTTTGCGAAAAGCCTAGCATCATCATCCTTGACTTCCTTGTTCAGGATAATATTCGCTGGCAAGAAGGGGTTGATGATGGAAGGTCTTCCAAGACCGATGAGATCACAAGCGCCTTCACTCAGAGCAGCTTCCATGCCTGCGCGAGTACGGAATCCTCCTGTTACCATCAAGGGGATGTTGGGAACTTTGGCGCGCATCTCGCGGGCGAATTCGAGGAAGAAGGATTCTCGTGCTGCTGTGCTGGCGGATTTCTTTTCGCCTGTTCCTGTGAACATCTGAATCATTGTCAGTATTGAGGTAAGGGAAAGATGGGTAGGTTGATCTTACAGTCGGATCCTCGTAGCTGCCACCGCTGACTTCCAAAAAGTCCAATCCAACCTCCGAAATAAGCGCCATCTGTTCCAGACACTCCTCAAGTTCCTTCGGCGACTGATGATCCGCAGAGTTAAACTTCAAACCAACGCAGAAACTCGCTGGTGTCGCGGCACGAATGGCTTTGGCGATATCAACGACGATCTTCGCCCTTTTTGCTGGTGATCCTCCGTACTCGTCGGTTCTCTTGTTAGTCTTTTCCGACAAGAACTGAGACAGAAGATATCCATGCGCGGCATGAATCTCAACACCGTCAAAACCAGCCTCTGATGCGATCCTAGCCGTTTTGGCAAAGCGCTGAACGACGTCTTCGATTTCTGCGACGGACATTTCCTTCGGTGTACCGAAAACAACACATGAGATAACCTTTGAAATGATATCATCGCCCATCTTCATCGGAACAGCGCTAGGAGCAATGTTTTTATCCATGAATGCTTTCTTTCCTGCTCCAAGAGGAGATTGGCGTCCGGGATGGTTGATCTGCATGATTGTAGGAGTCCCCTTTCGACGACAAATCCCCACAAAATGCTTGTAGGCTTTCAGGACCTTTTCTTCAGGGAGATCGGCGCTGATGGAGCAGTCGCCGAAACCACCGAGATACTTGTTGTCGACTTGAACGTTCCCTGTCATGACCATTCCCCAACCTCCTTCCGCCCAAGCACCGTATGTGCGTTCCATCTGTGCTGTCGTGGGAAGATTTTGACCGTCTGCCATTTCCTCAGCCAGGGCGGCTTTGATGAGACGGTTGGGGAGCGTGAGACCGCATTTCAGCTGGAGGGGTTGTGAAAGTAGTAGTTCTGACATTTTGTTGATGATGAATAGTGAATTGATTTGGTCGCTGTTGATTGTAGAGTTGTTGTTGTTATGTATAGAAAATCTCGCCATTCCGTCGGACCCTGGACCGAGGCCCGTGTCCGTGGACTATGGCCCAAAAGAGAAATAACTCCAGTGGACTCGGCCTGTAGTTGGTCCGTTGTTTCGAGCCATGGAGACATTATTCATCCGATCCAAGATTCTGGAACAATAAGTAGTAATCAATTTCATTTTGATAGAGAAATTCGGCCGAAAAAGTCCATCAAGTAAGATGCATTCATTACCTCTGTATCCGCCGACGCAGGATTATGCTGATGCTGACTTGTGGCACCTAACGACGGCTGACTAATCTTTTTACATCCACAAGATACCAGTTGTCAAGTGCTGTATTCTGTAATTAATTATTGGTAAACTAACTAGCAGAAAGACTGTATAATATCCATGTTGCTCTCTTATAGTTCTTATAATGTTTAGTGGTAAATATTCTGTATTGGTAGATGATCTCATGAAACTTGAGGAAAGAAGCTCAAAATACAATGACTCGACCAACACTAGGTATGCGTAGTGTTTGTAGATGGTTTCCTTCAACACTCGGTTGTCCTTGCGAAAACATTGTCGAAGGCCCATAACATTTCCAGCAAGTGTCATTCGAGAGAATAGCGATACGTTCGCCATTTGATTCTCCTCGAGCCTCAATAAAAATAGTCACAATTGCTAACCGCGCTAGCCAACAGCCCTGGGCTCTAATCACACATTCGCCAGGAGGGGGATCCAGAACATCATCCCATGTTTCTAGAGATGACACTCCTCTAAAGTGGCGATTTGCATGCTGTCCATTACAGCCATTGTCGACGGTGTAGATGAGAAAGGGGCTGGCGAGACATTTCAACACGTCGACGTCCCCAATCCAACGTCCCGAATCATACACAGAGACAACGGATTCCAGCAAGAAAACCTGGCTGCTTTGCTCCTGAACATCGCTAGATTGAACGAGTGGAACATAATACTCCGTAAAGGAGAGGTGCATCGAAGTTTTGGGAAAATAATTCTGTGACGTCCCATCAAACGCTGAAGATGAAATAACTCGCCAAGATGTTTCCTCTCGCTCCATGACCATTGACGTTTTGGGTGGGACGAGAAGCGTGACGCCCGATCTTCCGACGTTGCCCGTGAATCTCTTGAGTTCATAAGCTTCTGGAGAGTCCCAAGGATCGCAAGTGAGCTGATACAGGTAGTTAGCATAACGTAGTAGTAGTGTCCATGTTCTGGTTATTGCCATGCCTTCATAGAGAAGTATATGCTCTCCTCGAAAGCAAGAGCGAAGACCCGCTCTAAATTCATCGGCTCCAAGTCAAAGCCACCTTCTAAATATGCCACACATGAAAGCGAATTGCTGAGATTAGATCCAAATGATCGAATTCTGTTCATCTCGATTTGTGGATCTTTGTCAGGCTTTGAATGTATGAGGGATTTGACCCACTTTGCCTCATATAAAGGAGAATCCAAAGAACGAGGAGAGATGCCCGCATCTGGAAGAGTTCGGTAAAACATATGTGCCATGCTTAGTGCTTTCAAGGTTAGGCTTGAAGGTACCACCCGGCTTCCATCAAGAATGTCAAGTAGCTTTTCTGGAGCGAACAAATCGGACTCTAAGCACCATTCGACGTCTCCTATACTTAATGGCCTTACCTCTGGGTCATTTGTTGTATATTCAGCTGGAGCTTGTTGCTTGAAAATGGCTGCACTATGTTGGTCGCCACACACAAGATGGAAGTCCTGCATAACTTCCTCTCCGGCCGGGCCTATGGCTCTCATCGTGATGACCAACAAGGGTGAAGCCAGCTCCAAGGAGTTCGCAGGCGTCATTTCAGTGACTACCTCTTCTGGGTATTGATATTTGTCGATAAACGATCGAGGGACCCATTGGCCATGTGTTGATGTGAGGCCGTCCGGGTTGCGGCGGGGTTGTGCACTGGCGAACCCGCAATATCGGGTCTCTATACCAGGGATAATCGAGGAGCGATCCTTGTCGAAATATCGAATAATGTATGCATCAGGATCATAATTACTAGAGGAAACGATTCGACGAAGGAAAGCCACCCTTTCAATTGGGCCTTTGAGCTTACTTAGAAGCTCTCCGACATCACCAAGTCCAAGGAATGGTCTCAATCCTGTGTTCGGTATGAACCTGAACGCACGCCTACCTCCTAAAGTCATTAGTTTGTGGATAATATCGCCCGGGAAAGGTTGTGCATCTAGGTGAGAGGTTGCTGATTTCGAAAGGATATTTATAGCGGAGGAAGGATCTCGTAACTCTCTTTGGCAACGTATCTTCACCTCGGTAAAGGGCAGATGAGAGACCTGTCTCTCTATCGCCTTTCTCATTGCAACAAAAACACGGGAGGGATGCTCTGCCAATGTACCAGAGAAATTCCAATGGGCTAAGAGAGCACCGTACACCGCATGTGTGAACTGGTCAAATGAAATCTTACGAGAGTCGGAGTCAAACCTGGCTTTTCTGGCGACTGGGCGCCCGTAAAAGTTCAAATGGGCCAGCGACAATGACCAGAAAACTCCATGAGCATCACCGTCGCGTGTACGAACGAGCCCCAGAGTCAGGAACCCACCAGACTCGACAAGTGGATCCGAGAACTGGAGAGGCAGTGCATCTGATCCCTCAACAGTAATATCAGGATACAAGTGCCAGGAGCTCAAAGCGATGAGACATGACCCTTCATTGACTGCCTGGGGCATTCCTTTGACGATTTTCTCTATAGTTTCCACGGCTGATTTCCAAGCTTCCATGACACTCGAGTAGACCGTGTCATGATTGATAGGTAGATTGACTTGCTCAAGAAGGTTCATGAGCTTATCTTGGCGCTTTTTGCTGAACCGGTCTGCTGTCCGGAGCCAAGAGCGAACACTCGCATCCCATTCAGCGAGACTGGAGCGAGATATGTCTGACTGAGCTGCAGCAGAAACCGTGGAAAACGGAAGGGGTTCTTCATTGTTCCACCGACCTTCAATCTGCTTTCTCCTTTCCTTAACAAGCTCGACCCATATTGATGTAGCTTCGGAAGCGGTCCAGAGACGAGCCAGCATACATGCGAGGAGCTGGACATGCAATGCAGTCGGAGAAGATGTTGCCGCAGCCCATATAGAGGTGCCATCTGCACCAACATGTGCAGAAAAAAGGCTCTCTTCTAATTTCGGCGAGCCTTCCTTTCGGGCGGCTTGAGCTATCTCGGAGACCCGAGTACCGTATGATTTGACAAGGGCAGGTGTAGGTGGAAGTATGCCCTCGAACAGAACACCAAGTCTACGGGCCGTTATATGCGCAGTCCCGCCTTCTGCATTTTCCTTCCGTGTTTGGGAAAGAGCACTCCCGAGGGGCTCGAACTCTTTCGGCGCTTCGCATTTGACCAGCGTAAAATCGAAATTAATATTTGCTGCTGCGATCGTCAACTCATTTGTCGCCGAAGCTAGCGCAGCTTGGAGCCTGCCAAATGCTGCCATATCTGCAATTGTTGAGCTTTGAAACGATGGAGAGGCGGGCTTAGTGCCATGGATGAATGAAATGAAATTGGGTAACAACAGCTGTGCATGGGTGTCTGCATATATACCCAAAAGAGAATCAGGCTGAGCAAGTCGGGGCATGTACGTACTGATTGATGTCTGAGGCTCCCGCCCTCAGCTCCTCACATATGCAGCCATGTACGTATGCTAACCAAATTTGTGTCTTAAAGATTGAAAGACACGTTGCCAGAAGGCTGTCGCGGAAAAGCTGGATAACGAAGAATCCGAGTCCAAGAGATGACAAGCAGGACATGTCAAAGGTGTATAGCGGCTTCAAAAAGAGATCGAGAATATCTTAACTCCTTGTTGAGCACAGCTGCGATTAAACTGCCGCACATATTGGGAAAGAACAACAATTTCTGTGTATACCTACCATACTTGCTTTTCGCTCCACTCTTTGCCATCTCACCAGGAACGCTGTTCCCCTAAATTGACCAGCAAGGTAGGCCCTTTAGAAAGTGAACCAGACGACGACAGAAAGACACAATGGATGGCATTATCAGACGCCAAGCGAAAGGAATGCAATCTGTTAGCTGTTTTGGTATTTGAAGAACTACGGGGTTCCCATCATAAAACCATGGTTAAACACCGTAATCGGCCGGATTATAGGATGTTCCAAGAAGGCCTTTCCAGGATGTAACATCAATAAAAAACCTCTCTACTTGCGAAGTCAAGAGTGATACCGCACGTTGGAACAGCCGTTTCATCATTGAGGTTCACAAAAATTCTTAAAGGGGGAGGCAAAGAGAGAAGGCGACAGCGACAAGAATTAGCTGCTGGAAGCATGAGGGACGGAATTAGCAGGTCAGTTTATGCTAGATTTCTTAGAACATTTATTTTTATCCTAAAGTTTAGAGTACTTTAGTGACCGTCAATTTAATCGTGGGTAGCCGCCTTCGTAGTTGAAAGAGTCCAGTTTTGTTACTAGCTGGTGACGGTGCAACAGCAGAAGCACATGTGTTTGTTTCCCTTTCAGCGAAAACGGGCTCTTAATATTGTTTTACATAAAAAAAGAACTACCAAACACCATAATCGACTTGATCATAAGATGTTCTGACAAGGGCCTCCGAGTGGAATACTGATATAAACTGCCTCTTGACCTGCGAAGTGAAGATTGATAGTGCTCCTGTAAACAGCCATGCCTTCATTGAGGTCGAGACCGATTACAAAAGTGGATCCCAAGTGATAAGAGAGGCAAGGCTACAGAATATCACAATTGGTCGTTGGAATCATAAAGGACGAAATTAGTAGTCAATTTAGGCTACTTAGTTTATCTTCCTTAGACTATCTCTTTGGTGAGCTAGTCTAAGAAAAAGCTGGATGAAGGTTCTGCTTCACTAGTCCGAGTCGGTAACGTCGTTGTCCTCCTGTCCGATTTCATCACTGGTATCGGCGGGAGGAAGAAGTCGAGGATAGCTGGCTGCACCGCTCATCGCAGCGATTGAAGCGAGGTACCGCTCCAAGTCTAGCACCATCTTGCAGTTGATAGCGTCTCATTTTGACATTGTGAGAGTGAAGGTTTGACCAGAAATGAGAGGCACGCAATTGTTGACGCGTACGGCAGCGAATACCCCGTCCCCCTTCTGAGGGATGGGAGGAGGGCGCCTCGCCTTCTCGTATTTGATTTGCGTTTCCGCCATCTTCTGCATGCTCTCGTCGCCAGTTAAGTCCATTTCAACGTTCGGCTTCGCCCATCGACGATTGAGCCAATGAAATTGGATGACAACCTCCCACTCTGCCTCACCCGAAACCTTTGGTGAGTCCTCTGTCGAGTCCGGAGCATCAGGATCCTGAGTGGCTTTGGGTCTAAGACCCAAGCATTTCAATCCACAACAGGCAAAGGACCAATAATTGAGGAGCTGAATGTTCAAAGCGATCATATTCCAGTGTTTGTCTGAACTGCCGAGATCGTGAGGGTTGGCCAAGAGGTCACTCAATTTGCCGCAGATAGTATCGTTGAAGAAAACTTTGGGGGCGCCCATGACTTGTTTCGTTTCATGTACATTGGCTTTGTTCTTGTTCCATGAAAATGGAACTATGCGGGCTACGCGTGGGTCAGCGGTAGCCATGAAAACACATTCGTGGTCATCGCGGCGGTGGCATGCGTTTTCCTCCGCCAGGTTTCGTTGAACCACAGTGGCTTCGTGAGGATCAAGGTGGCGGTCTTCGGTAGACTTGAGGTGGAATTCAGAGAGTTAACACACAACATGCAGAAAAGGCAGGGACTGAATGGCTCATAGTGTCGGACGAGGCTAGCCACACTTTTCAAATTCTTGTGCAGAGTCATCGGGGGCTGGTTATAGGTGAGGAAGCCGCCGTGCTCTAGAGATTCCTTGGGAACCAGCAGAATGGTGGACACATGGATTGCCTGTAGTTGAAATTGTTAGTAGGCGGGTGGGTTGCGGATCTGTTGCTGGATTCTCGTAGCACATTCATACCGAAAGTCTTTGGTGCTGTCTAGATCGCTCTCGGGCCCCTCGAACGCCGGACTGGCAGTCAGCAGCTTCTCAAGGGACGATACCATCTCGTCTGTCGGGTCTCGGCTAAAAAAGTCGTCAATCGGTCCATAAAGCTGTTGCTTCTCGTCAATAAGCTTTTGCTGCTCATCGAAGGTACTCATGGTTGGCGAGTGTGGCCTGATCGGCGGATGATGTTGAGGAGGCGAAAGGTGGAAGAAGAAAAATGAGGGGAGAGAGGAAAATTAAGTTAGCAGTCACACTTGTTGGCTTGAGGTGACGCTGTAGTAATCAGTGAACGCGATGAGCACTGTCACGGCAGTGCCAACGCTCCAAGCCGACTGTCAAATCCACCAACATTTTCAAAAATGATTGATACATAGCAAAACTTGCAAGTTGCAATTCTATTTTCATGATTCCGCCAACGTTCGCCCAAGCCTTCTCCGTTCTACCGTTACCATCGGCATCATGCCTCCTCTACGTTCTCCTCAGAGAGATCTCAAACACCTTTCCGAAAGGCCTTTTCTTGAGGGACGTCTCTTGTACCTTGGAAATATCCCATACAATGCCACCAGCAAGACCTTCTCAATTTCCTCAACCAAAAAGGTTACAGCGCCATCACACTTTGCTGGCCGTCAGATCACCAAATTCTTCCTAAGCACTGGCGACATCTTAGCTATTGTGTCGTCGAGTTCCCCACCAAAGAGATGACCCAAGAAGCCACGAACCGGATTCCTGCTCTTGAGTTTGAGGGAAGCCTCCTCCAGGTGTCTGTTCCGAAGGCGGCTTCGGTAAGTACTGCAGTTCTCGTAAGCACCAGATGACCAACTAAGTGAAGGATCCTGCTCAAACTACCAACGACACTACAGAGAGACCGGTCACTTGTGCTCCTACACCTACCGACAGCACAGCAGGCAAACCAGTCGTATCTGCTCCTATGAATCTCCCTCATGGGAAAGGAAGCATCACCATGTCAAGCTCAAACTGTAAAGAATCTGGGTAAACCTGGTTCAGGATATCTTTTGTAAAGCAGAATACCACGCCAGGTTCTCAACGAATTGGTTGGCTTCCGTAGCTCAGTTGGTTAGAGCGTCGTACTAATACTTCAATCTGAATATTCAGTGATGCGAAGGTCTCAGGTTCAAGCCCTGGCGGGAGCAATCCCAATGCCTTCCGATTCGTTTTTTTGCTATACAAATACATCTGTTGATTTGATGGGGGCCTTCTCAAAGTGTAATAGATCCGATGAGGGCGGTTTGTCACGAAAGATAGGGCTCCAAGAGCAACCTTATTCGAACACAATACAAAAGCACTGCTAAGCAGCCCACTTATTCTTCCTGCAACACAAAGACAAGACATCTGTTAATTAATAGTCGATGGATGTTCTAATGTCATCCTTTTTTGAAAAGATATTTATGCAAAAATAAAGAAGTACCAAGCTTCAAAAGAGTCCGAGAACAGCGACATAGAATGAATAGCAAACGGAAATGAACCAAGTTGAACTTTGAAAACAGTGCTTTACAGGAAAGTCTCCAAGTCCCAGAGCACGGGAGCCCTGTATGGTAGTAATTGGTCCAAGATGACTGGATCTAACTGGAGGTAATCACTCATTTCTCCATCCTCTAGCACCGGGGCGTGTCCGGACCGAGCTATGTTAGGATACACGGCAGATGCCGGGTTATTCGGATTTGTAGGCTCGACTGACACAATTGTTGATGGTCGCCTGGAATGTTGAGCTTTGCAATAAAGTTTTTGACAAATGTTCCAGACCTGATTGAGGTACGTATTAGGACATACATCATCTAGAGTCTTGATAATTTGGACACTGTCGCTAACGAGAGACATGTCGTTTTGTGTATCCTGATCCACAAGATTGTGTATTACATTTATGCATAATATCACAACAGCACTCAAGAGTGGTGGAATAGTGTCCCTGCTACTGAGTCAGTGATATGAAAGCCTATGACTTGCGCACGACTTACCAATGGAATCTCTTCCACTTATCTGATACAAGCTTTGTCAACTCAATAATGCAACGTGAGGTGCGTATACAATTCTCGATGGAAGATGTTATGGTTGAAGGCAGGGCCGATGTGTTCATGAGTTCGGGTGATGCCCAATATTTGAAGCTATGCGTACGATTTACGATGATGAGAGTGTGGCAGTATGCAAGATACAAACGGATTAAACCATGATGTTCGTAGGTTTGTGTAGATTTACCATCAAGTGCCGGTGCAAACTCGGTCTGCCAGCTTTCGAGCTTCTCTATCAGACTCGAGATGGATTTCGTGGTGCCAGTTGGTGATGGCTTGTTTGGATTGATCTCTCGATAGATCGAGCCTCGGATGCTAGATAGCTGCATCTGAGCATTGTAAAGGTTCACTTTTAGCCCACCTGTCGTCGTTACTATCTCGGTCTCATCCGGTGAAGTTCCTGGTGGGTCAATGCAGACTTCATTGAGATTGTGGCAAGGCGGTCTCCCCGTCCGAAGACACAGCTCTAAATCCATGTACGTAGCAATACCATATACCTTTTTCCTTAGGTACTTATCAGCTGGGCTCAAAGAGGGATCTTGGCTATCGACATGAATTCCTATAGAATGGCCAAGCCGTATAGCACACCCAACCAACATGAAGCTGGGCTGGGGGTTTGGTGTCCCGATAAAAAACCACGCAACGGCGAGAAGAGCTTGAACAGAGGATAATTGAGTACTTCGCATAAGGACTTCCGAAGTCCCCGCAAGCGCATTTGACGCATATCCCCAAGCAAGATCTTCATCGGCTGCTGACTGAGCTGCCTCAGCTCGACGACGCTGGGCAATGGCAATGACAGCATTGAGTGAAACCCACCAGGAAGGACTGTCAGTACCTGTTCCTGAGTAATGCTGACCAAGAAGAGCCATGAATGTCGGAGGATTGAAACAGCCGAAGGCTTGATGTTCGTGAGTGAAGAATTCACTGACAAGTGAGAATGCCTCGGTCCAGGATGGTAGAGGTTTCATGATTCGCCTTGCGAATATGGGTTCTATAGATTGGTGCGTCCATTGAGACCATGATACCGGTTTCTGCCCGCTCCGTCTCTCTGGGGTGGCAGCTGAGACAAGAGTTATGCCCGAAGGCGGACCTGTTGGATGGGATGTTAGTCACTCTTTGTTATAACACGCAGTACTGTAGATAATTATACCAAAGTATCGCATGTCTTCGCGCTCTCCATATATCGCATCCTGGGGGGTCGAGGCTGTTCTGTTCAATCCACCTGGCTCATGAAAGGTTTCTTCACCAACAGGCTGAGGCTCTGTACCTCCCTGCACAGCAATGGAGTCTGATTGCAGGGGTTGAACAGAATTCGTTGTCTCCCGCCTAGGCCTAGGACTAGCGGAGTTTTGAGACGCGACGCGACGTCGACGTGGATCGGGCTTGTGAACATCTGTATAGTGACACTCACTTCCACCACCCCGACAACGTCCACAGACTGGTCGAGATCCATCGCACCGAATTTTACCCTTGCGACAATGATCGCATGCCTACGTATTTAGTGTTAACCGGGTCTTTACTGGATATGACAGTGGTTCCTTGTTACCTTCGCAAGACGGCGTCGACGATCTCCACGGTTGTTCATTTTTTCGGAGTTCTCAAGCAAGTCGAGAAGAGATTCCGGTTCGTGATATGACAAAGTGCAGTCCGTCAAACTCTAATTAATAGTCGACCTCGGTTATCATTTGCCATAACACGAAACTCCGAGACATCCGTGCTCAAGGACACTAAAACTCCGGCCGGGTCCACTCGAGATAGTTCATGTGAAAGACATTCCATGGCACGGGCATCTGACTCAGAAGAATCGAGCCAAGATGGACTAAGGCAAGAGAGGCTGTACTGATGTGCAGTGTGTAGGTAACTAAGTTAGAAGAAAATATTACAGAATAGAACTAGGTGCCTCAACAATCTTGTCCCTGAAATAATCGATGAACCCCTTTCCAAATCCATCCAAACGCTTCGAGCTACTGACACCACGACCAAGAATTCCATAAACAACAAAGTGCACGGCCAAGATTTTGGGCAACTCGACACGTTCAATAGTAAACTCTGGCCGCCAGTCCCCTCCCAGGAGTTCCTGTACTTTGGCACGCGACAGGTATGATCGCATCCAGTCCCACCTAGCTTGTGTACTAACAAACAGACCAAAGTTCAGATTGCCTCCCTTGTCGCCTGAGCGTCCCAGGGCAATACTGCCCAAACGAACGTGGACCAGTTCTCTAGACCCGAGCCGGACGGGTGCAGTGGTGTCGTAAGATGCTCTTCTTTCCATAGCCTCGAATTTTGGAGGGGGAGTGGTTTTGTATGACTTTACTATTCCCGCTGAATTGACAAAATGAAACTGCTCGTCAAGTTCAGATTGTTTCCATAGGGCTGGGTAGTATGCTAGGTAGGGACGGGGAATAGCAGACCGAAAGTCCAGCGAGCTGTGGAAACCTACATATGAATCAGTAAGTAAATCCAGAAGAACTCCGCCTGGGGCAGTTCACCTGAATAATGTCTCAGAGAGACTTTGACAAAAGCCTTCATTACTTCTTGGCAAGCATCCATCTTGGTTGACTGGGCAAAAATGCGAAAATACACCGTACCACTATTCTGGTTGGTCGGATTCACTGCTGGGACGCCGATTCTTTAAACTCGAGAAAGTCTAGTTCCTCAAGTCCCTTCTTTCCGATGTGGAATCGAATTTGCTTCTCGAGAAGTGCTAACTTTTGTTCGAAGTTGTGTCCTGTGGCGTTGAATAATGCTTGCATTTCGTAGCCACCTTTGTAAAAAACCGCAAGTTTAGTTGTGTCTGGTGGTGGTGCGCCACGGATTCCATAAACCCGAACCCTTGTCTCTTGTAAGCTTGAGCGGTTGTCTCTAGTTTTCGAGGACTCACATACCTGTCTTTGTCGACTTGTTCCATCTCGATATCATCCAAGTAGGCCTTCACATCGCTATTCAGGTACGCATTGCCCTGCAACTCGTATACGAGTTGAGACTTGCATGTGTCAATGGTGACCATGCCGCCAGTCCCTTCATGCTTTGTGATAACACTGGTCCCGTCTCGCCCAATCTCGGCAATAGGGAAACCAGGATCGACAAAGTGCTCCAGGTCAAAAGCGTCAAAACCTGCGAAATTACCACCCGTGACATACGCTGAGCATTCGATCAAATGACCTGCTATCAATGCACCGGCGAGTTCATCGTAGTCGGTGCTTTTCCACGACCACCAGTACCATGCACAAGCAATAACTGGGCTGGCATCGGAAACACGGCCGCAAATGATTATGTCGGCGCCCTCCAAGAATGCTCCATAAATGGCGTGTGCTCCGAGATAAGCATTAGCTGATACAATCTCTTGAGGTTCTTTTCCATTGTTGGCAAATATGAAGGTATCTGGTGTCAGACTAACATGAGGGTTCAAGGAATCAAGATGTGGCAATGCATCGTGCTCTTGCTGCGGCATGTATTTGTCGAGCTTGGGGAGCACGTTGTCACCTGAAACATACGCGACCTTGAGATCGTAGCCCTTTTGAGAAATCTAGAGAGATGTCAAATAATGCAGCTGTGCCGTAGAGGACATTTGTACTTACCAGCGATGCCACTTTGACAGCAAGACCTTCGGGATTCAGAGCACCGCCATTAATGGCAACTTTGATACGCTTCTCGGCAATAGCATCGATTGACAACTCGAGGGCCTCCAAGGCGGTTGGCTCATAACCAGGGTGTAGCCCTTTCGCGTATGCTTCAGCATTATTGGCCATGTTGACCTCTACCCTTGTAAGTAAAACTTCCTCTCTGTATCCATTTGTTTTCGAGACTCACCAGCCAGGTAGTCTCCAGTTATAAAGTCGACATCACCTAGAGTAGCTTGTTTGTACATATCAACAGCTGGGTCGCCTTTGTATTTTGTGTTAGTAGTGAGGCCCCAGTTTGGCGGCCGGACTTTACATACCATGGTAGCCAGAACAGTTCGCTACCCGTACAGGTCTAACACCGAACTCTCCCGCGCGCCATCCATTGCGAGAAGACATGATTCGTATGAGATTTCGAAGAACACAATGAAGACTTAAACTAGACTGTGATGATTCGTACAGGTTCCAAGTCCTTTTTGTAGATAAATATAAAAGGTTGAATGCAGGCCAATCTTATATCACCTTCCGATGCGGCACCCTCAATTACCTACAATCCGAGCTACTGTGGATTATCAACACTCCGCATTCATCACATGAGTCAGTGGGAAGTAAACTACTTACAGAGACTGACATCATCGATTTTATGTTGTTGTGAAAATTGTTTGTCAACTGCCGATACCAGAACTCCGGCCAGAACTCCGGTGTTTTGACTTGGAGCCACAATTCCGTAGTTCCACTAGTCAGTCATTTTCCACTCCACACTTCACCGCAACACATCGTCGAGACAATACTACTTATATCCTGCTTCCATCTACCAAGAATCCTTCGTGAGATACATCTATAACTTCATACATACTCCGCGGATTACAGTATCATGTCGAACTATTCCATCATCACCGAGTCCTCTAGGATCCTCAACGAAGTTCTTCTTCGCGATCCTAAGCTTGGACTTCCAGACTCCTTCATCAAAGCTGCCGAAAAGCTCAAATTTGTCAACGAAAATGACCAACCTTTTGTTCTCACACCTCTCAAGATCACAGAGTCAAGCACCGCATTGACTGCTCTTGTAGCCACGGCCGCCAATGTCGCCGCTGCAGAGCGATATGGCATTGATTATCAGGAAGTTGAGATAAACACTGATCTCGCAACTTTGTTCCTTGAGTCAGTGCTGCTTCCAACTATTGGAGGAAAGTCTTTCGTGCAAAGCCCGAGTATGCTGGCTGAGTTTGCCAAGATGGACATCCATCAAATGTCGAAGCCAATCAGACGCTTCGCAACAAACGTCTATCGTACCAAGGACGGGAGATGGTATCATCTGCATGGATCGATGAATTCTGCCCCCACGATGGAGATGCTTGGTGTTGAAGACACTGATGTGAACTCTGAAGAGGCGATCAAGATATATGCTGAAAAGGTTGCGCAATGGGATTCTCAAGAGATTGAGACAACTTCAAATGAGAATTTTAAGCAGGCTGGTGTAGTCTGCAATACGCCCGATGAGTTCTTCGAAAGCGACCATGGAAAGATCATGTCACAAGAGGCTTTGTGGACGTCAAAGCAACTACCCGCGCCGCGCAAGCCATGGCCTCAACCCAACGACCCTAAAAGCCTTAGCCCACTCGCCGGCATCAAGGTTATTGATTTCTCGCGCGTGATCGCAGCCCCAGCTGTCTCCAAAATTCTGAGTGTTCTCGGGGCTGATGTCATTCGCGTTTCGTGTAGCAAATTGCCCGAGGTTGCCGCAACAATGGTGGATCTGCAGATGGGAAAAAGAGACGTTGATCTAGATCTCAAGACTATGGATGGTCGCAAAGCCTTTGCGGAGCTTCTCAAAGAAGCTGATATTCTCGTCGACGGATACCGTCCAGGTGCTCTGGCCAAGCTCGGATTTGACTCGAAGTCTCTTCGTGAGCTGAATGCAAGCTTGATCTACATGAGGGAGAACTGTTATGGATTCAAGGGTCCACTTGCGCACCGCTCTGGATGGCAACAGATCAGTGACTGCCTGGTTGGTCTGTCTTATCTACAAGGCAAATTCCTCGATCTCGATGAGGCTATTGTTCCTCTACTCCGTAAGCGAATTCATCATTTTTGTGAGGTTCTGTTTCTAACTTTGTGTTAGCCAATTCTGATTACCAAACTGGATTGGTCGGTGCCGCAGCCGTCATCCAAGCATTACTAGCCCGAACGAAAGACGATGTTACATTTGACATTGACATTAGTCTAACACAATACAACATCTGGTATTACAATCTTGGTTTGTACTCCGAAAAACAACAGAAGACGCTCAGAAACCGGGACTTGGAGTTCAATCCTCGTCATTACGATGATATGGGAGTGCTTATTGTCAAGACCCATCAATCGCTCCAGAAGACACGTCCAGAGATGTTCAAACATGGTGAACACTTCTGGGACATGAGTGGAAAGGATTGGGGTCTTGATGAGGATTTTAAAGTCTTGGCCCCGGCGTTCACATTCGAGAAATCGGAGATTGGGTGGAAGATTCCGAGTGGTCGAAGGGGGAGGTCGAAGGCTGAGTGGGCTTCTTGAACATGGTTGAGACTACCATGTTGATCGCTTATTATGCGGCGTTAGATTTTCGGAAATATTAACGGTAGTTGAGTGAGTGGACCAATCATTTCGCAACTTTATCTTATCTTAGACCGGCGTTTAGGCTATTTATTCCCAGTATCTCACCTTGTTGGGTCGTATTATCTGCCATCCCCTGGCCCTGCAGCTGAAAATGCCTGAAAATACTGCAGATCTATACTCATTGCAGTACAATTCGGCCGCTGCCATGACGAACAATTGTACCTGATACGACAAAATGACGATGACCAAGCACGTTCTATGTTGTTGCCATTGCTTAATTGGCGCCTATTGTATTAATCTGTCAGCACTGCATTGCAAAGTGCATACCTACCTAGGAAGTCCGGATTAAATCCTGGCACCAACTGTGTATTATTTCTAGTTCTTAATTCCATCCTATGACGTCCCCATTCCCCTATGGCCTGATCTCTCAGATTTCTAACAATCCTTCCCATACTTCACGCATTCATTGTATCTTGTCCTTCAATATGTATAGTGTCTATATCACAGCTTAACGTATAGCTTCAATTCATCAAAGGTCTGTTACCTATACATTCGAGTACTTCTCATTTGAGCGGACAAGATGTCAGATTCTGCCAACCGGCTACTTGACGATCCCCCAGATTTAGAGCGGGCATCGATGTCTCGTGAATCAGCCTCTCGGAGTCCTGAGATGCACGAGAAGTTAGACAAGCCTTCGGTCTCTGTGTTCGCATCGATCAGGAGCGCATTTACAGTCGCATGGAAAGACATTCGCTCTATACCACGGTTTAAATTGTCACAATTAAGTCGTCTGTTGTGGCAACTTCTGATCAGTATTTGGATTGCGGGATTATTGACTTTAGTGGTTCTCCTTAGTTTCCAAACAAACTTGGAGGATGAGAGTCTTTGTGGACCCGATGGAGAATTCCGCCTCAAGATGGATCAAGATGGCTTTGTTGGTTACGATAACAACTGGTGGGAATTTTCACGTTTCTTTGAAGTCACTCTGGGCTGGGGTGAACTCGACTTTACCTCTGCGAAGCTTATTGATGTGACATGGGATTTGGTAAGACTTGTCCCGAGATAGTGAAATGGTAAAGCTATCATGCTGATACAGACCTGACAGGTTGTTGGTAGAGGAGGCCAGGCCATAATGTCCCTGATAGTCTGGAGAGTATTCACAGAATATCTGGAAGTGTCCCTTGCAACCAAGCCAGCTACATACACAACAATATGGCTTCTACGATTTTACCAGGATACCTCGGTGCTATCTTCGGTGCGGCTATTTTTCCAGTTCTTCCGTCGGGGCCTTGCATCGAAACTCGCCATGTGGATTATTGTCATGACACTGTCGTTCATCCTGTCATTCCCTACTATTGCTGGCTCGATGACCGGATACGCCGCGTTCAACGACCCCTTTATAACGTCAAGTGATGACAGGCTATTCCGATTCGAAAATGTGAGTCCAATTGCGTATGTCATCCACGATGGAGACAGAACAGCCAATTTCACTAAAGATCACATCATTCCCTGGAGATCAGGTAGGACAGTAATACTTCCACAACGCTTTACATGGAAGCTGACGTGAGAAAAGAGCCGTCAAAAGGACCTGCTTTCCAAACGTTTCAGTCCTGGGAGTTCTGCCACCAATACAATGAGACGTGGCTAGATCGAGGCTGTGAATTGCAATGGAACGTATCACAGTGTGAGTGCCGTATGATGACATCCCCCAGCATACAAACTGACAAAAGGGATTCTCTTATAGATGTTTACCAATACGGTTTCAATGCTGTAGGAGGCACGAAATCTGGGTCTCGCAAGAATACGACGGAGTTTTGTGGCGAAACAATATATGGGCCGCCTCTCAATATCTCTGCATATTTTACTCCAAGCGAGTTCTATAGGACGCCGCGTCCAAATATCTCTGCATCTTTGGCTGGAGACGGTTTCAATGGGACGTCGCCTTTCAGTAAGGACAGAGTTGTCAAAACGAGTCCATATAACGACAGGGGCAAGTTTATGTTTGTTGTCGATGATGACATGTACAGCATAACCCAACTGGTCAAGAATGGTGTCTGCCAACCAGTAAAGGATACGGTAGGACTACGATCATAAAAGATCTAAAGATGAAGCTGACAAGATTAAGGGCTCTGTCCAGAGGTACCAATGGGGTTTCTCATTCTTACAGTTGTATTTTGTCATTGTTCTACTACTACTATGGTCGCTAGCTTTGGTGGTCCTCTGGAAGACGTCACACGATATGCTGAAACTCAACCGCCGCGAGATTACGTCTCAAGACTGGAAAGGTCTCCTCGACTTCACAAATGCGATTAGAACGCAACTGGAACATGCTGGAGTAGATGTCGACAGTTTCACAGACAAGCAACTGGACGACGAAATATTAAAGTTACAAGGCGGTTCTATTTCATCACGACAGATGTCCACAAGCTCTTTTAACGTTTGGCGCTGGCTATTGAACAGCAAGCGCTGGATTATCTTCGGCATTTTGACTGTGGTACTGCTAGTATCGGAGCACAGACGACCACACGTTCCGTATGAACCAAGGGAATTAAAAAGGGTACCATCAAGGTTGGAACTCAACATATTACAGTTTGTGCTACCCTATACAGCAATATGCCTATTAGTTGCACTCACTGTTGGGGCCAACCTGGCACAGAAGCTTGCCGTGTTCATACTGGCAGCTGGGATATGTATACCCTTTTTCTTTTACCAGTCGAGTTTCCGGGATTTCGTTTTGCCTGGAACAGTCTTTGGCATGTTCTTAGCTTTTGCGGTTGGATCTACCAAAGGAAGTCGATTTGTCTTATTCTCAGTGCCATTTCTATGCAACTACATCGTCATTATTTCGTTATACTTTCAAGAGTTGAAAGGTTATTTGCTTGGAGGCAACTACGAATCACGCATTTCATCAGTTTTCTAAGATTAATTAGTATACTTGACACATTCGCTTATCTGACCCACTTGCTTATTAAGTATAATATGCCCCTTAAATTATTGTCAAGCAGTATGGGTAATTACACCATGTAGAGGTTGATAATTTAAGCGTAAATATAGGTAACTAGCACAGCGCTATACTTGATAGTTTCCCAATAGGTTGCCAATAGTTAAGGACAAGTGGAAATAACATAATCTGAAAAGCTGAACTAACAGCTTGATAAGAATTATAACTTTTAATAAAATGCTCTCCTTTCTTCAACAACCATTTACACCTGTTCTTCACCAGACTATATTATCTCCGTCAATTGTAGCTATGTCTCGGTTGACCTTGCTTGCCGGCTCCATTGCCCTTTTTGCCGTTATTGGCGTTGATGCTGGGCTATGCCGTCCTTCATCCATTACAACTACAACTGTCGAGACTTCGACAGCCACTATTTCAACAACACCTGTCACTATCGCTACCGAGGTTGCAATGACCACTTCAACTGAGGTTGATGAGCCAACAACTACCCTTTTATCAACATCTACCGCCCAGGCTGAGGAAACAGAAAAAACCTCGATTATGTCTACTACTGAGGCCACAACGACCACTGCCGACGTCACGACTACCGCCATCCCGACAACCACCACTGTACTGGAACCGCCCCCTTCATCCTGTCAGGAAATGTCCGACCCATTCACTGCGTCTAATGGCGCGTCTTTCGGTCTTTGGTGTGGTACCACGTCTAGTTATACCCTCATCGAAGAGCTTCAGATAAACACCTTCCGGGAGTGTATTGAAGCTTGTGTTGGCCGCTCTGGGTGTCGCGCCGTGAACTTTTGGAGAACAGGGTCAACCTGCGCCCTGGCATCTTCAGTAAACAGTATTGCTTACGATAGTAACTATGACTATGCCATACTGCAAAATTAGGAATTGTTGAGCCGAAGCTACCTTGTACCAAGCCAGTGAGGGAATTCAAACAGAACAGAAGCATATCACGATTCTATTCCATATACGGAATTAATAGTTTTTAAATCGGCAATACATTATATACAATCGTCCTTGTTTATAATTTGCACTGTTATGTTAGCGATGTAATTCTTTCTAGTTTGACATGTTTAAGATAGACGCAGATTAGATTGGAAAGGTTATACTAACACTGGAGCGTTTGCAAAGCTTGTTCACCCACGTAGTTACAAACCCCACAAGTCCTACGGAGCTTTTTTATCAACAGATTAGAACCCTTCATACCGCCTCTAGACAGTTCCCTACTAGCGGTATTCTTACTCAGAAGCTTAACAGAAATCTCGATGAGAAAAGTCGAAGGAATTATACCCTAGACTCTCGACCAGTCAATCGAGCTTCTAATTGGCTACTCGAGAATCAAATGCGTCATTAACTCGCTTTTGGCTGTCTTCATTGGTCGAACTTTGCTGACTCATTACTACTTATCAAGCATCGTGGCAGTGCAACATATGAGAAAAGGCTGGCTAGCGTGACAAGGTATCTCAAAGCTGACAAGCATTATTGAACCGTATTAAGAAATCACGGCACAATGTCTCGTCTTTTTTTCTCGCTATGGTTTTGTTCTCTCTCCCCTCTTTTGTAGCATTGATGGTCTTAGTCAACTGAAGCTTCAGGATGTTGTCATTACTGCCAATTTGCATCCTCGGCGTCACGTTTGCAACGTACGGAGAATGCGAGTCTATCTTTGTCGCACCTAAAGAGTTGAATGCGGACGGCTGGGAGGACAACCCCGTTTATTCGCTCGATGAAAATGTCAAGATCGAGTGGGAGACAGACCGCAAAGGACCGTGCAATTTATTTGTGTGGCAGATCTGGCCCACAGGGCCATTGACGAATTACGAAAAGATTCTAGGTATACCTTCTTCTCACATTGCGGAGGCATTCAATGAGCTGACCTTTGTTCGAAGGGAATACGACTGATACGAGCTGTGTATGGAACGCGAGCTCATCTACGGTCACGTCTCAGCCATGGCTAAATGAGGACTCTCAAATCCCTGTGTTTCATTTCTCGTTATACTCTTCGGATCTGAATATACCTCTGGTCAGCTCTGGTACTTTCAATGTCTCTGACACCAAGTCGAGTGAACTCGAACCTTCACACACAGCATCAACATCAAGCGCATCCGCAATCTCGACAGAAACTGATTCACCAGCAATCTCACGTCCTGCGGAGTCATCTCAAATACCAGCAACGGAGCCGCACAAGTCTGGACTTCCGACGGCAGCGTTGGTGGGAATCTCAGTGGGTGTCACTGCAGTTGGACTTTCGATATTTGGAATTATTGGATTCCTGTTATGGAAACGATCTCGTCGGGATCGTGGGGGCAGTCAAAGCTCGGAATCTAGCTCTGATATACAGGATTTTTCCAAAGCCGAACTGGGCGGTAATCAGATATTGCAGATTGGAAGGTCGGAACTAAACTCTGACAGAGAGCCTCAGGAGCTTTGGGACACACAGAAGATGGCGGAGCTGGGGGATGAAAATAAGGTACGGGTTGTTGTAGGACTTCATGAGGCACCATAAATATTTATTGAAAACTTGTATTCTCTTCTTTTTTATTATTATTAATAAATCCATGACATTTCGCGAATGAAGCCCGAAGCAAGCAACAATGAGGCTCACTTCACTGCAATTTTAACATCCTACGCCATTAGAGCTCCACTAAAGCGTCTTCAGCCACTAACTGGAGATGGAAACCCTTCACTGCTTTTTGAACCAGACCACGAGTCTTCACCTTCACTGCAATTTTAGGCCTCTTAGTGTGCAACTACTCCTTGACTGTTCATCAGTTATGCAATTCCTCTTGTTCTTAAAACTTCTATAAAGTCATTTCAAAAGATGAAAAGGGAGCTAGAGAGTAAGTCTGCTACAAGGCATCATTTTTAATCCGAGGCAATTCACTGAAAGATGGCATTCGTCCTCCATTGTTGTATTACATGCACACGGCTCGAATGCATTAATGTTTTATTGTTGGAACATACACCGTGCCTCTGATACGCTGTTGACAGAATGACCTGTCACCGTCAGTTGCTGGTACTTTCAGTCAATCTCCTCTTCAAATCCAAGGGCTGCTATTTGCTTCTTGTACTCTTGTTGCTGTTTTATATTCTATTCACAGTTAGTACCCATCGGAAGACGACAGGGATCGTCGACAACTCACCTCTTCAACTGTATCCTTGGTGATATATCTAGTAACACGGACTTCCTTCTTCTGTCCAAGACGAATCGCGCGAGAGATAGCCTGACTCTCCACACTTGGGTTCCATTGCAATTCCGCGATGAAAATGCGATTGGCGCTCGTCAAGTTTAGACTGGAATAAGGTTAGCAGCTACTTTCGAAATGCTTCAGGTTCGGTAATCTTACCCAAAAGCGCCTGTACCGGTAGTCATGATCAATACTGGAGTCTCGCTCCCATTTTCAAATTTGTCCAAGGTAACCTGTCGCTGAGGCAAAGGGCTGTTTCCGTCGAGCTGGAGATAAGGTATACCGGCTTTTTCCAAATGTCTAGCTATAAGATGAAGTGTCCTCGTCCAGCAAGAAAAGATGATGCTGATAATGTTAGCAATGCCATGGCACAGGTGCGTTGGATGCACATACCTCTTGGTCGTCCACAAATCCTTCCGAACATCTTCTACGAGCGCTCGTATCTTAGTCGAGTGGCCCTCGGTGTTGAAATAATGTTCGTGATCGTCCTTCGTAGTTGCATTCCTCTTTCGCTTGCGTCGAGGTGTGCCGTCGTCTGAGCCCCCATCGTTCCCTGTCGGTGAGGGCGCCTGGTACCATCTGACACAGACGGGGCAGCGCCTTTGTGAAGTTTCCAACTCGGAGAATTGTGAGTCTTCGATGCACTTTGCGCACAAAACGTGAGAACATCCATCCTCAAACATTTTCTTCGACCAATCATGTCCAAGGACTGGCATTGGTTGTTCACAGCCAACACACAACATCTCCCCATATTGACCAGCGGTTCCAACAATGGCCTCTCTTTCCTCCAGCAGATTCCTCCGATGCCATGAGAAGAGCTTTTGATAAGTTCCGTGGTTGCACACGATACGCAACTGCAGCCACATCTGAAACATGCCAAACTGCGAACTCTTCTCAACTTCTCCCATTCGATGCTCCATGTTTCGGTGAATGATATTCCTTGTGCGCTCATACTGATCCCTCTCCGGTTGAGTGAACTTAAGATGGCGCACGAATTGGCGTGTTTTTGGTAGGTCCAAAACCTCTCGAGTACGGCGCAGGCATAAGGCTTCAAGAAGCATGACTAGACGATCCCGGACTAGAGTTGGTTCATCGTAAGAATTATCGAATGGTGTCTCTATCCATTTTCGGAATTCGGATGCTTTGTCAAAGGGCTCAGCACGGATGAAGCGGAAGAGTGAGCCTATGTCGGCTAGCTTGTTTTGAATGGGCGTTCCAGATAGACACCATCGGGAGTTGGCGTGGAGGTAGTCACAGGCTTGGAAGAACTTTGTAGACGGGCGTCGAATGATATGAGCTGCCAAGGGAAGTCAGTTTAGATTCTGCCAACTGGTCAAGAATGAGACTTGCCTTCGTCAAGAACAACTCGATACCAGCCGAGCTTGTATAACGGGGAGGTCTTGCCCTTCCCTATCAAGTATTCGGTAGTAAGTGTGTGGTAAGTCGTAACCACAATATCCGAGTCCTCTACTGTGTCGAGTTGGGATAGATCTTTCGGCCGTCTGTCGCCATGGTACTTGATAATCTTAAGACCACTCTGCAAATGTCTGTGTGTGGTTAGCAATACCTTGGGTAACGAGAAAGCAAGCAACACACTTTTTAACCTCATTCATCCACTCATCAACCAATACTGTATCTCATTAGCAACAGTGGCATAGGGGCACGACAAAGCTTACGCGCAGCCGAGACGACGACGAGAGTTGACCGGGAAAATCTAGTCGTCTTTCTCCCCTTGTGTTCAGCGTTCTTCAGGCTCGCCCATTCTTGCCCATTATCCAACGTCTTCATGACCAAGGCGAGGATCGAAAGTGACTTTCCCATTCCCATATCGTCGGCCAAGATTCCACCTCCCTTCTCTTCGGGTCTTGTGTCTCTCCGTCTTTTGGTAATTCGGTGACGGTATTGTACTCTTCCATCCTGGACGATCTCTTTCCACAGTCGGTATTGGTCGTTGATGTGGCCGGATTCTCTTTCTAACATAAAACCTAAGGCTTCTTTCTGATGTCTGTTTTGGCGTTAGTGGTAATATCGGCGAAGTGGCAAAATGACTTACCTGAGAAGTTGACGGGTGACTCTGTCACCTCCTTCGACGAGTTCCAGTTCTCGTGTATTGTCCACTGTATTGTAGACTTCTTCTACCATCTTTCGAAGTTGATCTTCTCTTGTCTTCTTCTTATTAGGCCCGTTAGAGGCAACAAACTCGTTTGGTACCATCCCAATGTGTCTGTCGGCAACAGTAATGCTTAGAAAATGTGGGTTATTGTATTCCGTCCCGTCTTTACCATGAATCGACCGCTGCAGCCATAGTTTCCCGTTGGAGAGAGCCTCACCGACAGAAGTCGCCGCAGATCGTGGCCCATAGATATTGATGTCGACTTTTACCCGCGCATCAGTGGATTTGTTCGCGCGATGGATGATTTCTCGCAAGTCGGCCTTCAATGCCAAAGGCTCAACGTCTACACGCGGGCGAGTGATTAGCGGCATGAGAGCTTGTCCAGCTGCAGAAGATAAATGGCCAAAGTGCTTCTTCTCATCGTCTGGAAAGCAAAGCATGACTTGCTTCTGGTATTCGGTAGGCGTGAAGTATTGGTATGCGGATTCGCCTGTCTTTAGCCTATCGTCGAGAGATGACATGTCGTCCGGGACTAATTTGACTTCGACATTGTGAAGCTGTGGCCGTCAGCATGATAACGGACGATACATGAATTGGTGTAATACTTACCATACCATAATGCACTATGGTTTCGTCTTGGTCTGTCACAAATAGACTTTCTTCCTCCTGCCCTTCCTCTTCCAGGTCTTCTACTTCTGGTACAGTCGCTGGCGTAGAATTCGATTGGCTGGAGGACATGATGTCAGGTGTAACTGAAGACTCTTGGGAGCTATCCACAGGCAACCCTAGATAGTGGGAGTTGTCAACCGCATGCGGAACTTCAAAAGAATTAATCTGTTCTGTCGATACTGGTAGCATGAAGTTGAGGTTGGTGGCGTCTAGATTCATCATATTCAGGCCCATGAGCTGTGGATCCAAGATCATCTCGCTCGGAAAGTAGTTTTGTTGCGACACTGGAACATTGCTTCCAAAATTAGCTGTAACCTCAAAACAATTATCAGGGCCCTTACGCAAGCGGATTTGATGATCCAGGCCCGAGATATTGGCTCTCTCGAGGGAACTCTCCAGTGTAGTCGTTCCAGCCGGTCATCGAAAAGTCTATGTTAAAAGGTTCATTCGAGTTATAGTAGATATCGGTGGGGACGTTCGTCATTGTCGCTGATTGAAGGTCGTCCGCTAAAGGTGTATGGCTTACACGAGTCGCGTGGTCATCATGTTGCTCCTGCTCGTTGACGGGATTGAGTATATGCTTCCAAGATTGTGCCATGATCGCAGACAACTCTTTTCGGAGTGATTGTAATTTTCTCGATTGTAGAAAATTGAAATCGTTGTCTCTTGTCAACAAGAAGATGGATAGTTGACCCTGGATGGACCACCGAAATCAGGCTGGGGCAGTGTTTTTCCGTGCATAACACCCCTGGAATCGGTCAGCCAAAATCGAATCATATACCCTGTTTCGGTCCAGCTGAAACCTGCTAAGCCCATAATGTTTATCATTTCAGCGCATGATAGTTCGCATCTTCCTCGTGTTGGCCAGCGATTGGCCTCTGGGTTGAAAAAGGCAGCTTAGGCGGATTGAGGCTCTGTAAGGCTTTCACTGCGATTGTAGTCCTGGGCTGCCTCTCCTCTGACTGTGCCGCCCGGGAGTAAGCTGCTGATTGTTTTCAGTTGTTGCATCCTTTCTTTGCAACATTTTTGTTGTCCAACTTTTGTTTGTGTCTGAGGCAAATTAACCTTCACCTTCCTTCCACTAGCCCATGAATTTTCGCTAATCTTATCTAAACCACGTACCACGTCGCTCCTGCCTTTCGCTCAACATGGAACGGCTAAGCTCGCTTGCCGAAGAATTCAGATCCTCACTCAAAGAACATCATGAAGAACAATTCGAAAACACCACAAAAGAAGACATGCAAAGAGAAATCCATGACGTTCAAGCCCTACGAGATGTGACAAATAATATGATCAACATGAATCGATTGCGAATGTTCCTCAACGGGATGGAAGAACTCGAGGAAGTCTTAATGTTTCTGGAATTTCCTGGTGCGAGAAGCGCTATGTCAAACATTTGGGGCGCAGTCAAGTTCTTACTCAAGGTATCATTTCCAATGCACACAATCTTGAGCGTCCAGCTAACATCCAAGTATAGACGACGAACACTACTGACAGGGCATTTGATGGAGTACTCGAGGTATACGGGCTTCTAGGAGCTCAATTGATGCCCCTGACACGCCACAGAGAGCTGTTCAGGAGATATCCAGGTGCCATCGAATGCTTAGTCAATATTTATGATGATATTCAAAGCTTTCATTCCCTGGCTTATAAGCTCTTCTCCCTCACCGCGAAGCGTAAAAAAACCCAGACCACATTTTACTTCTGAAGCTGACCGGCTTTATTAGTATGGCAACGCCTTCAAAAGCCCATCTGGGAGGATTCAGCCCGAATCTTCAAGAGGATCTCCGAGTCCCTCAACACTACTGCCAAAATCACCAAATCACAAAGCAATCTTGCACAAAGTCTGTCACCAGGAACCCGACCGAACCTATGATCGAACCCACTGACCCTGATAGATATGCAAGGGGATTATGCTGAAATTTCTTCTGCATTGGAACGATATTCCTATGCCTGGAAACAAGACTGGAGAACCTTCGAGGCCGACGAAAGTAAGCAAAAACACGAGCAGAGGCACGAAGTCATAACGTGGATATCAGCCTCGGGAAAGATGCCACGGCTACAACAAACGTTCCGAGAAATGGCCATCTGCCCGAAGAGTGGCCGTTGGCTCTTCAGAAAGTACAGCGCTGTGTCGGATTGGATGGGAGAAGATGACCCTCCAGATTCAGCGCTCTGGGTGCATGAAAAGGTTGGATACGGTGAGTCCCATATGTTACGTTTGTTGACAATGATGCTGACATACCTCCAGGAAAGTCGGTCCTGGCATCGCTTGTGGTCCAGGAACTGCAAGACCCGGAAACACACTTTTCAATCCCACACGACAGTAAAACCTGCTATTTCTATTGTCAAGAAGACGACAACGAACACAGGACGTATCTAGACGTTCTCAAAGGCATACTTTTACAGATGGTCGAGGCTGACGACTACATTCTCCCACTTTGCAATCAAGAGAAGAATACTAGCGGAGGCGCCAACCTTCTTGACCCAGAGGTTGCAAAAAAGCTTATCAAGACATTCATCGAGTACAGTCCCAGACAGTACATTGTTATTGACGGACTAGATGAGTGCGACGGCGCTGAGATCCATCAAACAGCCAAATTCTTCAAAGATCTAGTTTCTGTTTATGATACCCAAGTGCGACTGGGTCATTTGAGGGTCATGTTCATTGGAAGGGAGACGTCAGATACGAGGAAGTTCATATCTGGGGATGATTGTGCTGATGTCCCGCTAAAGCCGGAAGACAACCATGAAGATATTAGAGCATTTGTGCAGAAACGAATACCCGAGTTCTCTAGTTCGGAGTATAGTCAGGGCTTCAGTTTGTCCGAAGCTGATAAGGATGACGTCGAGAGGATTGTTTGCCATCAGAGTCAAGGTACCAATCGGACGTGAAGCCCGCTCGTGATTTACAGCACTGACATGCATGTTAGACTCATTTCTCTACGCCCACCTCGCTATAGAGTTCCTCTTACAGCAAGATACCAAAGGGGACTTGTTGACCCTACTGAGACAAGGCATTCTTCCTACCGAACTTGGTGCTATGTAAGCGGAACATTTACTAGAGACCTTTACTTTACTGACATCTAATCTCAGGTACGAGAAGTTACTTGAGGCAGTCAAAATCAGACTACAGTCCAAACGTGGAGGAGAGGCACAATGGCAGAGATCAAAATCCATGTTCGGATGGCTCGTCTGCGCAAAGAGACCACTCAGGTGGCATGAAATGCAAGCCATCCTATCTTTCGATGAACGAGAACTCAAGATCGATTTCGAAAATAAGATGATGAGACAAGATGTTGAAAAGTATCTTGGATCCATCATCCACGTTCTGGATGGTGATAATATCCGTCTAATTCACTCAAGTGCAAGACAGTAAGCTTATCTACACCAGTTTGCATGAACGTACCACTAATCAAGGCCAGCCACATCATTGAGAATAAGTATATCCAAGAGAACCTGGTTCAATGTCAGCTTGCGACTACATGTTTACAATATCTTACTCTGTCTTGTTTCGGAAACGATTATATGTCAACGAAACGCAGTGAGCATGCTCAAGGCGGCTGGTTCGCTTTCCAGGACTACGCCTGCTCCCAATGGCTGTATCATATCGACACAATCATCAAAGACTGTAGTGACCTCTTCCTGCAGCCCTGTCAAGTCACAGCAGACTTTGTCTTGGCTTTACAGCACTTTGTCAAAGCCCACCGATCAGAAATCGCTACAACCGAACATGTTGACTTGGAAGAAGACGTCATTTCCAAGTTTCAAAACTTCCATTTCTATGGAGATCTCCGATTGCTCTGGAATCATATTTACACCCATCAGCGCGGTGACTACGCAACACGAAACACGATTGGTATTGCTCGGATTGAAACTGGTCTCAAGGATAACAGAACTGAACTCGAGAGATTCCTTCCAGACCAAAGAGTAGGCGATGAAGATACTGTGAAGCAATACTACGGTGGCAACCTTTTCAAATGTCGTCGGACATTATGTCGTTTCTTCTACATCGGCTACGACAAGAAAACTGCTCGAGACACACACGAGAAGCGCCATGAGAGACCCTTCCAGTGTCCAATATCCTGTAGCTCAGCGCCTCTGGGTTTCGTCAGCAACAAGGACCGCGACAGACATATCAACATCTACCACCCAAGCCTTAGCGAAGGTGGTTCCCACTTTGAAGTTTTGAGTAGAAGACAAGTCCCAGGGAAGTTTACCTGCAATATCTGCAGCAAGAGTTTTACGAGAAACATCAATCTCAAGAGTCATGAAAGAAGTCATTTTGGGGATAGGCCTTTTGCTTGTTCGACTTGTGGGAGGGCGTTTGCTAGGGTCAATGATTGTCGGAGACATGAGAAGATTCATGCGAGGAAAGGCTATTAAGTCTCCATTTCTATTGATACCATTTAATATCATATATATATGCAACATCCACCTCATGGTGTTCTCTTTTGAAAATAAATCATTTATTTCATCTCTCATACTTCTCGCAAACGACCTTGTTGAGTTAAGTTACTTGTGTTTCGACTCCAATTCAATACTCCGGTACTTTGCCTCTGACCAAACTTCAACATCCGCGAACACAGCAAGTCCGATTCGTCGATAAACTCCAATCCTCATCTTCGTCGCTATCAATGCTATTGCGTTCTCAAATTCATCGGATTCTTTTACCGTGCCCAGCAGAATATAATGACGCTTCTTGCCTTTAGTCTCTAACTTCTGTGCTTTCTCCTCGAGGTCAAAGTACTCGTCGGTCTCCTCCCGTGTATCTTCATCAATAAAATCTTCTGACACAATTCGACAAGACATGGTAACCTTTGCGGCGGTCACAATCTCCATCTTAGCATCCTCCTTCTCTATCGGCTCTTCGAAGTGAATTATGCCATTGACTGAAACCCACGACCAACTAGGAGCTCGCCTGAGATATCGCTCGTTTATTAGATCGTATTCTGGTTTGTACCAAGCCAACAGTTGAACGAACCACTCTTTCCAATGGCCGTAGATAGCTGTGTCTTTCCAAACGTTCTGCAATTCAGAAATAATACCTGTGATGGCAGGAAGCCGGTCCTCGGGATTTGTCAGGTTTCTTTCTGTGTATTGTCGAAGGATTGTCTTCCATAGATATAGTTTATCGGAATCGTGTGCTCCAAACGATGGTCCGGATATGTCGTCGAAAGCGACCCAGGGCAGAGATTCGATGCCTTGTTGATACTCCAAGCCATCATCATCGCCAGTTACGCTCTGCAAATGTGTCTGCTTGCATTGCCACAGCAGCTGATAATCTGAAAAGATGAGCATCCGTGTGGATAGCATGAACTCTTGTAGAGTCCAGCCTCTGGCGTCGAGAGGGTGATTTGGTTGATACGATCTTTCTGGGATGTAGATATGACCTGTGCGGCCATCGTCCATGGAAGTGCTGAATCTTTGGTCCGGGAGAAACGGTTTCTGTTTCGAGGACTTGCTATGCAGAAATCCTTCAGAAGCATTCTCAGCAGTGCCAGCTGCCAACGTCACCACAGCATTCTTGTAAGTTGTTGCCATCTTGGAAAACTCCCGTTTCTTATCTTCGATATCGTCTTGCAAGATACAAAACCTGTCAACCCAAAGGTAATTGAAGCCAAGTTGTCTCGTGATATACACAGCATCTTGTATCGTCTGCTCCAGTTGTTCCATCTTAATCTCCTTCTCAAGATCTCTCTGGTTTGCATGTTCGAGCTGTATAAGATTAGTGTTTGCAGTAGATTCCTGCTTGGCTCCCCAACAGTAGCTAAGAGCTAAGTAAGATCCGCAGCGATCTCTGTCATTGATATGAAGTTGGATAGGACAAGCAGCGCCTTCCTTGACACCAACCTTCAAGATGCGTGTGGGAAGAACAGCGTCTCTTGAGTAGCGGCATTCTTCGTGTCCGTCGCTAGGTTTGTCTAATCTTCGGCAGTCATGTAAGAGTTTCTTGGCTGCAATAATGACCCGTGGGCTTTTGACGTCCCTAGAGATTGACCTTCGTGATACTAATGTGCCAAGTGGATCGTCTTGTAGAAAGCAATCAGCACAATGGCATTAAAATGAGGCAGAAAGGTTCACCTTGTTTCGCGAATGGATAGAGACTAATGTATCCATCTCCATTCTCAACGGTCCCTCGTAGCGTATATATAGGCGTTCTAGGTCCTTTAATAGGGTTGAAGTTCCGAAAGATGATACATTCATGACTTGCCCATGTATCGCCAAATTGGTCGACAGCCTTTCTTAGGATCAGACTGCATAAATCACAGCCGTCTATGATTGAAGTTTCGCATGCGTTGCGGGGTTGATGTGCCAGTCCAATTTTTGAATTGAGCCTCTGCAGGCTTGATTGAGAGAACAAGCGAGTGCATGCGGCACATTGTGAGTTGTTGTCATTGCTTCGACGCACTCTTTTTCTCGGCGTCTCGTTTGATGCAAAAATATGATTCTTCATACTGTTTCAGCTTCAATGTGTGTAAAGCTAAAACGAATTGATGACTTTACAGGGCTATTGTGTTGGCATTTGGAGATGAATGCCACGACTCATCAAAAGTCTTGTATGGATAGTGGATCAAGATGGATTGTAGTGTCTCCGATGGAGGAGTCTGCCTACCACTTAGCCTTATTTCACTGCATTTTTAACCCACCTCGGGCTTAGCCGCTAACTTAGCAACTCCTCCAAGAGAGGCAGCCAGTGTGATGCTAGTGTGTGCCTTGATTTCACTGCGATTTTAACCGCCCCCCGAGCTTCAATGCTTTGGGGTAGCATAACTCCGCGACTTCTCAGAGTGAGTTAAAATTGCAGTGAAGGTGATGGTGGCTTAGCAAATGACGATGCAATGGGCTCAAGGCGACAGCATGGACAATTGACACATAATCATTGGGCCTGGTGGCATCTTTGGAACAAGGGTAGTTATGAGTTAAAATCGCAGTGAAATGCCCTGCACCCTTCCCTGGTTCCAACACGCACCCCAGTTAAGCATTACTATTGTTTGCAAAGGGCTTCGGATCAATAGATCTGGAGGCGCGATTGCAACAGTGGCATGTTTGTTTGCAAAAATGGTTATCCTGCACTACAATTTTAACCCACCTCGCAGCGATTGATATATTTTAAAAAAGCCAGCGAACAATCAATCCTAACAACAACGCAAAATTGAGGTCAAAATGGTAGTGAAGCAGAACTGTGAAAGCTGAATACAACCCATGGGCAACATGGCAGCCTGTATCTTTGCTCCGCCCGACGATTTGCTTGGCAAATGTCAGCCCTTTGTGACTTCACTGCAATTTTAACTCACTCTGGCAAGTTGTAGTTGACTTGCCGGCTTGATTCGCCAATTGCTTCGCCCACCTGTGGACCAATCGGAGTTCGAGCTGAAGATGGACGATACAGACTCAGCCCTCTTCGCTTTCACTGCAATTTTAACTCACTCTTACATAGTAGAAGCTGTGCCTGATGGTCATGCTACCTTCTCCTCAATCTGAACAGTACAGACGCTTGGAGGGGATTAAAATGGTAGTGCAAAAACAAAATGAGAATGCACATACACTTAATGCGGGCGAAGCGACACAGAGGCATCAACACACCAATTGTGTGCCTCAAGGTACAGCCTTTTCTTTTGGTCTTAGCCTAAGATTTCACTGAAACTACTTTCAGGTGCTAACGTCTCTGGACGCATGTTATTGAATCATTTATTGACCGATCTTTTGATTCACCTATACATGAGTCTCATATCAGTCAAGTCTGGTTCCATTTCACAATATCGTGATACGGTATTTGCAAGATACAGTCGGACTCATTTGCAAGGTTGACTTGAGGGAATCCACTAGTATTCAATCGTCGGGTTGACTGTCGATGCAGCGGTAGGCGCTGGGAAGGGGCTGAAATTGTAGTGAACTTTAGGTGGTTCTGTTTATGCAAACAATAGTCAATAATTACTGAAGATGGTGTGGACCAGTTGCCAGTAACCATGAGTCCGTTGAGGAGCATAAAACTGAATCAACAATCAGATGGCGTGGTGAGCTAAAAATTGCAATGAACGTTCTATTTCCATTCACTTTCAAGCGAGGTACAAAACGTAGAAAATGTGATTGGTACTGATCGTGTCTCTATACGTTACTTTATATCGTCATTGCAATGCTAGGATTCTCATGTGTGGAAAGCCTGATGTAATTTCTTCCCCGGCCATGAGCTCTCCAGGGTGGCTCTCTATACACATGTGGGGCTGAATGAGTGTGCATATCGATCCAAATTACAACGATGTGCGTCCTTCGCTCCCTGCCTCAATTCTTCACTGCAATTTTAACCATCACTAAGAGCATTCTCCGTGAGCAGTAGCCAGGCTTTCCACTGCAATTTTAATTCACTCGAAGATGTCGCGGTGAGAGGCCAAGCTACCCTGTTGTCAGCCCATGGAAAGTGCAGAAGTCCGGAGGGGGTTAAAATTGCAGTGAAACTCCACGGCCCCCAAAGGTTATTTTTTCTTGTCAGATCCCTTTTCGAGGTTTGTAAGATGCTAGCGGCCCACCTTTCAATGCATTTTTTACCCGTCTCAACGGGAGACCATAAGCTTATCGTGAAAAGTATAAGTTTTAAGTTACCTAGCTCTTTGAGATTGAAGACGCGAAATAAATGGTTGTTTTCCCATGGATTATGATGTTGTCTGCAGCCATATTCAGTTCGAGATTGACGTGTTGTTCGTATCGGAGGTGCTCTCTTTTGACCATCCTCTTTCAGCTTAGCTAATTTCCCCAACATTGACTAGCGTGTTGCTCCAATCGATAACTACCCCGCAACCGGTCATCATTGTCCTTCCTTGACCAGCATTTACTGCAAGGGAAGGACCGACATGATGCTTGCAAGCAAAATTCTAGAAAAAAAGATCTATTCTTTTTCTCTTCCCAACTCCCACGGTCGGCCCCTCAATCTACGACCTTATCTCCCTTGGAGGCCGAGTCTTCAGCGCCAAGTGTCGATCTCTTCCCCTCTTTCCGTCTAATTTCCCGAGTCCGATGCCGCCAAAGAAACGTGCATACGTGCCCAAGACGAAAGGTCGGTACAGCCTCACTTTCGCCTGACCTACTCACTGACCTGCGCACAGGCTGCCATGAGTGTTCTAAGCGACGAATCCATTGTGACCGGACCGAACCCAGTTGTCACAAGTGTACCTCCAGAGGCTTAACTTGCAGTGGCTTAGGCATTCGGCATCGCTTCAACAAGGGTGTTGCCGCCAGAGGGAAATGGGCTGGCAAGACTATCGACAGAGTCTATGAAGAGTAAGTCTAATATGCCTACCTTGAAAGAAGATCACTTTGCTGATTATGCTCCAGAAACGAATGGAAAGTCACAACCACAGACGAAGACGAGCGAAAATCATCGACAACCTCGACTGAAACTCAGCTGACGGAAACCGGCGTATCTCTACCTCATGATGATTACCAACTATGCGACTTCGAAACCGCGGCTCAATCCTCAAACCGAGAAATCCGAGATCTCATTACTCAGCAAAACGGGCTATTAGACGACCATACCGCCATTTGCACTCTATTCTTACACGACATCCAAGAAAGTACGCCTGCATGGAAGCGGCATCTATTTATGACTTGTGAGTCAAAAGTCGGAAGAACAATCATAATGTCTATCTAACTCCATCAGTCTCACAATGTATATCAACTGAGATGGTGGCCATAGACGGTGTTCACAATGACTGGCGCCACCTGCTCCTCCCTCTGGCCCAGCAAGACGAGTTAGTGATGAACGCCGTCCTCACCGTCTCGGCATTCCATTTCCATATCAACAGACTCGAAAACTGCCTTAAGCAGAGCGAACAGCAATATCAACCTTTCGGCAACATTTCATACGACTCTTATGTGCCTGACCCATATGTGCTCCTTAGTCGAACTATTCAAGGTCTACGGAAGCGACAGGAACTCAACTCCCGGGACCAAATTACACAGCATTCGGTCTTGATCACTCTGTTACTACTCATGACTTCTGACCTTGTCACTGGAGGTTCGGATTTTCCGATGCTTCTGCGAATGCTTGAGTCTGCACTGGATGCGATCGGCGGCAAGGAAGGGCTGGGAACTGGTATCCTGGCGGGCTTCATCATGCGTGAACTGCACAAGTAAGTTTGGAAAGTTAACCACATGGGCGTATACTTACACAATTCAAGGATACGAGTTTACGCCGCTCCACATCTCGGTGAAGAAATGGGTCTTCAAATGATCTCATCCCAGGCTCAAACAGACCAACTGTTCGGCTGTCTCAACCACTGCCTTCAACTGTACCCCGAACACGCCCCTCTCTTTCAACAAGTCGCAGATCTTGTCTACCAAGCCCGAGATATCTATCTTCAACAAGTTCTATCCGACCAAACAACGAATTTCTTCGACCTCGATCCCATCCCCGCTAATCCAAGCTCGATAGCTCGTGTCCAGCGCTTCATCAAAACACTCGGACAAATACCTCAAACGTCACCAATAGCACACATGCTGATCTGGACCACGTTTGTAGCTGCGTCTGATGCACAGCTCGACGAACACAAGAAATATTTCGAGGATGTGCTTCGGATACATCATGCAAGGAGCGGGTTTGGCAATTTGCTCAAGGGAATTGAGTCGTTGAAGAGGATATGGGGAAGAAAGCCCGGCGAAAGATGGACTACGCTTCTACCGCTGACAAAAGTACTTGTTGCATAATTTTGGAATTTATGATTGCATGATGCGAAATGGCAATGATGATAATTTAAGTTTTCATAATACCCTAATCTTCAATTCATTTACTCTCAAATACATACAAACCCGCACGAGTATCCTTCGATCACATCAGCTTGAATTTGATTCACCTCGGCAAAGCCAATCATTTCACTAGATCATGTTCCCATACAGAGTCGTGTTCGGGGGCCATCAAAAGTCCTCAACTCGATAAACCTGATAAGGAACCTCTTCATATGGATGAGCCCTACAACACATCAGCAACATGTTTTCCCTCAATTCAACACATGAAAACCCACTCTTTAAGCGCAGCAACAGCGTTTCTGGTAGTATCCTCCCCAACGATCAGCGTTTCAACTCTAACCTCAGGCGTCTCCTCCAACTCCCCAACCTTGCCGATAGCCGGGTTAGCCGCATCGCCCGGTCTGAACTGTCCAGTACCGGATGTCTGCCACGCGCACTCAGTGTAGCCGCCGGGTCCCGGGTAGCGGCCTGCGCCGGCTTTGAAGATGGCGGCTTTACATGCTGCTGCGCTGGCGGGCGGGACGTAGAAGACGAGAGTGAAACGACGCAAAGATGATGCCATTTTGGTGACCCTTGATAGACTGTAATGTAGCGGAGGAATGCGATGAGATGAGGTACAGATTAGAGAATGGTGTTGCGATTTGACCGGGCCGGGATTGAGATATGTATGGTTCGACTCCACGTCCGAGATCCAATCATTTGGTGACTTCTTCACCAGTGGTGCATCATGTGACGTCGTTTAAATATGCATTCTGATCTGCGTCACCGAAACCAACGCACTGATTGAGGTGCTTGAGCATTTCTGGTCCAATCCATTCAGTATATCTAAACTTGACAAGATCTTGATTTGCGTATTAACTTGGAATAAAAAGATAAAACAAAAAGATTCAAGAGACTTGACAATATACACGTCTCAGGACGACCCAAAATTGCAGTGAAGAGCTCCGCCAAGTTGATTACCTACTTAAGCCTCGAATACCGGCAAGGCCAGAGAAGGGGTTAAAATTGCAGTGAAGAGAACAATTTGAGGACAGGCTTGCAGGATCCTGCATCTTCCAACAGACTCTGGACCTTGTCAATTCGACATGGTTATTGAAAGTAATTGGGGTAGGCCCCACTCGATTCAATCAGAGCACGATAACAACAATCGCTCTTACAGCGAGCTGTTAGGCTTTCTGTGGAAAAAATAGGCTCTTTATGATAATAATAATTATTCAATTTAATATGAGACTTTCAAGCTATTCTTCTCCATTATATTAGACCAAGCATCTTCCACCTCATTCGGGATATCAACGTTGTTTTTCGTTTCCTCTCCTAGGTCACTTGTTGTGTAACCAGTGTCTCCCATGATTCGGTCCAAGAATTTGTTCATTGACCAAAGCTCTCTAGTTCTGTTGCATTTGCCAGCTTGAGATCCTCCTTGGAGACTTGCACGATCGGCCTTCGTCTGTGGCCAACTGGAAATCAGCACCTCTTCATCCCTGTAAATGGCTTTGAAGGATGATACTGTTCGACTGCTCATAGCAGGATCTTGCACCACTGTAATTGATCTGAGAGAGATTGTACCGTGGCAATCTAAGACCTTTCGAGTTTCGAGAGCATCGGCTCCACAATCCGTAGAGCGGTCTGAGACTAGAATATTGAAACCGTTGTCTTTAGCCTTGCTGGTCTCTTTGTCGTCGATGTCAAGTCTGTAAAAGCGTTCCGCCATGGTCTTCAATATTTGGCCCTCTGGCTGCCCATTGATCTCATCAAATATCTGGCAACATTTCTTGCTGGCTTTTATAGCATTGTAGACGAATGGCGTGCAGGGTCCAATGCCACCACATAAAACAAGAATTGTATTCCCTGTTCGTGATTCGGGACAGGTTTGCTGTTGAACCGCCCACTCGAATACTGCTTCCGGGATAGCCAGGATTGCCGAAGCACATAGGACGATCACATCAGTTGAGGCATCGTTGTTTGTTTGTTGGAGGGTTTGAAGGTATTTGTCGAGGTCTTTGGCGCTGTAAATCTGCTCGAGTGCGAGAAATCTTGAGACAATGTTGACTGAGTCTGTCAATTCGTTGGACTCTTCGGCTATTCTTGAAGGCATTTTTATAATATTTAAGTGCGATATATCTTGATACAAACTCGGACGAAAGGAAGAAGGGTTCTTCGATAATGATATATCTCGGTGAGCGGTGGAGAGATTCCCGTTGACTTGTCCAGTATCCGCTCACCAACCGTGTTTCCCCTCATCAATCCCCATCAATATCATCTTATGACTTCTTTGATTGTATTTCGACCAGTAACATATTCTTTTTACTCATAATTCTATCACTAATGCTGTCTCAGTCAAATGTACCCGCTTTGTTACTAACACAAGCTGTACGTAAGGGTTGCCGCTAGTCCTGTTTTGGAGTGTAACTGACATTGGCATCGCAAGCATTCAGATAAATATTTCGTAACAGACGGAGTTTTAATCTTGGTAGTAATCAAACCTTCAGTCATTGGACAAGTGTGCGAAATATGTGCTTGAGAATTCTCAAACGTGGAGTTACGGTCAAGAGGTTGATGAGGCTGAGAGACGCAACGATGATAACATGGTCACCTTTGCCTTCTCATTCACATTTTCCGTTTCCCACTTTCATGCCAACGACATATTTTATCTTCACAAAAGAAAGAATCATGTTATGCTACTTAAGCCACACTGTTAGGCTTTTTATTGTTATACCTCAAAACCGAGAGGTCAGATTTTCAGCTACCCACTAGACATTCAAATCACCGCAAACATTAGATGAGTGCCTTTCAGTCGACATGCTTTCCTAGCATATTACAAAGTACTGTCCTACGGTTCACACCCTTACGATCTTGGGAAGTCATGATACATGGAAGTAATCAATTCCCTACTCACCTGTCTGTAACACACCGTCTGTGATGCAAGTCAATATCACCAAGAGCCACTTGGTGTGGACAGCAGTATAGCGGCGCATGTACTGGTGGGTTATCGTACACAGCCCATTGATGGCCCATGCCGCAAAGAGAACTGCTCGTCGTTGAATGGGATGGTTCGCCACCGTAGAACTGCTGACAAAGACCAGTTAAGCCATCTTGCATTGTTGATGAGTGTCCCATGGCACCATTTGTAGAGAGCGCCAGGGGAGAGGACCTTAGACAGGTGGAGGTACTTAAAGAACGTATACAGTTCTGATAGGTGATCGGATACAGGACTTGCGAACTGTTGGTGCTCCACGGCGGCAGCGTACTGATACCACCTAGGCCTCACAAAGGGCAAATCCAGCAGAGTCACCAAGGCGGTTATCGAGATTACCTCGTTCAAGCAACTTTATTGGTCGCAGCTACCAAGGTGGCGCCGCTTGTATTCCTCTGGGCCTTCTGAACCTTGAGCGACAACGGCTGATCCACCTCCCAAGGCTCTCGAAGGGCAGCCGAGATTGTATCGTAAACGTCTCCGTAGTGTACAGCCAATAAAAATCCCTGGCTGGGGTCTCTCAGCACGACCGGTTCTTTATGTGGCAGAGGTCTTCGAACTTTGAGAGCTGATGAGCGTATGTATTTCAAGGTGCGAATTGAACTGCTGTCTGGTAAAAGTCAGTGATCATTCTTAAGAGTGCGAGGACTGCTTACCGACGACGTAGACAACTCCTTGAACTGTGATACTGAGCTCGGGGATATTGGTAGCTACAATGCATCTGCGCCATCCCTTGTCGAGTTTGGCGATAAGTTCCGACGTGTCTAGTCTCTAGGAGTGTTGAGGCAGAGGACGCCAATTCAGAGTTTTCCCGCCACGACTTCAGTCTGTTGACTGGAGGCAAGAAAGACCAAGATATAGACGGAATGTCGATGCGCTCCCATCGTCATGGCAAGTGCATCAAAGTCGGAAATAATTGACAAATGTTTCTCAATACACTGTCGAAATGGGGATTCTCAAGCGCAGGCTGGGTCGTTGGCTCAGGGTCTCCTTCATCAGTGCCAGTAATATGTTCAATACTCCTTTCGTGACACTCGTTCATGGTCACACACCTACAAACGTCAGTATTTTTGTGTACTTGGGGAAAGTCCGGCAACATATACGCACTCACTAATGGCTGCATCATGTTAACTCTGTCTGAGGAGTATGCCCTCAGTCACAAATTTGAGAGCAGTCTTGTCGCTGACGAGCCTAAAGATTTAATGTTGAAGTCCGACTTCTTCGCAGAGTAGAAAGTCCATTCCAAGTGTAACACGAGTGATGACACTATGAAATAGCGCCTTTAGGTATAGACAATGTGATAGAAGATATAAACGATCGGTAGATCTTAGTGGTTCAAGAAAGGGGCCGCCAATTCACGACAAGCTTGGGGCGGTCCCAGAAGAGAACCTGTTGCCCATTTACAAGCATCTGCACCTAGAAATGGATTGACGAGAAGAGTGCGTGTTGCTGAGGAGATTAGAGCCCTCCGTAGTCAATCCGGTTGCGCTGAGAAAGTGCCACTGCCGTCGCACTACCTGACAGCTGGCAGCCAGCTGGTAGAAAGTCGAAGAAACAAAAAGCATTCACTGAACCTGCCACAATCCATAAACGCGCGTCATGCGGAGATATAAGTTCCTCTCTCGTCTTCACCCTCTGAAATTCATTCTCTCCTTCATCTTCCCACCCAACACATCCCCAAACATCTGCGCCTCTACTGAGAGACGCAAAAGATCCCACTGCCACCATGGCATCCAATCATAGCGAGACCGACGAGAATGGTATGCAGATCCCCCTCCAGAAGGATCTCAAACAAGACAAAAGACTGAACAGCCGTGAAGAGGACATGACGCCCGAGTTTAGGGAGATGCCTAAAGGTCTAAGAGACGCCGACATCGACGACAAGCTGGAGAACGATGAGGATGCCGCCCGCTTCCTCACATTGATGGAAGGCGAGCACATCCGGGCCCACGACTGGGAACCCATCAGAAAGGTTCTTCAGGATGAAAGTTCCTCGAAGCTAGATCTCACCATGCGCGTCCACGAACTGTTCAGTAGTCTCATCGGAGACATTATCAAAGCGGGACGCCCTTTCTGGTCTTCCGAATCGCCATCGGAGCATTTCAACTACGAAGCCATGAGCTCTGCGCCGTATCATGTAGCGCGTATGCTTGGATTGTTCAACGCAGAAGACAAGCGAGACGCGCTGTATGTCTGGTCTGAACTAAAAGATCAGATACCCAAGGAGGAACACAAAATCTGGCATGCGATCGACATCTTCTCCTCGGCCTATCGAAACCCCTTAGAGGCGGACTAGCAGTGCATTATACTGGTTTTGAAGCATGTCTACAGTTCGAGGCCCTTTTTGCACCAGGTCTCTCTCCTCATCAAGCTCATCGACTATGTTGGCTACCCTCCTGACGGATGGCCTGAAGGACTTGAAGATCCCCTTGGACAGAACCGGCGACATCATTGAACGCCGTAAGGTGAACACTTTTCTCCATGTCGGGATGGAAAATGGAACCACGCTGCTATAGCGGTGAACTTGCTCACATGTGGCGCTCAAGCGTATTTCGCCATCAATGCCGCCGAGGTTGTGCAGGTCATGGACTTGGGTATACGAGCCCTGTTAATTGGACCCGATGGTAGAATTAAAGGAATAGTCTACTGTTCATTAGTTCAAACAATGAATATCAATACGCGTCTACCCGTCTTTTCCAGTGATGTCAAAAAGTAGCGTTTTCAAGTGTGATTGTGATCTTCGTGAGGTTGTCAACTGGACCCTGGCCCACTAGAGGCATAAATGACGAAATAATCATGTAGATTCATGCTATATAGACTACACGTTAAGGCTATCTACTCTTGCACACTAAGGATGGAGATAACAGCTATTCTGCTACCCTCCAGGCCGTGCTTGCGGCGGTTTCGGGAATCCTTCCGTGAGTCCCATGGTTCCCAGCATGTCCTCTGGGGACAAAATCCACATCTGTAGCCGTAATCGAAGAAAACACTCCAAAAGAATTCCATAACGACAATGAACCGCGGGGGAACCCAAGTTAATGGGAGCAACGACACCAACCTGTCGACTATGTAGTTGACATAAGTGTCATCTCCAAAATAAAGTAAAAACAACAACGCAAAGGGTCATCGTGCCAACCTGCGGGGGACCCCGAGTTAATGGGATCCTGGTCCGCAGCCGACGGGAGGTAGTACTCCGCGACCCCAAGTGAATGGAAGCAACGGTATAATCCCTTCGCCCGTGTAGTTATTAGAAAACAAGTAATTAAGGTCAAAGGCCTCCTTGAAAAACAACAACAGCAACACGTCCCAGTGTTGGAAAATGGTTCGCCTTCCCGCGCTCATACCCGCGTTTGTGTTGACGGGTTTCTAGGCGGGAGATTCTTATCGTTCATGGTTCGTACTCCCTGCGATTGTGTTCCGGTTTGCGTAGCAGTTCGTGTTGGCTGCAATAGAGTTGCTGTTCGAGTAGTAGTTCTAGTTTTAGTCTGGAGTTTGGCTAGCTTGCTACCACCACGCGCGTTACCTCGTGCAGCCCTAGAAGCCGAATGTCTACCATCGTGAATTGTGGGTAGATTTGGATTTCGTGGGGGCTGTCGAGGGTTCGTGGTACATGCTTAGCTCAACTTGTGACCGGATTCTACATGACAAACTCGTCGTCGTCAGGTTCAGGTAGCAGGTCGGGGTTCTCGAAAACATCAACCATAGGTGCGACTCGGATGATGTGCCATTGTAGTTCATTGTCCACAGCTCAGCGGCTGGGCAATGTGGTGGACGCTGACGAGGGTTGCAGACGGCTGAACGGCCTGGAGATGTGCTAGTCTAGTGAGCAGCAGAGACGTTAGCCTCCTAAGTTTTAAAATAGAAAGATAAATAGTCTAAGAACTGTAGTCTCAAGAGAATAAAGCGACCTACCAATTTCGTTTCTTATTTTATACAGTTCTATTCCCCTCTGGTTAGTAGACAATTCTTCATCATCTTTTAAACATGACAGAGGAACCGCCAATATAGTAGCCACATGAGCTGCTTGCAGTCGAAAATATTGATGCATAGGACAAGAGCGGATCTTTGCCTCAATCGCCTTGGTATATTCGTACCGAAAGTCTTTAGAGCTTTCCAAGTCACTCTCAAGCATCTGTAATAACATCAGCTCAGGCTGGTAGTCGGGAAGAGTGTGATTCCATCCCATCAACCGAGCATTCTAAAACATTTCATTGAGAATACATAAAAAGGGCAGCGAATGATGTTTCAGAGATGTCAACGTGTTTGAGAGACACGAGTTGTACTCTGCCAGCCTCTTTTTCGAATTCGCGATCCGAACCAATCTCCCTGCAACATCCAATCGACACGTCTAGGTAGGCATCGTGTCACTTCCGACCTTCCAATATGGCGTAAATAGGACTGGCTGACGTTCCCGAAGTGTTCTAGATTGTTTCACATTGTGACGTTGTGGCACGGTCCGCTTGTCAAAGTACCACTAACTGATTCTTGTTCGACTAGTTGCCGTTCTAGTCTGGGGTTACTGTGCCCTGCCGTTCTTTAGGGTTGTACTCAGACGGGGTACTTTGTCAACCAATGACAGCAAATACTTCTGCTACAAGATTGTAGATATGTACACAGCAAGGAATTTGGTAAAGAGCAACAGAGCAAAGGTCGGATAGCTGATAGCCTGAATATCAATATATATTCTCCTTTGAGGCATGGCTGAGTTGACAAGTCACTTTGACAAAAGGGAATAGCTTACAAGATGCCACTTTGCATTGCAATTCAATCTATTACCCACCATAGGTCAATTAAGGCGACTTACAGATAAGACAGCATTCGAAATCCCTAATTTGCCAACCTTGGACGAGTGTCGAGGACGGCAGAAACGACTAGACTGACCGAGATAACTGAGTGAAATCCATTTCATCTACGTATCACATACCTTAAGTAAGTTCCCAACATGCTTCAAGTCGAAACCAGCTCGAGACACCTTCTCCCGGGGATACAGCTGGTGAGACCCTGGCAAGGGGTAACCTGTAGTTGCAGAATGTGGCGTGCTGAACTGCGTCAGCCGCAGCACCAACTAGTCCACATATTCCCTCGACATCCTCTTGCTGACTGAACAGGAGAAGTATGGAACTTTAACAACAGAACTGTTCATCGACGAATAATATGTAGTCCCGACTGGAATCTTAATCCAGTTCCATTACGGGGTTTACAATCATAGCGTATACAATACTCTGACACGCACGCAAGGGGTACATCTTCTTCTCGACGAATAACTAGGATTCTAGAACCCCGTAATGGTCTCTCTCAACTCTCATGCAGTGACTTCCATCCAGTCTCTACCAATCGGATACCTTCTTGCTGATGACACCGTCCTTCAGCCAGGTACCACCGTTGGTAGCATAATCATAGTAATATCTTACCACCTTTGGACGTCCCCACTCATCCTTTCCTGAGACAAACAGCGAAAGATCTGCCTTGTTATCCGGCCAAACAAGGGCAGAAGCTGAAAGAACGGCGTCGTTGTCAATCCAAGTCTTGGGATTATCATCACCGAGAGTACCCAACTCCCATCCATTGGTCTTGTTAAAGGCCACCTCCTGGATATAACCTCGCATCTCACATTGTCCATTCTCAGGGGCGACGCAGTAAATGCGGATCTAGTCCCGTTAGTTTGCTCTTTGACAGGCGTCCATAAACATACCTCCTGTTGTCTCTCGCCTTTCCAAGCCATTGCAGCGATTTGTCTACTTCCGCACTTGACTTTCAGTTTCCCGTTTGTGACTTTGACGATGTGATGTTCAAAGTCTTGAGTATTTCCATTGGGAGAAAGAAGGTAGCAAAGTTCATGGTTGGAATTGACAAAGAAGATGTAGGTTTTGCTATGGTATTCGATAGCAGCGATATCCCTGGGAAGTTCGTTGAAAATTCTGCTAGAAGCCATGATTTGCGGAATCGGAGTGATTAAATAACTGAATAGGATGTGTGTGATAAGGTCTTTGTTGAATGGAAATCAAATTCAGCATTGGTGCCCAGGATATCCTTTGCTTTTATAATCCCAGTATTCGCGCAGATCCTTCTACCGATACTTCATCATTTATCTTGTATCCATAGGCACCGCTCACAAGCGCCTCATACTCTGTATATTGCGGTGAGCAAGATGGATGTGACTCAACATACATTCACAGCAACTCGCGACCATTGCCAGGCATGTAATCACCTAGCCATAATGTCTCAAGTCGGCTATGAAGGAATACCAGGCTGTTCAGAGGCTGGCTGATAGATCTCTCAACCATATCTAATTGAGGACTCGGTCGAGACTTGTACAGCCCATCCTAACTAGTACCTATCACTTTGTACCCATGACTACTGAATATAATTAATGAGACTGGCCTTTCAGAGACACGCTCGGCGCGTGCAATACGACGTCCATGTCTGATAAACTAAAACCTCATCATGCGTAGTACGTTACAAACCAATTATTTATATGTAGGGAGTCTGTATGGCGTACACGATTGCCAAATACGAACATTCAGCGCTGTCTTGATCGTTGGAAACTGCCGATCGTAGCTGTTCTGGCTTCACCTAGTCGTCGCTTGATCCAAACCAGTTTGAGCTATGGCTAACACGCCTCATTTCAATGTCGGCCCAGATCAGCCAGCCACTCAAAACACCCAGAAAGAACTACTATCATTCTAAAGCAAGGGATGTTGGTCAAATACACAACATCACATACATTACATTGCACGCATTCCGACGACACGATCATCTGTCTCCCTCCCTCGCATGGAGGAAGTACATCCGTTTGAAAGGGACAAGATGATTCCAGAGCCTCTATCGCAGTGACCCTGGATAGCCCATCCTTGGTCAAACTCAATTCCTCGAGTCTCAGTTATAGCTCTGAACAGTTGTACAACCCGATCTAGACTTCGTCTGTTCCTAGGATAAGCTGGTTCGAGTTTCTGAGTAACCCCTTTTCAACTTCACCCTAGATTTCTGAAAATTCTACTTAATATGATCCTCTTTCCTCGCTCTTCTTGGAATCCCCAACGCCGAGCTACAGCTGCATCCAACCCCTCATCGCCCTCCGAGTTCAGCTATTCGCCATGTTTTCTCGATCATTTCCTCGAGCCACCATCGTGGCGACTCTCTGTCTGACAGCTCTAGTGTCCGGTGCGGTTTGTAAGTTTTGCTCATACAAATGCCGGAAGTCAAATACCTGCGACACCTTTTAGTAACTACAAATAGCACATGATGATCATACTGTCACCACGGAAGCCTCCCACGCAACATCCAGGAGGGCAGGTCAGCCGACCGACGTCCATGGTAATGTGATGAAGGCTTGCGGTAGCCATATCTCACTGTGCGGTGTCGAGGACGAAGACAACGTTATACTTGTTCCGAAAACCACGATAACCAAGACCAATAATATCACGTCGACATCAATAAAGGTAACATCACTCAAAAACGCCTTCATGTTGAAAGAAGACTAATCCATCAATCAGAGACTTAAGCCTACAACCTCGGTCATTGTTGAGATCTCGGTGTTAACTGTCACGGACACAACCAAGGGTAAGAGATTCTAACATGTTCAATCCTATGATACATATCTGACTTTGGAAATATAAAGGTCACTGCCGCAAGACCGTGATTGCCGCCGGTCCACCTGCTGAGGTCACTGTTGACGTTACAATTGTTGCCGTCCAGGAAATACAAAAGGTTGAAAGAATTACCACAGTCTCGGTCGTAACAACAACCGCCAGTGTAGTCGAGCAATGTTTCCTCGAAAAGCACAATGGCTTGGGTCACATGCCGGAATATCGAGGGCCTGAATCGTCAAGGGTGGTGACACCACACCTTTCTTCAACCCAGACAGCCAGCCCGGCGGGATTCACTGCAGATTTCGATCAACCTTCTCATGACTCTACTCCTAACGATATGGAAGGGGGCCTACATGGACAGGGCGTGTACGAACAGGGTTCAGATGAATGAAGGCTCTGCTTCACTACGGACTTTCAAAAAATGATCTAGCAAGTCGTAAAGGTGGTAAGAGGGGACGATTATGGGATAGAGGTTTCGTCTTTATTAGGATGGTGGAGTCAGCATTAGATTTCTGTAACATTTTTGGTCAATCGGCATCGTTTCAATTAGGTGAAGTGATAATGTGCAATCTAGTGGGCTGCATAAAAACAACCCCCTAAGTCCTAAGTCTTGGGGTATAAAATAAGTAGTCTAAGGGCATAACGTTACCTACTAGGCTCACCTCTTACGCTTCGAGGGCCAAATTGTTTCTACTAGCTTGAGGCTAATTAACTTAAACGGTTGTCCTTATGTCCTTTGATACAACTCGGGGCAGCTGTAGAGATTTGTTTATTTATACATCGGCTGCCTAAACTTAGTTTGCTTTTCCGTGCTGGTTTTTAACAAAGGTTCATATGTCTGCGCAGATCAACTTTTTGATAAATCTTCAGACTAAAAGCTTCTCTAAATATGAGCTTTTTGTACAACACATTTAACTTATACAGCAGCTGCCTGAACTCTATAATATTGGTTATATAGGAAGCTCCTCAAGCCGTACAGACAGTAGTAACTTCATCCTCTTCCAACCCCACTCAATCTTCGCAGACGTTTTGCACCCGATCTACCACAACGTCAAGTAGTCTTTCAATCCCGGTCCATACCTTCCTGCACATTACTAACCACTTTCCCAGGTTTCGCACAACAAAATGGCAGCGACTATCGAAGGAACCAATCCCCCGTACGACGAACCACATAAGTCGGGTCTTGAAAATACCCTGCTAATTCGGTTGGTTTGGGCAAAGACCATCGAGCATCAAATCCAGAGAGATACCCCCGGATATAAACTGACAGCAATGCACGCTGCGATCATCTTGTGCGTTCTTATTGATGAGCTGGGGAGAGGCAAGCTTAGCGCTCTAAACGTAACTGGGCCCTTTCTCAAATACCGTCTGGACAGCTTTGGCGCTCTGGTCAAACTCTGTGAGTTTCATTTATCCCAACCTAACTGTATATGCTAACCCATTTAAGACATACAAGACCAGAAGATGAGTCGCGTCGCGGACCTTATTAGTCTAGTCTCCCGAAAGCAGGATGAGAATATGGAATACTGCCTTCGAGACTATCTTGTAGCGCTGAAGTCCCACGGCTGGATGCCTGTCAAGGATGACGACGAATCCGATAAACGAGATAAGGTTGTCAAATTACAGTTCCATTGGCTTGACAACCAATCACGTGAAGCCACTAAGGAGATACCCCTTACAAGTGGCAATTTGAGTATGAAGGCGATGGCCCAACGGCAAATCCAATTTGAGAAAGACGGACACCCCTCTCCCTTCCGGTATTCGAACGTTGACCACAGCTCGGCCGCTAGGGGGAACGTTGTCACCACTATCCTATCAGGATACGTTGGTGAGGCCGAGTTGCATCTCCGGGACCCCGAAAAGTTCAAGGCAGAGCTTGAACAAAAATGGATTATCGCCCGAGTTGCCGCCATGAGTGGCGCTGCCGAAATTCCCGACTTGCTCCTTATACCTGAGTTGACCGTATAGAACTTGGTCACTGGAAGTCAAGCTCCGCAACACCCAACCTGGGGCACATCGTGGTACCAGAGACGTTGACCGCGAAAAGGATAAGACACAAAATCAGCAGAATTAGTGAGCAAGTTTATGCAACTTAGGTTCCACTCTTGAATTATTTATTTTCATAGCCTAAGGATCAAAGTTCAACTTGTCTCCTGGTATCTTCGAACAGAGTTCAGAATAATGAGAATGACTGGTCAGGCTCCAATTCACCATCCGCTTGTCATGCATATTCTGAATGCTGGAGTCAGCATCAACGTCCGGTAACATGACGGATCGATCAACATCACATGGATCGAGACTTTATAAATGGTGGAAATATGTCATTAATGTATATGGCCTTCATATCCTTGGTCATAATTCCCCTCCTGATTCAAATGTGTCGAAAATTACCATCAAATCAATGTACTAAATAGCTCTCCATCCATTCAAGACTTATCTACGTTCCGAGATGAGTTCCTTGTCTCCAAAGTCAGGACTGAGGTTGTTTCCTTCGACATGCTTTGTGTCCGGCTTCTCCTGGGGGTAATGACCATCATTGGCAGCAAACTCGTACAGGGGAGGGAAAGGAGGAACATCTTGGCGAAGGAAGTACTTCTTTATGTACCAAGGAAACTTTCGCACATAGTAGGATGCGTGCTCTCGGTTGCTTACACCAAAAACCATGTCGAGTTCTTCGAGAGTCAAGTTCTTCGTCTCGGGGAGAAGGAAGTAGCAGAAAGTCCAACCAAAGATATTCCAAGCTCCGTACCAGCTGAGAGCACCAGTTATACCGAATGCCCGTTCCAAGGCTGGCCAGGTGAAGCTGATGATGAAGTTGAATCCCCATGTGATGGCAGTACTAGATGCCATACCGATATCTCGAATATGAAGAGGGAATGCTTCCGCACTGTAAGTAAAAGGGACAGGGCCGAGACCAGGTGAATAGACAGCCATAAAGAGATAAAGACCTGTGGTTACGGTGCCGATGAGAGTCTTCTGGTCGCTGATGTTGAACACGCCGCCAGTGAAAAAGAGACATGCCGCCATGAGAGGGAAGGTAACAAGAAGCAGGTTTCTTCGACCGAACGTGTCAATAGTATAGATGGCAGGAATGGCGAAGAGGAAGTTGATGATGCCTCCTCCCATGGAAACAAGAAGGGCCTCGGAGAGGCTGTAACCGGCGTTACGGAAGATGGAGGTAGAGTAATAGGCAATTACATTGACACCACAGAACTGCTGCATGTACTTTTCAACTTCGTTAGTACAGTTGTTATAAGATCAGAAGTGATTCGTCTTACCATGCAGAACCAGGCACTCTGGGCAGCACGTCGGTTTCGGCGAACAGTGAAGAATTCCTTGACCAGATTTCGACCCTCTCTTTCACTGCGCTCGATCTCAAGTAGCTTATAGGCGTAGTACATGTCTCGGGTGGCTTGAACAGAGTTGAATCGAAGCTTTCGAACAGAGCGAAAGGCCTTGTTGTAATCGCCCCGTTCCATGTACCAACGAGGACTCTCTGGGCAAAAGTAGACTTGAAGCATGACAATCAGTGGAGGCACAGACGTAGAAGCCATCATCCATCGCCAGGGAGAGTTTGGGCCGCCAATGAAGGTCACCTTCTCAAAGGCAACACAAACAACAAACCCAAGAGCAATACCAAAAGCAGTCCACATTTGCCACATCATTGTGAGAGCACCACGAATATTCTTAGGTGTGCATTCAGCGGAATAGACAGGGGTGGTACTGGATTTGGCACCAACAGCGAAACCAAGCATTAAACGAGCAACAATGAAGTTTGCGAGACTATTGGAATATTAGTAGTGTGGGACGAAAAATAGGAAATAATGACTCACTGGGTGGTAGCTGCCATCCAGAAACCAGTAATAGTCGAGATGGCACAAGAGATGAAGATAGTTCCGCGGCGACCGGTGTATTTGTTGAGAATAGGACTGGTCCAACATCCGACGAGGGCAGAGCAGAGGTAAGGAGCCCCGTTAAGGAAACCTTTCATCCATTCGTTTTCGATCTCAAATTCGTCAAAGTAGAATTCCTAAATTTTGTGTTAGAACCTGAAAAAATATGATTATAATTGGAAACGCACCTGAGCACCGTTGACAGCGGTCTGGTCCATACCCTGCACGATAGCAGATCCAGCACAAAGTGTGCAAAGGAAATACAAGGCAAAGGGTTGATGCCATCGAGAAGTCTCCTCCTTCCGGAGAATAGCCTTCTCCTCTTCGGTCACAATGTCAATCTTCTCAAATGCTCCTGGGGTGTTGTTGACCTGAGCGACAAGAGCACCCTTTCGAAAGTCCTCACGGTGCTCTTGGAGACCCTTGGAGTCGACGAAAGCGTCAACGTCAGCAAGGAGCTCTGCTCGGGTCATACCTGCTAGAGGGTTGCGCAGCAGAGTAGCCTTGGAAACGCGGCGTTGGCCGCCAATGTTGTTGGGATTGTCGTTGGCAAATGTGCCATTGCTGCTAGAGTTGCGATGGCTGTCATTGATGTAATCCTCCGGGTTTGGAGCTTCGTTATCCACTTTTGGATACGGCATGATGCCGGTTGATCAGATCTCTTTGTTCAAGCAAGACAGAATAGAGACTACACAAGCAAACTGACAAGCTTTGGGATCTGGGGAAATGATTGGGGCCCCGGATTCCTGTTGATCAAATGCGTTGCTTGGAATGTAACGGGGAAAAGAAAAATCTGGAGAAAATGCTCGCAATTAATACATTTTCATCCCAGGATTCGGGCATACTCCACAGGATAACCAAAGCGTTTGATGCTGGAGGAGTGGAGAGTTCGCCAAGATGATCGACATGTTGTAGTGCCGTTTTGTTTGGCTGGGCGCGGCTCAAGGCTCGGTGTATCCTTGTCTGGGCAACCCGGTTTATGACGTTGGCCCAGAAGACGTGAGAAGGAAGTGCTCATTCTGGTGTTTTTTGCTGCTAATGTCGGGGTTGGCGAGTTGCTTGGTGATGACGCGGCGGATGTAACAATGTTGAAAGGGGAAGAATTATGCTGTGTGATTGTTGTTTTCTTCACAGTGGGGGGTCCTCCCCTTGATGGAATTTGGTGTTTCCTTTTTAATTCCACAGCAGGCGGGCTCTGGATTAGCACATGCTTCCTAAGCCTCAAGACACAGACAGTCGTGAAATTGCCAAAATAAAGTTCGGTTCTAATTGAATTGATCAACCAGCGATCATCGGCTTCACCAAACCTGTTAAACCCGTTCCCCACCAAACTAAAAGATGTCTCTCCCGCACTACGATCGCTAGCCTTGAAAGGAACGCGACCCTTGTCCGTGGGGCTTCCAAAACTCTACTCGATTAAGCTTAAATGGGTGACCCTCACGCGACAAGGGTATCTTGGCGCTAGGCTGGGCGTGCGTCAGAGTCTGTCGAGCAAACATGGATAATTCTTGACGTCAATTTTCTTTGTCTCACAGCAAGTTTTCTTATTGCAGAAGTGACATCGGATATCCCTTAATGTGTTTGGATGTCCTGGGCTACCCCGAGTTTATTGCACGTGGAAGAATAAGCATATCTCTCCACACCAACCAAGTTTCTGTCTCCCACAATATTTAGATAAACTCAATCCATCATCAACTGAGCCAAGCTACCAAGGCTTTGTAATCTGCAGTTAGTGCAACATTACCCAGTGTAAGTACCCTGACATTTGGTACCACGGCATGTCTCACAGCTTCTCTCGGCTTGTCTTGGTATGGAGAAAGACCCAATATTTAATTCTGTTGCCTAGCGATCCTGGCTGGCTGGCCTCAGGGTATTTGCCAGAATCACCATCTATGGGAAGCACAACGAACAGAATTAGTGGATCAATCTATGTTCATTACACCACATTTCTTAGGCTCTTTCTTCTTACATTCTAAAACCAGAGGTCAATCTTCTACTTGCCTGGTAAGTCGTATGTAAGAGAAAGCTTCATAGTCTCATATCAACTGAAGCCTCTTCACTGGCACACCCCTTTTCAACAATGCTCCTTCTCTCATACGAGGATCTTTCAACGGATCCTTGACATCGTTCTCTTTATGCAACCAAAGGGGAATCTTGCGACCGTTGATTGTCTGAATGACTTCGTAAAAGCCATCCTCGAGAGGAACATCGTCAAGCCGTGGGTCGGTGTAACGCAAAATTCCCTCTTTGTGGAAAGCAGTCTGAAACAAACCCCGATCCCATAGCCTCTCCCAGCCAGAAACTTCGTTTCCAAGTAGCGCTGTCCCGTCTGCAAGTCCTGGGTGGTAGCATGAGCCTATAACAGAGTATGTGTTCGGTTTGGTCCCTGGACGTAGCACCAGCGGTTGATCTAAACCAAGAATGACTACCACCAAGTCACCCTTGAGACTCTCTGGTGGAACCCGTATGTAGCAATCTTTCCTAGTCTTCACGCACCCACTTGCATATATTTCTCCAGGTGTAGAGCGTTGATATACCTCATCCGGATCTACTGTGTCATGGCCATCTTTCAAGTCGCCATTTATCAGCCCTCGTATTTTGTTCCGCCAGTCCGCAATGGAGCGCAGTGGGCTTCTTTCCATTGGATCCAATGTCTCAATGTAATAATCTCGGACAGATCCATATGTCAGTGCCATAATCAACGGATCGAGGCGCGTGTCATCCTGTAGTAAGTCCTTACTACACAGACTTTGCACTGCGTCAGCAATCACCTCAAGATATCCCGCAGGCGTATGTAGGAGAGTCTCCTTTGCAGGTATTAGAAGAGGAGCCCCGACCAACTCGTCACAAAAGACTCCAGCTACCTCTAGCACACCGGGTTCAATAAGACATGCTTCAGGAACTGATTTTGGAGCGACATTACCGTCAGTCACGGCTAAGGCGAAAGGCCTCCCCAAGTCAGCTACCCAGCTCGGACTGACAGGTGCTTTACAGTAGCCCAAAAACTGGAGCGACTGTTCTCGGAAAAGGGTATCAAGGCATACTGAAGCAAAAACCTCCTTGGTAGACTTAGTATAGTCAACTTCAATGGCCTGGGCTGCCTCAGGTTCTACCAAACCACGGCAGGCAAATACCTTGTCTCGGTCGTCAGAGCATTGAAAAGTCGACGACCATAGAATAGCAGGCATCAAAGTACAATTACCGCGGTAGTTTTTTATTTGAGCTTTTATGGTGAAGGTTGTTACGTTAGAGCTGTAACGAACGGGATCAAGTCTCAAATCAGGTGCCGGCTGTTTGAATGTAGACACAAACAAGAGGGTATCCTTAAACGTCGCCCACATCATTTCCTCGTGGCCGAGAGCAACAGTACAAGTCCTTTCGTCTGCCAACGCTACTTCTTGAAGCGTCCACAAGCGCTTGTGCCAGTCCAAGTCCAGCAGGTGCTCTATAGCTCTCCATTGTTCCGTACTTAGTGGAAGAGGGGTGTCTGGGTCATGAATCCGAGGGTCTGCTGTTTCCCTGGAGTTGTAATACATAGTGGTATGCTCAACTGAATAATTTGATGATTTGATTTGGTTCCCCGCCCAGCGTAGGGTATTCATGGCAGTAGTAGACCAAGAGGTTTCAGGGCCAAGCCATATCATAACCTTGGCAGCAAGGCTATAGATTTCGGTCATGCGTTTTACTTGCAACGAACGCTCGGCGAGGTCCTTTTGATTGATACAGATGGCATCACACCAAATGATTCGTTCTTGCTGGGGGTGGCGAAGTTGCCGTAGAGCTGCGGCTAGATTCCTCCCGATGTCAACATCGCCTCCTTCGCCAGACCAGACTCGCTCTTTGAGTAGGATGGTGTCTGGCGATGACTGATCTCCCCAACAGTAGGATAATGCCTCATAGTAAGGCGGCTCCCTGTCTTGATCGAGATCATCAACAAAAAGAGTACCGGCAAGAGGATCTTGAGGGGCTCCAGGGTGCAAAGCTAAGAACCGAATTTGCTGAGAGTTAAGAACAGAATATTGAAACAGAGGCATCATGACAAGTAATAGCCAATGGCATAGATTGGAATGCTCGTGTTGAAGATTTGAGATCAGATGCTACAGAAGCACAAGTGGGGATGGGATGGCCCCGCTGTTATGCACAGTCAGCTTTCGTGCATCATACGATCATTGAGAACACTGATGAAAGTCTCATTTCTATGGTGACGCTTTCAAGGTTTGAGATATAACCATAAATAATCTTAATCTCTATTCTAGGTACGAAAAACCAAAGTACTATCTTCTTTTCTTAATAATTCTTTCGTATACTCAGGAAATAAATCCTCGGGCTTGGGGAGCAGCTCAGGATGTTCGGCTCCGCCACTCAAAGCAGCAATACAGAGTAAGTTCCATTGGAGGTCCAGCACCATCTTGCAATCTGAATATTAAGGTTGCTTCCTGAGGCTCAAGCTTCTATGACTCAAAGCTACAGGGCAAGAGAAATATTCAGAGTTGGGCTTTGAAGATCGTGCAGATTCATCGACTCAAAATTAAAATGAGACAAAGCTGTAGACAGAGAGAAATTAACTATTATACTTCCAAAATCATACAAGACTACCAAGTGAAGGTTTCTTTTCTAAAACAAAAGAGCCCGCAGCTTCCACAAACATGCCCTACCCTTCCCTCGTTAGTTAGGAAGGCATAAAAGGTTTAGCCTAAGCTTTAGAATATGAAAATAAATAACCTAAACGTTTGATCTAAATATCCTAAGCCAGGTAACTTGGCAGTCTCGCGAGTTACCCAACTGCCTATTCATGTTGACTGGAACTTGAACCTGAGGGGTTGCCACGTTAACAGACCGTATAGGGATCGTAAATTCCATTGATATGCAGCTCTTGTGCCTCGTGTATGTTTGGCCAAAGTTCAAGTCCGGAGTCGGAAATTGCAGGGTTTCTTAAACAGCAGACATTTGCGTTGTTAGAGACGCAGTCCCATGTTCAACTGTCTGGTTTGATCTACGAAATTCTTTTGCACAGACTGCTTATCTAACGGAATAATCCCCCCAACGCAAATAATTTTCTTGTTGCTGCGGAGTGACTGATCTTAGATAGCATGCGGTCAACTCGTGGATGTGTAACTGATGATGTCTGTAATACTCTTTGTCTACATCTCTTGGTTAATATTGATTGTATCTGTTGAATCAATACTTTAGTGTGACATGTCGAGTATTGTCATGGTGATGAACAACTGATGCTGTCTCTCCTAAATCACTACTTCGATATTATTCAAATACCGTCCACTCGTCTATCCATGGCCATTATTTCAAACATTTCTACTAAACGTTCATGAATCAAGTTAGACAAACATATTTTTGCTGTCTGTTTGCAACTCTTTGTGGTCTTTTCAGGGGAGTGACCTTGTACCGCCCCAAAGGCATCTTTAGGCGCCCCTGATTTCAAGTTTCAGCAGGGTGCCCCCGATCTCGCACCAAGTCTTCTGCTTGATTCCATCATTGCATGAGCTGCAGCTACGAAACGCGTCACTGTACAGTGCCTTCCCCGGTTGCCGCGTTCTGGTTGCCTAATCCTTAGGGCTAGCCTTCCTCCCGCACTTTTTATCTCCCCCTCCTTCCTTCCTCACCACAACAATATCTCGAGCAGTTTGGGAAGTCACCTTGAGGCTTTCGAATCAAGGAAAGAAGACTCTCTCTTCTCTTCTCCACTTCTTTTCCCTTTCCCCTCCATTCCCCTGGTACTGATTACCAGGTTCCACAGCTCCTCTGCGCTCGTCAAACACACTCACTCGCTGCCCACCCCTGCACCGTCCGAGAAAATGTGTGTTGAGCTTATCACCCTCGCTATGTGCTCTTCGGCCAGCACTGATCGAGAGCCCGTCTACTGTGGACGGTTCCACCTAGTCACTGGTGAGCGCATCGTCTGCGACGAGGCCAGTTGCAAATGCATCTACAGCTTTGGCACCTGCGGTAAGATCGAGACCGAGTCTCCCGCTGGCTTCAGCGTTTCGGACATCATGAACCTTCCGTGCATCCCTTGTGCTACCCGCATGGGCGACCGCCTGAAGAACCAGGAGATTCTCGAGCCTTTCCTCATCAAGGGTTCTCATCTCCACGGAGAGTACCTAGAGCAGAAGCTCAAGGTTCTCCAGGCCGCTGGGCATGAAGATTCCACCTGCCCTTCCCATGGTGAGGGCTCTGCCACCAAGGGCAAGGCCACTGTCGAAGAACCCGCCAAGAAGCATATTGTGGCTCGGATCAACACCAAGCTTGCTGTTTCTTCAGCTCCTGCTGAGGCCTCTGTCGACGAGGTAGGCCTCCACTCAGAGGGCTCTGAGTCTGCTCGCACTCATGCCGCTAAGCACTATGGAGAGGATTCTGCTTCCGCTGCAGACCCTTGGACGGGTGCTCCCATCGTCACTGAGCCTTACAACGCTGAACATGCCATGACTAAGTCTACCATCACTGAGACTCCTTTCGAGAAGGATGATGATGAGTCCGCTGTTGTCGCCAACGACAATGGTGGCGAGACTTCCATCAAGGCTGGTTCTGACGCCGGCAATGGTAAGTGCTTCTATTGACACATCACTTGAGATTCCATGCTAACATTCTTTTTACAGGTAATGAGAAGGGACTTGAGGACGACACCACCCCCATCACTCGCCGTGCTGTCAACTTCCAGTACAGCGCTGAGGCAGCTGACAAGCTGCGTGACACGACTGAGAAGTTCGCCTCTCTTAAGTCTGGATTCCTCATGGGCAAGGCCTTTTAATCTGGACGCACATGGAAGTGGCGGAATGAAGGTAGCGGAGATCAATATGGCGAGGACAAATGGGAGTTGCATCTGATGATAGTTTTGATCCATAGGCCGGCTTCTTCAAAGCAGCCTGCAATCAGAATACAATTTCATCTCAACTCAGTACTAATTACCATGACATATTTCTACAGTTTGCCTCCAGACAGCTTGCCGAGTGACCACGAATGTTTCTGCTTCTCGATAGCAAAGCGAGGCAGAAGTATGTTTGTCTAGTGCTGACGGGAATAGACAGGCTTTAACGAATCCACAACACCAAACACCAAGACAAATTCTGCAGTCATTAGGATCCTCCCGTATCACACAGCATCCTCTATAAGTTTTCGCTAGAAACACCAGGTCATGCTGTTTATTGATCTGCGAACAAGGTCTGTATTTCCCATTCATTACTCATTCCTAGAAACGGCAAAGCGTTGACAAATACGGGTTGACCAGGCTAATGAATAGCAAAACCTTTAGCTTCCACTCTTCTTAGGTGAGTCTTAGGATACAGAACTAAACGGCCTAAAGATCATGATCTAAAGTGACCTGCTAATTTTATCTCTTAGGGTTCCAGCGGCCGATGTTTATGATAGATACCCTGAGGAACGACCAGGCGCTAACAAATACCAATTGACCAGGGTTAGAGACTTGACACCTGGCGATGGTTCTAGCCAATCAATCGCATGTCCATCCCAAGCTGAAAGTCCCTGCATCGCAATTAGGATCCTTTTTTCTTCTACGTCCCGAACTTGTACACATCTCATTATAATAGAGTGGACAAATTTCACCCAGTCTTCAACAGCAAACTCACAAGTTAGAGCGCTACCCTCGGAAGATCTCCAATCGTGTCTTTGTTTGTCCCCACTGCAGGTTCTGCCAACTCAGCAGCGCCGTGGCAGTTTCAGGGCCTGCCTTCAAGGAATCAGAAAGATTCACCGCTAGAAGCATAAGAGACGAGATCAGTAGGTCATTTCATGGGACTTAGACCATATTCTCAGGCTGTTTATTGTTGTACCCTAAGAATGGGACGCTAACTTTTCTACTACTCGGCAGGCGCCGTGACAGCTTCAGGGTCTGACCAGGGCCAGAGGGTCCACCAAACCCCTGAGACAATGTCGACCGATGACGCTCAAGTTGCTGAGTCGGGCAAGCCCATAGCTCAAGATCTTGTGAAAGAGATAGCTAAAGAACGCGGTTATCTCGGTGAAGAGCAACTCGCTCGGATCGGGGAGATTAACCCTGAGCTTCGCCGTGAAGTGGAAGAAGCACTACTCCGAAAAGATGAGATGATCGGTTCTGCTGTCCTGACGTACGTATAAGTTTCCAATCACAGACGTCTTAATTGGCCGAAAGACATTCTAACTCTCAATTAGGCTGGCCAAGAATCTTTACACAAGCAATGCCAGGTTTGTCTTTGAGTTGCTGCAGAATGCCGATGACAATGATTACAGCACCGCTGTGTCGCATGGTCAGGACCCGTATGTCTCTTTCAAGGTACACCCTGACAGAGTGACAATCGAATGCAATGAGAATGGCTTTACTCATGAAAACTTGAAAGCAATTTGCGCAATCGGCAAAAGTTCAAAGGTCGGCGCGGCTGGCTACATTGGAGAGAAAGGCATCGGGTTCAAGTCTGTCTTCATGGCAGCCTGGAAGGTCCATATCCAGTCAAACGACTTTTCTTTCTCTTTCACACATCGCAAAGGAGACTCAGGTCTTGGAATGGTTACGCCTGTTTGGGAGGAAACGAAAGAGCCGATAGGCGACTCATCCACTCGCATCACTTTACTACTTCATACAAGTGAGGATCCGGAAGAAGATGAGCGGCGACGCGACACTATCCACCTCCAGTTCCAAGACTTACAGCACACAATATTACTCTTTCTACGGAAGCTACGCAAGGTACAAGTTTCTTTCTACGACAAAGAGAATGTTCAAACTGCAACAACCGTTTATTCTCTTCACGGAAGCAATCCGGCGACCATTCGAAAGGAGACATCTGATGGTGTAGAGGAGAGACAGTACCATGTCACCAAGCATGTCGCTGAGAACATCCCTCGAAGCGAGAATAGAACATACTCGGACGAACGCGACCGCGCTGACTCTTCTGCTGAAGTCGTGCTGGCGTTTCCCTTGACAGATACGGGGGCTCCAATTATTGAGAATCAGGATGTCTTTGCGTTTCTTCCAATGCGGCCGATGGGTTTCAAGGTAATTAGCACATCCCTCACCTTAGCCATGATCACCCAGCTAGATGCCAACTATGCTTTTCAGAATGTCACCGGCGTTGAACATAACAACAACAACCTCACTATGATCAATGAACGAATACTAATTGATGAATAGTTCCTCATACACACAGACTTCGTCACGGAAGCCAGTCGTCAGGGCATAGTAGTCAGCTCACTCCGAAACCGCGCCCTCCTGCAAGGCATCGCAGACTGTCTCGTCAAAGCCATCGAAGAGTTCTGTCGTCATCCGACACTCCAATACCAATGGATGCGCTGGCTGCCTCAACGAGACAGTTACCCTTGGGACAGTTTCTGGTCGAGTCTGCTAGACAGGATCAAAGAAAGAATACATCAAGTCAAAGTTCTCCGTACACTTGGATCTGGGCGTCTGGGTTCTATGTTCCGGCTACGCAATCTATATCCGTGGCTGCGCGATGAAAAAGGCGATCCCTTGTTCAAGGATATCGATAAAGAGATTTATCTGGCAAAGGAGTATGCCAAAGATGACCTTGCACTATTGGAACCGTATGGCTTGCAAGGAGCCTCTGCAGAGGAAATCATTCTTCGCATCGAGCACGATCTTGAGAGAGACCCTGAAGCATCCAGTATGAAACAGTCGATGGTAAGCGATGATGGGAATTCACTCGCGGCACGAGCGCTTCTGCTGCTATACCGTTCCCTTGAGAGATCTAAGTCACTTCCCGGTCCGATTCGAGCACGGCTCGAGCATTTGAGGTTCATTCCACTTCATAATGGCGGATGGATCTCTGCGAGTCGCCGGCCACTTTATTACTCTCATTCATCGAAGCTGGAAGTGCCTGGTGGCCTAGGTCTAACTCTTGTGGATGCAAAAGCAGCATCTAATCCAGATCGGCGCGCTTTGCTTGACAAATTTGGTGTCGCTGAGGCGCAGTTCCGATATATTCGAGAGTTGATCATGAATACTATGTCATCCGTTTTCGTTGTGGATGATGGTGCTCTCCGCGTGTCCTCTTCATACCTCAAATTCATGTACCTCTCCGAAGCTCTTCTTAAAGACGAGGAAGTCCCAACGCTCCTGAAAGGCTTCCACGTTTATGACCATGGACGGCGCGCGTGTCAGCCAGTCAAACAGAATGTCTACCTGCCAAGTGATGACAAGTACGGGCCACGTCTATTACTTTCACCATGCGGCGATGCGCCTGGCTTTGACGTACCGTTTCTACATGACGACTACCTCGTTTCTCCACCTGCAACACCAGAGGGTCTTCTCTGGAGCTGGGAGGATTGGCTCGAACTGCGACTCCGCCTGCGTCGCAATGTCCGACTGGGAATAATGGACAAGCAAAAGAAATTGAAAGTTTCTCCTTTGTTCCGCTATATCGAACAGCATCGACCTCACCACCTTCTGGGCGCCCTGCAACGGGCGTGGTATATTGAGAACATCAATGTCGCAACCTCTGGTCAATTGATCACCGAGCTGCACAAGATGAAGGTTCCTTGTAAAAGCCAGGGCAAAGTCTCTAAGTTGCAGTTTTTATCGGTAACATTTTTGCCTCTACCAGAGCTTGAAGGCAAACATTCTCGCTATGCTGAAGGCGAGGACTTCATGTTCCTAGACCTAGACGAACCCGTAGCATCAGATACCTACAGAGCCAAATGGGGTTTCTTGTTGGACCATCTTTGCGTTGGCCACACTGACAGCCTTAGGTTTTACCTGTGGATTCTCTGGTCAATTCGCTACGGCAATGCTGCAGCTGGAGTCCGTCGACAATCCCGGATCTTGGATCTCTACGAGGTCATTTATACTCGGTGTCGAGAGGCCGACATTTCCCTTAACGCGCAGACCCAAGCAAGGTAATTTTGTACATCATCGTTGGAAGCTACCATAGGCTAATGGATGTAGGAACCTGTTCAACCAAGGGAGTCTTATATATATTCCCACCTACGAATCGAAACCCGCTACATGGGTAACACCTGACAAGTGTCTTTGGGACGCGCGAAAAGAGATGCAGACAGCATACCCTCTTGCCCATCTGTACCGAACAATCTTTCATCGATCCGAAGAAGAACTCGACATTCTGAAACAGTTCTTCAAGACAACCCTGGGTGTCAAGGATTGTTCATGGGAGAATTATCTCAATGAACTCCGGAGGTTAAGGACTATGGCAATTGAAGACTCTGACTGGGTGGACGGCATATACAAATCTCTCAAATCAGAGAGACCGAGTTTGATCGACGTTGATGCTACAAACATCAGGTACTGATCCTCCGCATTTATATCTACCGCGCCCAACTAACGAGTATTTAGGAAAGCATTCGCTGAAGAAAAGTTGATCTACTTCAATGTTGGCAATACAAGTCGCTGGTATACCGTCAGCGAGTGTCTATGGTCCAGCGCCACCCAGATCCGAGGCAGAGTAGCGCTCAACGATCTTTATCCTGACCTGGAGGATTTTTTCGTCAATTTCCTTGGCGTACAAGAGCTCACACTCAGCATGGCATATGACGAACTCAAGGAGATGGGTAACAGAATTCCATGTCCCCCAATCGCCGCAGTCAAGGACACAATTTGGGCACTCAATTCTTTGTTAGGGACGGCAGATCGCCTACCAGACGAAAGACCAGTCTTCAAAGGGGCAGTATTCCCTGTCAAGTACCCCAATGGTTCAGTAAAGCTACAGTCAGGTCGTACGGATTTCGCCATCGTTGACCGAAAGGCTCTAGGGGACATCTTTGGGACGCGTGCCAAGACTCTAGACTTTACTCTCGATGAAGTTCGTCGGCTACAGCCATTTCTCTCGTGGCTCAACATGGGGTCCAGATATCTATCCACCTCAGTTCGGGAAATCTCGACCGTGGCGGGTGAGCACATGAGCAAACTCCAGTCTCCTAATAGGGAGATAAACCAGAAGGCCAACGGTCTTTACAGGTACTTCACTCTGTTTACAGTCATTCCTTTCATAAACCGAGCTAATCCTTATGTTTTTGTAGGGTTGCCGTTCACTATAATAGTCCTCGGGCACAAGACGACAACTCGAAGCTTCATTGGATTTTCGCTACTGCGAAAGTTTATGAGACAGACGGCATCTCATCCGAGCTTCATTTATCCCAAGACGGACAGGCGATAGTTCATGCCCAAGAACAAAGCGAACTACACATACGCGAAGACAGTGACGCTCTCAAGATTTATGTCCCGCGGGACCCCGAGGCTCAAGGGTTTTGTTACTTTGCGGCACTTCCTCGACGTTTACTTGAATGGATCATGACCGATCCATCCACACTTCACGTCAATCGCGCTGATTCACAAGCATTGCAGATCGTCGCAGCGGTCTTGAATGCTCCCCTTGTCATCATGACTCAGATTCTGGAAGCGGAGGGAATTATCGATGCACCCATCCCAACTGGCAGCTTCAAGCAAGACGAAGAGAATGGGGGACATAGAGATACTGATGAGTCCAATACGTGTCAGGAATTGGAGACGAGCCACGACGATGTCTCAAGTGAAGGGGTGGACGACACTACGCTGGCGTCGCTGGTGGAATCAGAAGCCATTGAAGATGAAGTTGCTGGCCAAGAATACTCTGCCACTCATCGATCTGCCGGCACTATATCCCCGCCAAGGCTTTCCGATCTCCCCATACGACAAAAGAGTCCAGCTACCTCAAGTTCGTCTGCGACTGGACAACTGATTGTTACGCCAGCTTCATCAACTACTGGCTATGCTGGTCGGAACAAACGAAGACCAGTGCATCGCACGCGAACATCAAGCGCCAATGACCGACACACCGATAGGTTTGGTGATGAACAAAGAACACCCGGCACAGCCAGTCACCCTGCGTTTGTGTTCGGGTCTTCGCCCGCAATGCAATCAAGCTCTGCGTTCCACTTCAATGGCCCAGATGGAGTCACACTATCCTCTATGATTGAAGATGAAGAAGTTTACATGGGAATGATAGATAATGACATTACTTCAGCTCGTAAAGCGGCAATCCCTCGTCGTGAGTCCTTCGGCGAGCGTGGACTGTTCAACGCGCTACCCGAAGTTGATGACGAGATCCAAATGTCACAACGTTTCCGCTCATACGGGCCTCAAGAACGGGACATGCGTATCGGCGCTCTTGGCGAACTATACGTAGGTTAGTATTAGTATTCCGTGAACGCAGCTAACATGCTGACAGGTCTTTGAACTTCTTCAGGGCTTTAGTCCAGCTCTCTCACATTTCGGCAGAGACAATTGGCAGAGCCGGATGAGAAAGTTCGTCACCATCCATCCCAGTTATTCCGACATGCTACCATGGAACGGTCAAGAGACGGCCGATATCGTGTACTTTGATCGCGGGCGAGAGTTGACAAGGCATTTGGTGGAAAAACGACAACTCGGCCCTGAGTGGTTAGGCGTGAAGCCTTTGTACTTGATCGAGGTCAAGTCCACAACTGGAGACAGTCGCACTCCGTTCTACATGAGCAAGCGACAGTACCAAAAGGTAAGTAAACCTTGAACCATGTGCGACACCTGCTCACAGTTTTTTTTTTTTTTTTTTTTTGTAAAGATGGGAGACTACTCGAACACGTTGGCATCGTCTACGGTATCTACAGCGACCGCGACCGCGACCACGCCCCCCATTTACCTAATCGCCCGGGTCTCGAATGTCGGCAAGACAAACATACATTTGGATCTTTACTTCTATCCGGAAACACTGCGTGTGAGAGGTTCATTGGTCTTTACGCCCGAAACATGGTCAGTTGTTCCTGGGTCAATTGCTCCTGGGCTGGGCTAGCAAGTATTGGCCTCTGAACTTTAGGATACAAAAATAAATAGCCTAAGAAGTCTGATCTAAGTAGTATAAACTGACCTAATTATTTCGTCCCTTTTCTTCCGAGCAGACAATTTTCTGATCCGGATCAACTTGACGTGGATGTTCATACTCATGGCGCTTGCCAAGCACCACTCTCACTTCACATACGGATAAAACATGACAATATGCTGTGCTTTCCTCTTTGTTCCTCGGTCTTCTAACAATAGCTATTATTTTCACAAGTAACAATTTCAAATCCGACCAGGCAACAAAGAGTGAACTATGATCGTGTGTTTGTTCATTAACTAAGCTGTCGCCTTGACCTCGCCGAGTATACCAAACAAAGACCGAACATCTTCCCATCGATATGTTTAACCTACACATCCCATCAGCACAGATGGACAAGAACTATGAACACCATGCCTGTGAGTATCGTCATGTTCGTTTCTTCAGTTTAAATAGTCCATATCCTACCACCATTTCAGAACTTCTCTTTTTCTCATCAAGCTATTCTAGCAATTCTCACGAGCAAACACACATCAACACCAACAAAACCACACACAAACAAATCTCACATCAACATCTGACAAAATGTCGAACAGAATTGAGAAACTTCAGGGTGGCCGCAATCCTATCCACCTTCGCGGAAACGACCCCAAACTCGACACCACCACCACTCCCCCAAGAAGGGTTTGCACTTGCGTGGTATGTCTGGATTTGACCAAGAGGAGACCCCCAGCGGCAGCAGCAGCTTCAATCCTGAAGCAGCTCCTTTCACTCCCACTGCCCCTACTGCCTTTGTCAACACCCCCGATTCTTCCCCTGCTGACCCTCAGTCTATAGAGAAGAGCCCTGAGGAAAGGCGCGCACAGCGTCTTCGGGAGATCAAGTCCATCGAAGATGAGCGGGATCGTGAGAATGCGATGAATGACTTTATCTGGGAAATGCATACCGAGTGGTCTGCTAAGGACCTGGCTAAAGAGAAGGAGGAGAAGGAGTTGGAGGAGCGCCGCCAGAAGTTTGGCCGTCATGACGAGGATTTCCCCAACAAGTAGTTGGGCGGATGAGTGAGTGGCGGGCGTTGGCGGTGGGGGAGGGTGAACGAACTACAATGCTGGCATTGTAGAGAACACAATTGGCGTTGGATAGGCGTTTTTGGGCATTTTTTTTGTGCATTAAAATTGGATATTTGCATTTTGGCATAGCGATCTAGCAATGAATTTGAACTACAATCTTTCGTTAAATATTTTTACTTTCTTTAAATCCACTCTCGTGAACATAATCTTGTGATCCCATGGCCAACAGGAAACCTCTAATCCTTAGGTATAGAGGTAAACAGCCTAAAAACTCTAATCTAAATAGCAAAAAACGACCTCTTAGTTTCGTCTATCATTCCCCAAATGTGTTTGTTGCCTTTGATCTGATTAACGTTCGTTAATGAACACACACTCAAGTGCAGGTGTCAATCGTGGGGTATTTTGCATCATCTCTCATATCTATGAGCAGTACTGTCATTAAACCATTATTCATGGTTACAATTTACCACTGTGTGACTTTGCGACAGTAGAATGACCGTTGGTAGTCTCCCGACAATTGTCTATAGGGTAACCTCCGCTCACCGAACCGCCCGGGCCCGCTCGTCAATCGGCAAAGTGGATCCCACGGCTCCGAAACAACACGGAGGTCATCTCCGCGTCATTCTGACGCTTCACCAGAAGCAACTTGCTGTAACTTGAAGCATTTCAACTTGTCGCCCGACGTAAGAATCTCGAAATAGCAACTCTTGGCAGGTAGAAAGTGCAGCACGAATTATCTATCCATGACGTAATCTTCTCCAGCAATATCTGTATTTAAGAGACATACCAAAGCACGTCACCCAATTTAAACAACGACGATCTTGAATCTTAACTTAACGACATTCAAACTATCAAACGCCATGGCTTCACAAGATATTCCCGTCACTAACGATAGTATGGGACAGCCTCTTTCAGCGAAGAACCAAGTTCTTACTGCTGGTGCTGCTGTGACACAAGTACGTTGAAGCTCAATTGAACAAGTGCTGGACTGACTTATGATGAACAGGAGTTTCGACCGACGAAGCATATTTGTGCTCATCTCAACGCTTTTCACGCTTACGCCGATGATCCCTCACGCTTTGTAGAAACAAATCACTACTGCGCCCATCTAAGTACGTCTCTAGCCTCAACCACCATCATTGACTTACTGACACTCGTAAGACGAGGACGTCCGCCAATGTCTCCTCTACGACTCCGATGAGCCCAACGCACGCCTCATAGGAGTAGAATACATGATCACGCCGAAACTCTACGAAACACTCGACAAAGAAGAGCGTCAGCTCTGGCACTCGCACGTATACGAGGTCAAATCGGGGATGCTCATCATGCCAAACCGCGCTGTCCCCGAAAGCGCGTGGCAGATAGCTGAGAACTACGAGATGGACCAGGTGGTGCACTTGTACGGAAAAGTGTATCATCTGTGGCAGACGGATCGAGGAGATACGTTGCCGCTGGGACCGCCGAAGCTGATGACGAGTTTCACGGCGGATGGGCAGTTTGACTTTGAGAAACATGTTGGAGAGAGGGATAGGAGGTTTGGGACGGATTGGAGGATTAAGAAAGAGGCGAGGAAGGATATTCCGGAGCCTGTTATTCATGGGGGTGAGTATGCGTGTGTTGGCAGTTGGGGATTGGGCTAACAGTTTGTAGATGCGGATCAGGCTTGGAAGAAGGGCAACTAGGGGGGGCGAATACGGTTTGAACAGGACTGAGGTCGCGAACAGAATGAGCGCGGACACCGAATGGCGAATTGACCGCCGGAGAGTGATAGTAATGGACATCAAGATTGTCTATTGGGTATCATCTATTATCCGAATTATTGATCATGATCGGATGAACAGCCATCCTGTTCCCTTCATACATATGCACATGGAGCTTGTTCTAAGCCTCCGAAATGCACAGTCCTCACTTCCCAATCATCACTCGCTGCGGCAACTGTTGCACTCCCTGCGCTTGCTGCATCACTCTCGTATCGTGAACCTTGCGATCAATCCCTCGGAAGTCAAAAACACCCTCCAATTCTTTCCTGATCGCCAACAACTGCTCCTGGACTTTGCGTAGCTCCTCAGGTTTGTTGTCCTGCACAACGTGCGCCTTGACGTGAAGGAACCATCGCTTCTGCTGGTCCACCGGAGTGAGTGAGTCGAGTGATGGTAGACTACCCAGTGGGGTAGATTGCTGCTGCTTTGTCTCCATGGGAACGTAGTTGTCTATCGGATGGAGGAAATAGTATCGTACTAGACAGAACTCGATCTCATCTCTGTAGAAGCGGTACATTTCCTCAATAGTTTCAGTCTTGAACCTGCACTTTGTTAGCGACCATAACATAACCAAGACGGTTGTACTTACGTGTGGTTGTTGTCGCGCATAAGTGAAGGCAACATCTTCTGCTCCCAAAGCTCAACCTTGTTCCGCTGTGTAAGCAAAGGCTGACCCCGCGGCGGATCCGGAAAGTCAGTCCACTTCAAGATTCCCTGTGTCGCATCAAGGTCCATCGCCGGCGCATTAGGTCCCATGTCGCGATCCTTGAGCACATCGTAGCGTGTCTGGAGGATAAAGGACTGCCGCGTCAAGTTCTGATGAAGCTCTTTCCACAGAAAGCCCGTGTTGGGAGGGCTTATAGGTTTCTTAATCGAGCTCTGGTTGAAGATGCCCATTGGTCGCGGTGGTCCTTGGAAGTATAGAACTCGTTGGATGGACTCCCAGGGGTCCATGTTAGTGAGGCCGCCCAGGACGGAACATGCTCCGGCGAAGTCTTTGTCCTCGATGAGGGCTGTAAGAAAGATTTCGTGCATTTTGGTGGGCTCAGAGGCGTCGCTGGCCTATCTGACGACTGTGTAGAATTATTGTATGTTCAATTGCTGTTTTTAAAGATCTGCAGGGAATGCGCTTGATGAGCAACAACTTGTATTGAATGCGACGATAACTGAAGGTGAGTGGTGAGAGCTACCCCACCAAAGCTTCTTCCTTCAAGAGCTGGGAAATGGAGAAGCTGTATGATTGGTCGACGAGTCTAAAACTCTCGGATTTTGGATTGTTCCGTGGCTGGCTGTACATCGCATCACGTGATAGCGTGATTGGGTTCGTGTCTGGACGCCATGAGCAAGAAATGTTAATATTGACATTGATTTATGGTTCGTGAGACAAAGATCTATGACGGCAACCGACAAAAAACTTCATAGTATTGTAAAGAAAAATAAGCCTAATCACATTTTATCTTGATGAATCTTTGACTATCGCTAAATACCATCTTTTTGCCAATGTTCTGTCTGAACAAAGAATGGTTTAGGTTAGGTGGATGCCCAGATGGCTCGGTCGCGCCAGCCTGGCTCCTTAGTCAGGTTCGACCCTGCATGCACTTTACTGTGACAACACTGGAGACGCTTATCGCACCCGATAACCGCGACGCAACCCGATGCAGCCTTTGTCGATACCTATAGCAAGAAGATGTCTTCAAACGATCAGCCCAAGCGCAAGGCCTCTGATGCGCCTGTGTCTCCTCCGGCCATCAAACGCAAAGTGCAGAGCGGGACAACCAGTGAGTGCGCGCTCCAAAGCTCAACACCAACGCTCTAGAGTTACAGCATCACGATCATCGAACTCTCCGCTAACGTGACTACATAGAGACTGCTATAGCAAACTTCTTTACGCCGACATCACAGAAGCCTAAAGACCCTACGATTTGGTCTGAACGAAGCCCCAACGATAATGATGATATCCCCGCAACGCTCCTCGTCGGCCGATTCGAACCCGAAAAGAAAGAAGACAAAAAAGTAAAGAGAAGAAAAATCGCCGCTTTTGATCTCGACTCAACCCTTATCTCTACCTCCTCAGGCAAGAAACACGCCAGCAGCGGTACGGATTGGAAATGGTGGCACAACTCTGTCCCCACCAGGCTACGGGAGCTGTATCAAGATGGATACCGGGTCGTGATCCTATCAAACCAGGCAGGATTGACATTACACTTTGATGCAAAGCACAAGGGACCTAAGGGTAACGCTCAGAAGCGAGTTTCCGAGTTCAAACAAAAGTGTAGCGCCGTCCTCAATAGTCTCAACCTTCCGACCTGTGTCTACGCGGCGACCGAGCATGATATATATCGAAAGCCGAGGATTGGTATGTGGAAGGAGCTCTGCGACGACTACGACATCCCGGAGACCGAAGTCGATTTGGAGAACAGCGTGTTCGTCGGCGATGCAGGGGGACGCACGGCGGGCGTAGGCAAGGGCCCGGACGGGGTCGCGGCCATGGCCAAAGATTTTAGCTGCTCGGATCGGAACTTTGCTCACAACGTGGGAATCAAGTACCTGACGCCGGAGGAGTTCTTTCTAGGCGAGAAAGCTCGGAGTTATGCTCGCGAATTCAACTTGGCCGAGCATCCTTTCAGCGACGATACCTCATCGGGGAACTCCGTTGTAACCATCGACAAAACTAATGACAAGGACATTATCTTATTCTGTGGACCACCAGGGGCTGGTAAAAGCACGCTTTACTGGAAATCCCTCAAGCCTTTGGGGTATGCACGTATCAACCAGGACCAGCTCAAGACTCGCGACAAGTGCGTTCAAGCGGCGAAAGAGTATCTCCAAGAGGGAACGTCTGTCGCGATAGGTGCGTTTCCCCAACTTCTTCATCCCTGCGACTCCATAACTGCCGCTTACCCCATTTCCACCCCCTCACGGCGCTAACAAGGATTTATTGCAGACAACACAAACGCCGATCCAGAGACCAGGACGGTTTGGGTAGAGCTTGCCAAGAAATTCGGCATTTCTATCCGTTGTGTGTGGTTCAAGACGCCTCTCCAAGTGTGCGAGCACAACAACGCGGTGCGGGCGCTGAACGAGTCGCTGAACCCCGAATCAAGACTTGTGCTACCCAAAATGGCATTTACTGGTTTCGCAAGCCGGTTCAAGCCACCAAATGTCAAAGAAGGTTTCCAGGACATTGTTGAAGTTCCGTTTCAGTTTCGCGGGACGGAGGAGGAGTATCGCATCTGGGGTCGATACTGGACATAGACATTGTTTACAAATACATTACCCATCGAGTCTTGGCCATGATCATGCCATCTCCGCATCATGAAAAATTATTCTTTCCTCATGAGCTCCAAATATTTGCTCTGTCCCTGTCTGTTCCCCATCATTAATGGGGTACCTCTGGCTCTACTCGCCTTCTCGTAACTATATTGGGGAAGAGGAAGCGATGAGAGTTGCATTCTAATGGAAGCGAAGTGAGAACGGACCCGTTTTCCACGCGGTCTAGTCTAGTCGGAGCGTTAGGCCGCTCACTGTGAGAAGGGGTTCTGGGGTAGTCTAGAACTGTGGAACGTGCTCGGTGGTAGAAAATGATTCCGAAAGGCGCTTGATTAGGACAATCTCCAAATGAATCACGCTCCATACCAGGGTGGGAAGTTTGTATCCGCTCTGTAGGCACCAGCGAAAAGGGTACGAGATGTCACCATCCATTCACATCCTACACGAGTTCCTCGATGAAGCGCATTTATTGATGACAGTGGAGAAAGACCTCGGCCGTGAGAGAATAAACCGGGACTGATCCACACCTTTACGGGATGAATAACTCCAAGTTCGAGCTTAACTGTTGCTTTGTGAAGAGATCAACATCGCGTGGGGGAGAGAGAAGAGAGAGCCTTGTTCATAATGGCATGATTTTGCGGAGATGAGATCTAGAACTTGTTGACCCCATTGTTTAAGCGTCGCTTATAATTTATGGTTGTTTTATGCTTCTTTGTACGTGCACCTTTGTCGCTGTTCTTGAGAATGAATGTTTAGATGAAGTTGTTTTTGGTTCCTTGGCTTTTTGGGGAATTGTCAACGGGAATTATTGACTTCTCCAATGCCCAGCCGGCTTGATTTACATTGGCAGGACTTGGCGTAACGTGGTAACTGACTGTAGCGGCTGGGCATTTCCGATTGACGTACCTTGGCAAGCCACCCACTGAAAAAGTGTGTGTAGGGCACTGACGTCGCTAGAACTAGGGATAACCTGGTCTAGAGAGAAAAGTGTGGAGGGGAAAATCTTCGGGCGACAAAATTGAGATCCTGGTTTAATTTTAGTCAAGGTTTGGACTTCTCCACGGGGGAAACGAAGGAATGTGGGAGTTTTACTAACTGTCACCGTTTTTAATGCGGAGGAGATGGAAATGGAGACTCCGCTATTGGAGGAAGGGGGAGAACCAAGTATCCACCTTGACCTTACAGACCAAGATCTTCACCTTGACATGCCTACTCATCTGGGGGATTACCCAAAAATGGGTTAACGTTTAGAGTAAATGGTCGGTGTAACTACAACCAAGCGGGGGAACTTCGTGGGGAAGACAGTCTTGAGTAGTATATCATTTTTATTATAAAGACCTTGTCCCTCTTGGTCTTCCCCTCAGGTTTCCCATTCCCCCCCATCTCATCCCATCTCTTTATACATTTCTTCTACAATGGCTGGAGGCGTCAAGAAACCCGTCAACATCTTCAAGCTCAAGGACTTGGGCGAGCCTGCTGGTGTCTTTAACTGGAGACTATGGTTCGCCGTTGTTTCCTTTGCCCTTCTCGGTGCCGCTAGAGGTATCGATGAGGGTCTTATCTCTGGATCTTTCAACTCTAAGGATTTCCAGGAAAAGATCAACTATGAGTCTTACACTGAGGTTGAGCAGGCCAACATCAAGGCCAACGTCTCTGCCATGGTTCAGATTGGTTCCGTTGGTGGTGCTTTGATGTAAGTTACTTCACATCTTCTCGACAGAGACATGAGACTAACTGTTTAGTGCTTTCTTGGTTTGTGATCGTATCGGTCGTATTTGGGCTACTCGATTCCTCTGCTCGCTTTGGGCTCTTGGTATTGTCATCTTCATGATTGGTGGTGTCAACGGAAACCTTGGTGCTATCTATGCTGGTCGCTTCATCTGTGGTCTCGGTGTTGGTCAGACTCCCGTCGTCGGACCTGTCTACATCGCTGAGATTGCCCCTGCTGCCATCCGTGGTCTCTGCTCTTGCATGTTCACAGTATGTTTTGCCACTCATCTCACCTCCATTCATGTCTAACAAAAACAGGGTGCTGTCTACATCGGTATCGTCCTCGCTTACTTCACAAACTACGGCGCTCATCTCAACATGTCCGACCACACTCACAACCAGTGGCTCGTCCCTACAAGTCTTCACATCATGATGTCCGGCATCATCTTCATCCTCATGTTCTTCCAGTCCGAGTCCCCCCGATATCTCGTCAAGCAAGGCAAACCCGAAGAAGCTGCCCAGGTTCTCGGTCGTCTCCGTCAGCAGTCCCCCGAGAGCGACTACGTTGTCCGCCAGGTCGCCGAGATCCAGGCTGCTCTCGACCACGAGCTCGAAGCTACAAAGGGTGTTGGTTTCCTCGGCAAGGTCAAGGAGTTGATCTTTGTCCCCAGCAACCTGTACCGTCTCTACATGTCCTCCATGGTTCAGTTCCTCTCTCAGTGGTCCGGTGCTGGATCCATCACCCTCTATGCTCCCGATCTGTTCAAGATTATGGGTATTGTCGGTAAGCAGGAGGGTCTTCTCGTCACTGCCGTCTTTGGTATCGTCAAGCTCATCGCCGCTATTCTTTGCGCTCTCTTCCTCGTTGATGTCATCGGCCGAAAGCGCGCTCTTCTCATCGGTATCACTCTGCAGACCATTGCTATGATCTACGTCGCTGCTTTCCTCACCAAGATTCCTCAGCTCGGTGTCGATGAAGACTTTGTTCTCCCTGCCGCCGACAAGGGTGCTTCTCGCGGTGCCATCGCCATGATCTACGTCTCTGGTTTCGGTTGGGCTCTCGGCTGGAACTCCATGCAGTACCTCCTCACTGCCGAGCTGTTCCCTCTCCGCATTCGTGCCCTCGCCACCTCTTGGGCCATGACTCTTCACTTTGCCAACCAATACGGCAACTCCCGTGCCGTTCCCAACATGTTGCTCCCCGTTGCCAAGGGCGGTATCTCTCCCAAGGGAACCTTCTGGTGCTTCGCCGCCGTTACCTTTGTCGGTGGTATTTGGGTCTGGTTCTCCGTTCCTGAGACTAGCGGTCGCAGCCTTGAGAACATGGATGAGCTCTTTGAGCTTCCTTGGTACAAGATTGGTCTTCACGGTAACAAGCACGTCGAGGAGCTTGACGAGGCCCGTGATGAGAAGAAGCGATATGCTGATGAGGCCAACGCCACTGGCATTGAGCTTGAGCACCAGCGCAAGCAGGAGGCTTAAATGGTTACAAAAGCGGAATATTGGCTTGGCAGTGCCATGGCCTTGGTATATAGTTATGAATCCTATGAATATGAATAAGTAAAATTTTATTCGTTATGATACATTTGAGACTCTTCTTTCTTCTGTGACATATTGATGTTCCTGCCTGCCAGTTTGATCCGAGTGTCTGTCTGTAGATTCTGCACCGGTGGGTCTAACCCAAAGCTTTAGGATATAAAGATAAATAGCCTAAGAAGTCTGATCTAAATATCGTGAACTCGACGAAGATGTTCGTATTATCAGTAAATAGACTCCATCACCAGGTGCCAGCTTATCGTAGGCATCCTGCGGTCTTTGACCTTTTTGTCAAATTTGGGTCATGGATCCATTACTAGGACCAGTTGAACTACGCATCAGAGATAAATTCAAGGTCTTGCTGGGCGATAGCATAGCTGTCCGTTTGAATAAGTTTGATCAGCTGCTGCATTCACATTTTCCCACCAATTTCGTCTCATATGTTCCCAGCAGTCAATTCTTCTGGCACCCTGAGGCTGTGCTCTGTAACTGGTCGATTACACAGTAAGCTCTCGTACATCTCCAATATCGATAGCGTAAACCAGAGGCGGCTCTTTCAAAGCCTCAAGCCCACCCAATTGCCACCAACGACGCGGCGATTCCACTTTAAAGCTTCTCTGCCGATAAATCTCATTGTCGTTCCCTCAAGGATCTGCAGTCTGTCGTGCAAGACACTCCGGGTTGTAAGCTGGCCGTCAACCTGCCATGGGCCGCCAACGATCACTCTGTATCTAGTTAGTTGACGTATGGGTTATCAATAGGGGCGCAAAGCGATTCTTACTCTTCATCTCTGATTGAAGGTGTCTCTTCGCAGCAGCCATCTGCTTGCAAGCCTTCTCCTAGCGAGTGTCCTCCTTTGCGAGATTTTTGGCAGTTTTTAATGTCGCTCCAGCATGATCGAGATTAAATTTCCCACTCGTGTGATATCGTAACTTCACCTGTTTTGGCAAAGTACTTGCCGACACGAAGTTTCTTTCGTCATTCTCTTCGTCTGATCAAGGCGCTCCAGTTGAGCCTCTTGATAACTTGGAGCCCGAGCTATCGTAATTTCGGATCCAATCAGGCACTACATGAGGCGGTTCTTAGTACCCAGAAGATATTTCAGATAATCATCTTCTTGAGCCTCCCATTCTTTACTGATGCCCCGTCGTCTCCCAAGGGCCAGTAGAGGGGTGGCGAGTTGGGATGAGTTGGGAGCAACGGTGGCGGGGTCGATCTCTGTCTTTGTGCTTCAACTTAAGCGTTTAAGAAGACAGCGCCTTGTGATTTACTTTCTTCGAGAGGAAGGCGATGCTCAAATAGCTGCGGTCGAAAAAGGAGATATATCAATCTTGATGTGGCTGAGATTACCAGAGGACGATTCGTCCCCCAATGACAACAACACCCAACTCCAAGGCATTTTCGGGGCAGGTGTAATCAACAGCGAATGGTAAGACCTAGGCTCCTCTGTTGAAAAGCCTTCTTGCTATCCAGATACGTTCTTTCGGTGTAACACGAGTGCCAGCTTATACTGGGATCCCTTTTTGAACATCCACAGCAATTGAAGAGTCAACAAGTCTTCGTCTTCGTCTCCAACGAGGTCTTCGATTTCAACCGAGTTTCGGTCTCTTTCATTCCGTTAACCTTACATTTCATGATCAATATATCTGTTGCTTCTCCTCTTCGCCGATTCCAAGTAGTATTATGATCGTGAGGTCGCGGCCGTAAGTATGCAAGAGCAGCACAATTGTGTCAGTTGTGATGCCTGATTGGACGATACTTTTCGCAAACTCATGCACATTCATCCGCTCGATGACACGGCCCGGGGCGTAGACTCCATCTCATGACTGGTGTTGATATCCATATCATGATCGATGGCGTTATTTGCATCCAGGCGGCTTTGCAACCTTCAACAATAATGTCAAGGAACCTGCCGGTACTTTCGTGGTCAGGAAGAAACCATTTCGGGGACTGGTCTGCTGTGTCTTCATGAACTAGCCCAAGGCACCTGTCAACATCAACGTGCGGTTGTAGTCCGAGTGGAAGAGACCTCTGTTGAGCTTGGATTTTTGGATTCTTTGTATTATGGCCTTCATCGACGATCAGTACCGGGATCTGCTTTGCCACAGCCGTTTATAAAGGACACTGCGAATAATGCTGGAAGAGATTATGACTTGTGGGTTGTAATAGCTTCAGACTCTTCTAGTCCGTTGAGTTCGACGGTCCATAGGTAGCGCCCACGACATATCTATTGCGTATGTAGGCTTCCTCTAACACGACGTGTAGAACCGCTCAAATGCACTGACGTCCACAACCAGAACATTTTTGGGATGTGTTGTGGCTCGTTTTAGCAGAGCACGCATACATAAGCAGGTGTTTGGCTGCCGTGGAAAGGACGTCACTGCATCATGTTTTTCTCGTCCATCATGACCGGTGTGGTAATAAAGATCATTGTCGAGTCAGTGACATCTGCCGTAAATAATTGTCGCATTTGTCGGTATTGAAGCGCAGATGTTATGAGGTCCGTATATCCTCAGGATTTCATAGAGAATTTTGCCCGGGAGGAAGATGCCATGTGCAACGAAATACCAAGAGCCCCAATCTCTGAGAGGCTTGCGTGTCCTTCGGCGTTGTCGTATCAAGATGAGAGAGTGATATCTTGAGCAACACTTGATTGACGCGAGGACATGACAACGAGGTTTATTGAGGAAGGCTCAAATGGACAAGGGATACCTGTTGTGCCAACGCTTGACTTCCCTTTGATTGAACCCGTGCATCTGGAGTGCGAGGCCTTTGAGAACAGTTCCCTTTGCTGTACTGGGTCCCAGTTGAAGTAAATGGATGATTCATTGCGTACTTTGGAGGCAGTGTGATCACTCGCTTTAGGCAGCAATTAGTTCCTGAAAGAGTCGGCGGAATAGCTATCCCTTCTAAGTCTGAACTTAGGGTTTTGACGCTGATTTATCGTAGAAGAGGTCACTGAAATGGTCAGGTGAGGTGAAAAAGCCAACGCCTGGTAGTAGCATCATCTGGCCCACAAGGTCGGTGGATTGACCATACGCTTGATCCGAAGGGGTCCAATTCGCTGCTGGGACCATTTACGCGGAGGGTATCCAGGGAGATAGTAGCCGTCGTTTAGGCAAAAGTATCTGGTGTTCTGATCGAGACCGGCCTGCGTTTTTGAGGAATCGACATGGTGAAGATAGTAGGACTCTGGCGAGGAGATGCCATGAGGTTACGAATCTACACAGAGCGAGTAGATTCAGGCCCAGTGGTTTTGGTTGAGGATTTGGTCTGCTTGGTCTTCTGTGTGGCATAGTACAATGAGTCCTTGTACTTGGCGATGTACGTCTCATCAACAATCCAGAACTAGAAGTAGAATTCATGCAGCCTGCTGTGGTTGGGCAGGTACTCCACGAAGTTTCCATCAACACGCCCGTTCCCGATGTCGAAGGTGACCTCGTTGTCTTGGATCACTTTGGGGCTGTCGCTTGGGGTGCTTGCCATCTGCGTGCGTGTTGATGAAGGATAACTTCGGCTTCACCAATTTTACCAATAGAGTGTCTCTATTGGTAAAGGTATAGATAGATGACGTCTCTAGTCATACATTTGAATCCAGGTTGTATGGAACTACAGCCCAAGGTTGTAAAGGAAATGTCGCGAATGGATACGCCATGGGGGCTTGCTGGGTGGTACCCTCCAGGCTCGTCGGTGGTTTGCCTGGAAGGCAATGGCAGTAGTATGGTCGAATCTCAATTCTGTCCTGTACGGCCCACGTAGTTCACGACAGGCATGTCGAGGAAACCGATTCACGTTACATTCCCACAGTGCTTGTCCTTGAGGAACTCCTGTACGGTAGCTTGCTAACGAGTATCAAGCAAAAAAGACTCCCATTCGTCCAAATGACCTAGACTTTTCCAGGAGATAATTCTTGGGGAAAACATCAGGCCCAACCCAAGCCTACTTCTCCCAGACTTGGGCGAGAAATAGCTGTATTTCGGCAGCAGTAGACCTAGGATTGGCTGGGGGTCGAATAGTCGCGTTACGACCTATGAGCAGATTTTATTGAAAGAAGGAGGATAAGGAAATCGATTGGCGGTGGCCTAAAGTCGAGAGAGAAAAGACATTGTCGAGAAAGTTGGGTGAAGGAGGAAGAGATATCACTGAGAAAGGAAAGCTGAAATACATCAGGCCATCAGGTGCGAGATAGGTCAGGTCGGTCTAGAAGAGCTGATACATCAAGCAGTAGTTGTCTTCAAAGGTTGCAAATGCTAGGGCAGGCATCTCCCTGGTGGGTTGTGGAACCCATCGATAACGTTGTTGTAAAGGATGTGTTTCGAACTTTCTGAAGACCCCATAATGCTGAAACTGCGAAAAGCCATTCGACGGTTCAGAGCGAGTAAATGAGTCAAGAGTGAACTCTGCAGCGCCATAGGAGTACTAAGTCACTACGACCTTGTATTTACATAGATCTGTAGGGCTTAGAGCCTCCGCGAGAAGGCAGATCGATGGCATCTAGTCCTGATATCTGTTAGAACTGGTACTTCCAAGGCATAATATGACATACATACCCGAAGAAGGTGTCACTCAGCCATCTTCTGGCGGCAACACAAAATAGGAGCGGCAATGAAACAAGGTCCTTTAATGCTGTATACATCTTGGGCCAGGTGGACGTGATGGTGGGTATGCTTGTTACCATAGCGGTCTGCAAAGGAAAGACTTCCAGCACAATGGTCAAATGTAAATGTGGCCAGATCGACCAGTTAGGTACGCACTCGTGGATTCTTCGGTTCAAGCCCATTAGCGCCTTGAGAATATTTCTCTTGTCGAGGCTGAGCCTTATGGTCTTGCCCCCGAATGAATACTTGGTGCCAAAGAAGATGCCGAGGTTGAAGTCGACTGAAAGAACCAGAAGTGCGGGAGTCTTGGTTAGATAGACGGAAATGGCCAAGAGGGCCGGCAAGATAAAAACCACACCAAATAGCACAAAAGGTAACAATAGTACTGGTGGAAACGACTTCATTGTTGGAACCATTCGAGTCCTGAGTAGGAGCGACGTGTATCATGGACATGTTCGCCTTTGCCTCGTCGTGTGCCTGTCTGATGGAGGTGACGGACACCATTGGGACCTAACGCTCAGCAGACTACATGCTCTGCCCAACACTCGATGATGACCATTTTGCGATGCTTGGAGTAAACAGCATCAAAGGCTGTGACTCCTGTGTTGTAGTCATATGTCGAAATAGTGTCGTCTCGTTTCTGACTGTAATAGGGGGCCGAGATAATTGTGCCAAATGCGAGGTCATCTTTGTGGTACTTCTTGTCTGTGTGGCTTATAGTGTGGCACTCTTCTGCTCATGTATCGGAATCGCTTGAAATTTGTGACGGTGGCGGCATGTCGGGCACCTGTTTTGACTCCTGTCATACACATATTCTTCAAAGCTGTGGTGCCTGAGTCTCACCACATAGGAAAGGCCAAAGATATGCCTGCCTATACGGGAGAATGTAGGCCACGTAGGCGATACCAGTTTCATCTTTAGGGAGCTCGCACTCACTGAGTCCGTCCGTAGTCATCTCCTCATAGTACATCCTACAATTCCGTTTTCGCCGCTTCAAAGCTGAGGAATCCCGCTCAAGGATTTCTAGGAGATATGGGAAATACGTCTCTGTAATGGACTACATTGTGCCGTGCATGCTCAGGGTCCATAGGAGGTGATGTGACTCCCATGCGTACAGTGGCGTGTCGAGACTGTGCATACAGGCGAAAGCGTAGCGGGAGCGGGAGCGACAGCGTAGAGTGGCTCGTACCCCAGGCCAGACATCAGCTCATAAGGCAGCACTCTGCGATACTTTGTTATGACTGGCGGACCAGTCATTGTTGGAAAGCGCACAGATTGCAGAAAGCTGGTGCAGCAGCACGCCACCAGAAGGCGTTGTGAACATTACCCTCACATCTGCACAGCGTGGAAATGGTATGTAAGAAGACAAGGCCATTTCGAATTCGGTCTCGTCTGCTGGAAATCCCAGTCTCACGACTTTATTTCCAGTAAGGGAAGCCCTGCGTGATGGGCCAGACCCTGTTCAGAGTGAAATTGCGTAAATTGGGAGGCTCTAGGTGCAGCGACAATCCCGCGAAGGTGTGGGTGGCGACCGAAGAGGCAGGACGCAGTCGCAAAAAGATTCTCAGCGTCAGCAATGTCGAATTTTGTATTGATGCCTTCGCGATGTTCGTTCTTTCTCTCATACTCGAACTCGAGTTTGCGTTAGAACATTTCAACGGCGTGTAAGGAGATGGGTGTCTTCCTCGTGCTCATCTCGTTGCTTCGAATAGAAACTCCCTAGCAGCTTCATGTCTTGTGCCGGAATGTGAAAACGAGAGATAGCGCGTTGACTCAAAGATGCTCTTCAGAAATAGTGACAGCTGCTCCATTGACGTCGACGCATTTGAAGATGGCACGGCCCCGTCCCCGCGTGATGTGGTAGCCTTGAATGGAAACGATTCGTTCTGCTGTAGGAAAGCAGGTTAGCTCTAGCTCTAGCTCTACAAACATTGACCATGTAAGGGTAGGAGGGGTGGCTCTTTGAGGGAGGGACTTACAGTTCGTACATCGCATGGATTGGTGATTTCCAGTCTGCGTTGATCTTTGTTGGAAGCCGGTCACTGGCTCTGCTCAGAAATGGCGACACTCAATAGTCGAGGCATTCTGTTCTGGGTATAACCATACTCGCACCAAGCGACGGTCAAAGGCAACGGCCATACAAAAACTCTGGTGGTGAAGGCACCGCCAACCTCTTTCTCTAGATGTATCCTCGTCTGGGCGATGCGATAAATGTTGAGTACCTGCCCCTGCCGAACATGATCAAGGGCGCCATACTGCAAGTCTGCTCAGAATGTCGATCATCATTGCATGGGATGCCACTTGGGGGGTCTTTGTACATCCAAGCCCGCACCACAAATTAGGCATGATGGCCATACCAAGCTTCAGGGCGCAAGTCGGGTCCTTGTCCGGCCGTCTTGTCTGTGGCTCTTGCCTTCCTACCCGAAGGCTGCAGCGAATGCCGCTGGCTAATGGGAGTAATAGCTGACAACAATGGAGAGAGAGTGTGTATAAGATTAGGTAAAGGAGTAGACTGGGGATGTATTTGTGTGGATGGATGATAATCCAGTTGGGTTATGGAGGCAGTTGCTGACGATTATACAAGGGAAAAGACCGGTCGGCTGAAATGAAGAAGTAAAATGAGAATGTAAGTACTTGTAGATACTTGGTCAGGTCAATCCACTTGGATTCTCGAGATAGCGGCTGGTAGTAGTGATGATGGTGATGGAAGGAATGATCGATTGAATGGATAGAGTAAAATGGGAATGCACCCACATGTAGATATCTGGTGATAATCCAGGTGGGAGTGGAAGACTGTAGTGTTGATGCAAGGTGGAGGGTCTAGTGAAGTTCGTCGATTCACCGCAGTGGAACATTCCCAAACACCGCGCACTGGTGCATGGGATAAACCAACCTCTATATAGAATTGGCAATGTTGTAGACTGTTCAAAATCACTTACTTCAGAGATCCGGACCCTTCGAGAGTTTGTCGATAGTCTTGACGGTATACCCATGTACTCCACGACCGAGTGTCGATGAGACGAAGATAGGGCTACCATGAAGCCAGGTATGATGTCTTTTGCCCGCGGTTGGCAAGGGAAAAGGTGTGACATTGCTCCAGGCTTGGGTGATGGACGTGTATGTTCTCGACGGCGTTGCCTCTTAGGTATGTCGCTGTAAATGAGAGTGTACTCAACCTCGCTAACTCATACCCGCCATCCGACGATGAGGATGGAAGCGCTTAATAAGCGAGCGAAGGGTTCGTGACATCGGTAGATGAGGTGCTTTGGGTGCGTTGTCGGAGATTACGCCAAGGAGAGGAAAGATTCTGTCAAGTCCCATTAGGGAGTGATAGAAGGAGAAGATTGGATGTAGGAACTCAACTTAGCTGTCAATGGACGACTCGTAAGAAGATCGGAGTCGCTATGTTGACAGATTGATGATAAGTAATGACACAATGAGCCATGACGACCAAAGACTCGCTCTCAGAAGGGAAGCTGTGTCATGGATACCAGAGTTGTTGATATGGTAGTGTGATGTATAAAGATACGAAGAAGGAGGGAATTAATCCCAAGAATCAATAGTATAAGATGTTGTGATGTGATGTAATGTGAAGAGATGAGAAACGATGGAAACCTGTCGGGGAGGATAGGGGATTTATACCCGAATTGGACATTCTTTCGCTCCAAGAAATGCAATATCCTTTGCATCATCTGGAATATGATTTTTCTTGTTCTGCTTGATTGGAAGATGTATGCGACGACTTCATCAGGCATACATCGCAGGAATCCGGAGATTGTGCGAGGCACACGGCGTCGATTGTCCCGCAGCAAGCACTGAGCCATCGCAATTCCCTGATGAATCAGCTGTTCCGATACGTCCGTGATAGAAAACAGACTGTTGAGTGTCACAGTCGGAGTCACCGCAGATTGAATCCGACGGAAGTTGGTGAAAATTTGACGGTGTTTCTTTCTGCCTGACACTTGGGCATCTATCATGAAGCAAGCTTCCGAGCAAAGAGGGGTCAAGCATTCAAGTATCTCGTCACCGACAATCTGAGAAGAGGCCTTGGTGTTTCTTGCGGGGATGAGGAGTCGGTTGGAAACTCTGAAAGTACGGCGTCTTTGCCAGTCGGGGAGTGGTGATAATGGCATTTGTCGACTGACTGAGGTTTTGTAAACTGAGTAAATACTGGCGATGCTGCGATTTGTGAAGTCTCGCTATACAACCCCGTATCATCAATTGTTCTGGTGATGTTTCCATCTTCGCTGGACATCCAAGTGCGGCACGGGGCTGCAAGTGACCGATCCGTAGGTATCTGACCGCAACCTATAGCCTGTTAGACTGCTTCAATACCATTGCTGCACGGATACCCACTCTAGCCTCTGTTGCAAACCGCTTCTGCCCCGTTGCTTCATCGACACGGATCGCTTCAAAAGCTCCGTGCCAATGGATTTTCGCGCATTGTGTACAAGACGCGAGTCAATGTAATTCACTGAGTCATCTTGTAGTGCTGTGCAATGTGATGTCAGAAACAAGCACAAGATAGTCCAGCGTATTGATGTGAGGAAGAAAGGCTGGTAGTTCGACAGATGATCTAATCAGGCATATCATGTGGAATGATCGGTTGGATGTTCTGAATGTTCATGGGAAAGGCCCACGGTAGAATTCTGAGGAGTCACGTTGATCTGCCACCTTGGGGTGGCCCAAACAACATGCGACGCAACGTCAATGAATAGAGCTGTTGTCGCGCCATCTCGCTCTCCTGGTAAGCGGTTCGATGAGTTTGATCTTGGCTTGGTGATTTGCATGGATGAGTCTGGGATTTGGTGTTGACATCAGCCTGGTGTTGCGCCGTGATAAAATTCACAAAATTCATTTCTGGTGAGAGATATGCATGAACATGCCAATATGCTCGTCGTTGTATTCACAAGCGCCATGCCACAGGCATGTACCTAACTCCGATGTCCAATAACGGTACTGGACGGACTGTGTAGGGACGATATCCTCAATCGGCTGCCCGACCCCAGTACAGGACATAATCTCAGAACCTCCGCGTCCGTCCTGTCGCGCATTTCCGTAGGCAGTCTCAAGTTGGGGGCCAATCCCGCGTCTCCCTCTGCCAGCTTCCACCTCTGCTCTGTTCGGCTCTACTTTTTCCGAAAGGCGTCTTGATGTCGTAGTCGCCGGTACTCGCTGCTACCTGTCGCCGCGCGCAGGATTATTTGCCATCGCATCTTTTCTTCCTTGACGATGCGGGCGTCGTCAATCAACGCCTTGCGCGATGGAGCCGATGTGAGGTTGTCCGGGGTTGTTAGTGAATTTACAGGGATCAGGCAGTGCGAAACTGGGGAAATGACTGCCGTTCTACAACTCAGCTCAACCTCAAAATGATCAACACTTATGACGTCGTTTTTCGATATTCGGTCTGAGATGAGGCGAGACATAGCATCACGTCACATCGCTTCAAGTTTATTCTTCATTTGGTCGGTGCATACCCTATACACTGAATCAATTGCGCGGAGTATTTACGTCACACACTACGCGTTGGGCATTCCCGTCCAGTGGTGATCATGTAGCCAGTATTTGAATTGGAATAAGAGATAGCAGGCAGACTCAATAATTTTGTCAAAAAGTAGTGTGCAGTAAAAGTGAAGTTCAATTAGACATGTCAGTGACCCATGATGGATCAGCGACATGACACACTTACGAACAGCCCCTGTTTGGACTGACATGCACCATGTCCGTTACACCATAATTGAACCCTAATTACTTCTCATTAGGGAACCTGCGCGACTGTAGATTACCCTCCATCTTCCAGCATAGCGTCGTGTGACAATTGGTCTTTAAAATTGGTGTTCTAACCATCATAGCGACACACAACTCGTCGCTGGTATGGCGTCCACCGCCGGACTTATTTCTTGATCATACTCGTTCGGTCAGGGCCAGTGCCAATCCATTTTACCTATGAATGTCAGTATATCGAAATAGTCAAAAAAAAAGTAAATTATAATCTTACCTTGACTCCAATGAAGTTTTCGATGAACTGGCGAAATAGTTATTAATACAGTCCCCGAATAATAATATCACGATTCTTACCTCGACATAGTCTTGCGCCTGCTTGGGAAGATCACTGAAGGTCTTCACGTTCGTGGTCGGTGTATTCCACCCCGGCATCTCATGATAAACAACTTGAGCTCGATCGAGAGCATCAAGATCCGCAGGGTACGAAGCCAACTCCTACAAAATTAGTTAGTATCTGCTGGCACCTCTATAGGACACATCTAATAACTTACCTCGCCAGATTCAGGGTCCTTGTACGCCACAGCGATCTTGATCGTCTCGAATGTATCCAACACGTCCAGCTTTAAAGGGAAAGGGAGTCAGCCACTGTCCAATTAAAAGCGCGAATAAAATTAGAGATTCTCGGTTACCTTGGTTAAGTTGAGTGCTGTATAATAATTGATGGCCATGCTATATCGAAGCACAACCAGGTCTGTAAGATTTATGTTAGCAAAACTGGAAAAATATATTAGACTGCAATAAGCGATTTGAAGTACCGAGCCTATCTGAGTTAGCTGGGACTTTCTTGTTACATGTCTCAAATATCTGAGGAACTTACCAACCACAACGACGTCGTCGACCAGTGGATGTTCCCTTGACACAGTTAGCACTGGTATAATAAGTTC